TGCAGCGTTTTTCCGAGAGCTTAAGTCAGGGATCTGCGAGCGAGCGAGAGAGAGAGAGAGAGAGAGGGGGAGGGAGGGAGAGAGAGAGAGAAAGCAGGGGAGAGCAAGGCTGGGTTACTAACAGCCGTCGACCTGTAGTAACCCTTATCTTCTCTTCCTGCGCTGTAGATGACAGCAGCGAGATAGAGACTGAGCTGTCACACGCACACGCAAACTGCCGCAGGGAGAAAGCAAGAGAGAGAGAGAGTGAGAGAGGGGGCTGGGGTGTGAACTGACTGATGCTCGGCTATGCAAAGCGAGGTCTTGCGATAAGGGGCTGTTGTCTGTAGATGCATTGGTCGAGGGGGGGTGTGTGTGTGGGGGCAGGTCTGGGGGAAGGGGAGTAGTTTAGGGCTCACATGCAAAATCCACGGAATAAATTAACTAAACAAAAATGCAAAAATATAGGGTACATTTGTGTTTTCGTTGTAGGCTTCTTTTTTTCCTGCCAAAGCACGACTTAACGCTTTCTTTCACTTTGTATTTTTTTTCTCCCCCCCCCCCCCCCCATGCCACTCTCTCTCACTCTCTCTCTCTCTTACCACAGGTTCCTTCCTTTCTGAATGTACGTGTGATTTTATTCACGTAAACTTGGCAGTCGTAGGAGGCAACCATTTTGTCCTGTCGAGTCTGTGTCACTCCTACCTTTATTATTATTATTATTATTATTATTATAATTTCCACTTTGCAGCCTTCATCCAAACTGATCCTGCGATCTCCCCTCTCTTTTGTGAGCGAAACGGGGCAGCCTTTGCGCACAGCAGTGTCCCACAAACAGTCGTGGATCGAGTGACCACATTTTTTCGGGAGGCATTATTAATAATAATAATAATAACCCCTCGCATTTGATTTAAAGGCTTATCACATCGCTGAGGCATTCAAAGCGCTTCACAGCATGGATTGCAAAGTGGAGTGACTCTCTTTTTTGTGGGCAAAGATATTATTACCCCCGGAAAGCGATCCGCCGATTGACTAACAAGCCGGCTCCTGCGTACCGATCGTTAAACAGAGGCGTGTAGAGTAAGGAAGCTTGTCTGAGGTTTTGCGCTGACTCGAACGGGAATCAAACCCGGATCCCCTCGCTTGCGAGGCAAGTGCTCCAACCAATATGTTACAGGTCTCCACATATTTAATATTTCATCACCTATGAGTCTCCGAGCGCTCAGAGAGGTATATTTGGCAGCGGTGTTTGTGGTTTTCTTAATTTCACTGACATTTTAATTATTAATGAATACAACTCTCCGTTGAACTCAGCCCCAATGGTACCTGTCCAACCCTGTATTAACAACAGCTGAGTAAGCTTGTAGCCATAAGAAATGCGGTGGCCAATTGCACACAACAGTGTCCCACAAACAGTCATGGATTGAGTGACCCAATTTAAAAAAAAAAACTTTTGAGGGATTATTACTCCCTGAAAGCGATCCGCCAATCGACTAACAACCGGGTTCCTACTTACTGCCGGGTAAACAGAAGCGCGTGGAGCAAGGAAACTTGCCTAAGGTTTCGCCCTGCCCGTCCGGGAATCGACCCTAGCTCCTCTCGCTCACTACGCTATGGGATTCCACGTGCCGAGTGCATTAAAATGATGGGCTGAAGGGCTTTTTCCTGCCCTGTGTGATGTTGTTCTGTGATTCCCCCTGGGATTGTGAAGTCAACGTAAATCAAGGCAGATTGCGTTGCTGTGGCGAGGTTCGCAGTGTCGCATTCCTCTCAGCAGGTCTGACACTGTGCAATAATCCTTCACTGGCGTTAAGACCATTTGCTGTGTTTAAAAGCCCTGTGGTCTCACTGAACTCTCCATTTCCTTAATGGACACCCGGCTGTCTGTCCAAAGCTCCCGTGTTCATTTCCGCCCAGGATAAATTGCCATACAGGACCCAACCTGTTTCCTCTTCGCTCTTAAAAGATAGTCCCTGAGGGGGAGGTTGATGGAGGTTGATGTGTGTTTTGTTAGTACAAATGTAACTTGTTGTTGTTTTTGTTGTTGTACAGTATAGTGAATGCAACTCTGACAAAGAGAGTGCCTCAATCAAGCCTCGTTGAGACGCCTCAAAGCGCTTCTCAGAACATACTGTGTATTGGATTGATTGTGTACTTTGTGGGTGAAATGCGGCAGTTGCGCACGGCAGCGTATCCACAGACAGTCGTGGATTGAGTGATCAGATTATTATTGTTATTATTTCTTTTTTGGAGGGATTATTACACCCTGAAAGCAATCCGCCAATCGACTAACAACCGGTTTCCTGCTAACTGCTATGAAAACAGAGGTGTGTGGAGTAAACTTGCCGAAGGTTTTGCCCTGACCCGCCCGGGAATCAAATACAGGTCTTCTCACTTACGAGGCGGGTGTTCTAACCACTACGCTACAGGATTCCAGTGAATGGATGTACTTGGAGCGCTCTGAGACTCTACCCCATTTGAAGAGCGCTCTATAAATACAAGCTGCTGTTGTTGATTTAGTTTTGTTCATTTTTCCCTTGATTTTGTGGGAAGGGGGTAAGAGAGGAGGGGTGGGGGAGAGGAGAGGAGAGAGGGGAGGGAATGGATCTACATTCTACATGGAGTCCTGTAGCTCAGTGGTTAGTTAGAGCACTCGCTTTGCAAGCGAGAGACCTGAGTTCAATTCCAGGCAGAGGGCGAAACCTTGGGCAAGTTTCCTTACTCCACACAGAGCCTAATAATAATCCCTCCAAAACCAAAAACAATAATAAATTGGTCATTTTCAATCCATGACTGTTTGTGGGACATTGCTGTGCGCAATTGGCCGCCGCGTTCGCCCACAAATATACAGTCAATTCACTTTACAGTGTGTTCTGTGAAGCGCTTTGGGACGTCCTCCCGACGTGAAAAGCGCTATATCAAATGCGAGGATTATTATTATTATTATTATTATTAGATCCTGAGCTCATTCCTGCCCCGTTGCTGCTCTTAGGTTAGCTAACACTGCCGTTCTAAATTCTGCCAGTGGGTCGATCGATCGATACAACAGCGCTGATTCCTGGAAGAGAAGTGAGGGTGACGTCAGGCAATGGGAGTAATTCAGTCTTTTGTGACTGATCTAATCTAATAATAGCTGTATTACCTGAAGTAAAAATGCATTAGCCACTGCTACCAGCTCTTTTAAGGCCCTTTGCTTGTTGCCAGCCTGAGAGAGCCCTATCTCTGCTAATTCGCTGCCACGTAGCGATAATCTGATGGCTTCATTTGGGTCGTGGAAAAGCTGGCATAGGATTCAGCAGAAAGGCTTCAAAGGGGGAGTCTTGCTGTCAGACACCTCGAACCGTTACACACAGGAATTTAGGATTATAACAATCCTTGCATTTGATACTGCGCTTATCACGCCATTGAGGCGTCTCAAAGCGCTTCAAAGGCTATACTGTAAAGTGGAGTGACTGTGTTTTGTGGGTGAGACACAGCAGCCAATCGCACACCTAAAAATATAAATATCTAAAAAATATATAAAACACCTGACTTTCATTGTTGCTCTTTCTCTCTCATTCTTTCTGTCTCTTTTGTTGTCTTTTCTCCCTTTCTCTCTCGCTCTCAGTCCTTTGATGAACAAACAACAACTTGCATTTGTACAGCGTCTCTGAGAGCTTAACAGTGGTGGAGCCTGACACCGAGCCGGGGGCGGAGGGAGGGAGGGAGGGAGGGAGGAGGTGATTGTAAGTACGGTTCTCGAAGAGGAAGGTCTTCAGTCGTGATCTAAAAGAGGACAAGGAGGGGGAAAGGCGGAGCAATTGGGAGAGAGAGAGAGAGAGTTTGAAATCCCTAATTCACTAACATAACCCTCGACATAGGCCGGGAAGAGAGAAAAAAGTATGCTGGTTAATTCCCGTTTGTGGAACGCTGCTGTGAGCAATTGGCTGCCGCGTTTCGGCCACGAAAATACGGTCAATCCACTTTACCGTATATTCCGTGAAGCGCTTTGAGACGTCTCAAGGACTGTATCAAATGCAAGGATTATTATTATTATCAAAGTGACCTAAATTCACATCCAGACTCCTCACCCTCACCCCCAGAGGAAAGATCAGTGCTCATCATCTTGCCCTGATGTTACAGTGAATAAGAAGCCTCCGAGGCACTGATATGAATAGTTTATTACCAATAACTCCATCCGTTATTTAATCCGTGCTCTCGTTACCGTGGCAACGGCTGCAGATAGCACCAAGAGAATTATGGACTACCTCACTTAACCTCTCTCTGTCAAAGAGAAATCTTGCGAAGGCGAGAGTGAAGGAGCTGGGTTATAATGATAATAATTAATAATTAATAATCCTTGCATTTGATGTGGCGCCTTATCTGGTTGTCAAACTGTATCTGAATACCTCTCACAATTTTTTCCTGTGGTGCGTAGTGACTGTGCGTTTTAATAATGTTACTAATAATGCTTGCTTTGCTGCAGCGCCTTATCACCTCGTTGAGACGTCTCAAAGCGCTTCACGGAATATGCTGCCGCGTTCGCCCACAAATATACAGTCAATTCACTTTACAGTGTGTTCTGTGAAGCGCTTCAGGATGTCCTCCCGACGTGAAAAGCGCTATATCAAATGCAAGGATTATTATTATTATACTGTAAAGTGAATTGACTGTATATTTTGCGGGTGGAACGTAGCAGCCAATTGCACGCAACAGCGTCCTACAAACAGCCGTGGATTGAGTGACCAATTCTTTTTTTGGACGGATTATTACCCCCGGAAAGCGATTCACGAGTAACAACTGAGTCCCTACTTACTGCTGGTAAATGGAGGTGTGTGGAGTACGGAAACTTGCCTAAGGTTTCTCCCCATCCAGGAATTGAACCCTCTTGCTTGAGAGGCGAGCGCTCTAACCACTGAGCTACAGGACACCCTTTCTCCCCCTTCCCCCCCCCCCCCCACTCCGTCCGTGCGGAATTCTCCCTTTTGGTGTGTTGTCCTCCTCTCCACCAACACCAAACACTTCTTTTTCTTTCTTTCAAGGCTACAAGACTCTCCTGAAATGTCTGTCTGGGAAATTCTGCAGTCGAGAGCTGATTGGCATCATGGGACCTTCAGGCGCCGGCAAATCAACCTTCATGAACATCCTGGCTGGTTACAGGTGAGCCTCAGTAACAATCAGGTCCAACTCTCTTCCTCTATCAGCTGCTGAGGGCTCCGAGACTCTATCCCGCGTGAAGAGCAAATGCCATTCAAATGCAAGTTGTTTTGTCCCCTCTGTCTCGCTTCCCCCACCACATCCCTTCCTTTTCCATCCTCTAAGCTCGTCCTCAAGACCCTCCTATTTGACCGTTGCCTTCGGTCACCCTCCCCTCACCCCTCCCCCCTTGCCCTCCACTCCTCTTGATTTCAATCCCACAGCTCGGGTGCAAACCCTTCACTCCAGTGACTTGGGACGTCCTCCTGACATGCTGTGGGGAAAACCTTCCCTTTCGACCTCCACCACCACTGCCGCCCCACACACCCCCCCCTCATCCTGGCTCGGAGTCAGGCTCCTCCACCGTTAAACTCGCTGAGACGCTACTGAGGAAAGTGCATAATTGCGTTTTCTTCCCGTCGCTTCCAGGAAAACCGGGATGAAGGGTCAGATCCAGGTGAACGGACAGCCTCGCGACCTGAGGACCTTCAGGAAGATGTCCTGTTACATCATGCAGGATGACATGCTTCTGCCGCATCTTTCCGTGCTGGAAGCCATGATGGTACGTACGATCACATTACAGCCCTTTACAGTCAAGCTCGCATAAGTCTTCAATCCCACGAGTGTTTGTGGGGCACTGCTGTGTGCAATTGGCTGCCCACTAAAATACACAGTCACTCCACTTTACAGTATATTCTGTGAAGCACTTTGAGACGCCTCGAAGACGTGATAAGGCGCTGTATCAATTGCAAGGATTATTATTATTATTATTATTGTTATCATCATCACAATCTGGGTGTTCGTACCTTGCCCAGAGTTTCACTTGTTAGGTGTTGAAATGTTCCACTCGAATTTTCACAGGTTTCAGCCAATCTGAAACTCAACGAGAAAATGGAAGTCAAGAAGGAACTGGTGAGTAAATGTCTTTTTCCTCCATCAGAAACTTGCACGTATGCGAGAAGAGAAGAGTTTCTCTCCCGGTGTCCTGGCCGAAAACCCCCCGCCCGATAAAATGAGCTATAAGCTTCACGGCTGTTTGCGGACGTCGCTGTCCACAAATTGGCTGCCGCATTGGCCCACAAAATGCACCGTCACAGCACTTTACGATCACGTGGGTCAGCCTAGCGCAGTCATCTTGGAATCCGAAGGTTGTGGGTTCAAGCCCACCCCCACGTCAGGAGTTTGAATCACGCAGTGTAAGCTGACGCTCCAATGCAGCACTGGTGGGGGTGGAGTGTTGCATTATCGAAGATGCCATCATTCAGATTAGATCCAAAGTTAAACCAAGGTCTCGTCTGCCTGCTCGAAAAGAGAAGGCAATTTTTCTCTCTCTCCCCTGGGAGAAAATTGGTCACTCACTCCATGGTTGTGGGACGCTGCTGTGTACAAATTGGCTGCCGCATTGGCCCACAAAATACACAGTCACTCCACTTTACAGTGTATCCTGTGAAGAGCTTTGAGATCTCTGGACGATGTGAATAAGGCACTCTATCAAATGCAATTATTATTATTATTCATTATCCAGCGCCTTTCACTTAAAACATAAATCACAGAGAAACAGTTTAACACAACGTAATTGGGAATGTATGGTGTGTCCCTCCAGAGAGAGAGAGAGAGAGAGAGTGAACGTGCCATCAATTCTAGAGACGGGGGAAATTTCCATGTATAATAAGGTGATGTACACATGAGGAACTATCAGTCTGGTTTGGAGACTCTCAAGCACAGTGACGGGGTTTCAGACACCTGGCCAACCAAAATTATTATTATTAATAATAATAATATTATTTTCCTCTTGAAGGTGAATGAGATATTGACTGCTCTGGGCTTGCTGGAGTGTTATAACACACGGACTCTCTCCTTGTCTGGAGGTCAGCGCAAGAGGCTGGCTATCGCCTTGGAGCTGGTCAACAATCCCCCCGTCATGTTCTTCGATGAACCAACAAGGTACGAGTCTCCTCAACAACAACATTTACGCAGCGGCTTTCACGTCAGGAGGATATCCCGAGGCATTGGACAGTCAGGGATTTGGACGAGAGCTGGGGTTTGGGATCAGGAGGGGTGGAGGGCAGGGAGGGTAGGAGTGGGAGGGTGACCGAAGGCGCACTCGAAGTGGAGGGTCTTGAGACGGGCCTTGAAGGAGATAAGGGAGGGAGGGAGGGAGGGAGGGAGGCAAAGGGACTGTGGGATGGAGTTCCAAAGGGTGGGGGTAAAGAGGCTGTCGAAATTCCTTGTTGGGGTGTTGGGGGGGGTGAAGGGGAAGAGTTAGACGGTGTTCGGCCATTGTTTACGGTGGAGATTTGTACAGAGAGTGGGAACGTGGACAGGCTCAACGCTGTAAAGGGACAAGACTTTTGGGAGGGGCAGGTCGAGAGGTCCTGGGTGGGTCAGATTAACTCTCTGTGGGCGTCTCCGAGAGTATTGAGTTGTGGCATGTTGAGTTGAGATAAGATGTGTGTTGTTGCTTGGTAGGTCCTTTCCAGCGACCAGTGAGATCCAGTACGTTAAACCGATCTCCCCGTGTGTCTGTTCAGGTGGACGTTAAAGATCCCACGGCACTCTTCGAAAAGAGAAAGGAGTTTCTCTCTCCGGGTGTCCTGGCCAACAATTTCCCCACATAAAATCAGTTGCTCACTTTATGGCTCCATGGGACACTGCTGTGCGCCAACTGACTGCCCTGTTTCGCCCACAAAATACAGTCACTCCACTTTACAGTGTATGCTGTGAAGCGCTTTGAGACGTCTCAATGTGATAAGGCGCTGTATCAAATGCAACGCTGAGTATTATTAATTATTATTGATGTGCTTTCTCATTCATTTTCTGTCTCTGGGTTCCCCTTTCCTCCCTCTCTCTACTTCTCTCTCCCTCCCTCCCTCTCTCTCTCTCTTTCTCTCTCTCTCCCTCTTGGTCTCCATCTTCTCCTCTCTTGCCTTCTCGCTTTCCCTCTCGGTCTCCTCTCGCACCTTCTCTCTCTCTCCATCCTTCTGTCCTTCTCTGTCTCACTCTCTCGCGCTCTCCTTTTTCTCCTCATCTCTCTCTCCCTCCCTCACACCCCCTCTCTCTCTCTCTCTCTCAGCGGGCTGGACAGTGCCTCCTGTTTCCAGGTGGTGTCCCTGATGAAGTCTTTGGCCCAGGGTGGGAGAACCATCATCTGTACCATCCATCAGCCCAGCGCCAAACTCTTTGAGATGTTTGACAAGGTAAGCGGTTCAAAGTATTCGAAAAGAAAAGGAAATTTCTCTCTCTCACTCTCTCTCTCTCTCTCCTGGTGTCCTGGCCGGCAATCCCCCAAATAAAATTGGTCGCTCACTCCATAGCTGTTTGTGGGAAGTTGCTGTGTGCAAAATGTCCACCACTTTTTGCCCACAACTCTTTGAGGTGTTCGACAAGATAACCTGCCGTTCCCGAGGTAACAGGATACGCGACAGGTGGGGCAAGTGCTCACCTCGAAGCCGCTAATCAAATTTAAGCTCCGACCAGTCTAACTCCAGGGTAAAACTTAACCCCATTTATCCCCCCTGAAGGACGCTACGCTGTCTGACCTGAATTCAGTTGTCTTTTTATGTAATTTACCCCAACCCAACCCTCAAATTTGGAGTAAATCCCAGTAGCATTGGAATGTCTCCCATGTGCCTCACATTTTGCAGTGAAGTGACTGGTGATCAGTCACAATGACAACGACTTGCATTTATATAGTCCCCCTCCCACATGGTGGCGCCGCAGAACACTTGTTTCAATCGTCTCAATGGGGCAACTGAACTGTGTTAACATTTCTTCAGCCCCCACCCGAACACACACACACGTACAGAGCAATGAGTTCCATATAGACTTGTCTGCTCCCTCTGCTCCATGGGCTCCGGCCTGCTCCAAGTCCCCTGCTCGCTCCACCTCACCATCAGCCTCTCTGCCGCAGTGCCTTCGCCTCACCCCCTCCATTGCCTCCTTCAAGGCCCGTTTCAAGACCTTCCTCTTCGACCGCACCTTCGGTCACCCTCCCTGCCCGCCACCCCTCCCGATCCCAACACAAATTCCAAATCCCTGACTGTAGAGAACCTTGGGGCGTCCTCCTGACGTGAAAGTCACTGTGTAAATGTCACTTGTTGTTGAATGACCAGTTAATCCGTATTTTGGTGACAAGGGGTGAGGATGGAATATTAGCACTGGGAGACAACGCTGCCAGCTTCACGTTGGCTGTGTCAGCCTGGCCCAGTGAGCTCAAGTCCTGACGTGGGGCTGCTCTACATTCTCAGTGCCTGAAGCTCCAGGTCAGAGGAACCTTTGCTCGTCCTCCATCAACATTGAGGAAAGGGGGGCAACTGAAATCAACCGCATTGGTGTCCGCTGCTCTCTGTTGGCATTTGATGGTACTGCGGGTCAATGAACACACGTTTGGTTTTGTGTTCATCTCTCCCGCTTCAAATGCGTTCAAAGGCACATATACACACACGTACCAATCTTTGTTGGGTAGTGCTGTGAGTTGGGGCAGAAGTCTAGGCTTATGTTCTGTGCTGTGCTGGGAGGCGATGCTGGAGTGGCGGAGGCGATGTCCTTTGAGTGAGATGTTAGATCACGTCAAAGGTCCCCTTATTCCAAAAGAGATTGTAACTTCATCCAAATATCCTGGCCAACAATCCCCCCACAGACAGCCATGAAGTGAGCGACCAATTTGATTTGAGAAATTATTGACCAGGTCACCGTGGAGAGAGGGAGAGAAACTCTATTCCTTTTTCGAATAGTGTTACGGGATTGTTAATGTCCAACTGAATAGGAGACATTGGCTTAACGTCTGGTCTGAAGCACTGGAGTGTTTGGATGGACTGTGAGCTCCAAGTTCCAATTTGGGGCTTGAACCTACAACCTTCTGAGACAGAAGTCAGAGTCCTACCGGCACGATAATAAGCAAACTTATCTACGCAGTCCTGTAACGCAGTGGTCAGAGCATTCTCCTCGCAAGCGAGAGGACCCGGGTTCAAATCCCAGCCGGGCGGGGCAAAATCTTATGCACGTTTTCTTACCCCACGCGCCTCTGTTTACTTAGCAGTAAGTAGGAACCTGGTTGCCAATGTTAGTGGATTGGCAGATCACTTTCCTGGGGTAATAATCTCTTCAATAAATAAATAATAGTAATTTGGTTACTGAATCCATGACTGTTTGTGGGACGCTGCTGTGCGCAATTGGTTGCCGCGTTTTGCCCACAAAATACGTCTCAACGATGTGATAAGGCGCGATATCAAAGGCAAGGATTATCATTATTATTACTATATTATTATGTGTTCTAAAGCAGGTCCCCTTTCTCCGTCTTGCAGCTCTTCATTCTGAGCCAAGGGCAGTGCATATACAAAGGGATCGTTCCCAGTCTCATCCCCTTCCTTAAAGGAGTCGGTCTGTACTGTCCAACTTACCACAACCCGGCTGACTTCAGTACGTAACCACATAAGTATTATTTTTTTCATAACTCTCCCCCCACCCCCCCCCACCACCACCATCAAACCCCCTTTCTTCACCGCTTCAGAAATTGCCCTTCAGTTGTGTCACATTATTGACATTACTATTATCAGCCTCTCTGTCCCAACCCTTTGCAACTCTGTCCCACAGTCGCTTCGCCTTGCCCCCTTCCTTGCCTCCTTCATGGCCCGTCTCGACTTTCCTCTTGAGGGGTAGGGGGCAGGGAGGGTGGGGGGGGCAGGGTGACCGAAGGTGCGGTCGCAGAGGAAGGTCGTGAGACGGGCCTTAAAGGAAGTGAGGGAGAGAGGGGGAGAGATTCCAGGATGGAGTTCCAAAGGATGGGGCAGAGAGGCTGATAACCAATAATAATAATTGATGTAATTTGTTGTCGTCCTCTCTCCCGGACAGTTATTGAAGTGGCCTCGGGGGAATATGGAGACCTGAACCCGATGCTCTTCAAAGCAGTGCAGGACGGGATGTGCAGTATGGCGGAGAAGAAGAACGCATCCAACAGCAGTGACGTGTCGGCCTGGAAGTCAGCGAGTCTGACGGTGAGTGCACAGTACGTCGGCAGGGGCTGGCCCGCTGCGACTCACAGCTCTCTCACACACCGGTCTGATGAAACCTTCCTCTTCGACCGTATTTACGGCCACCCCCCCTCCCCCCGGCTCGGAGTCAGGCTCCGCCGCTGTTAGGCGCTCTGAGACGCTGCCCTGCGCGGAGGGCGCTATACAAGTGCGAATTGCTATTGAAACCGCATGGAACAGGCTCGGTGGGCTGAATGGCCTCCTTCTGTTCCTGTACGTCTCAGTCTCACACGCGCAGTTTACGTTTTAAACGGTGCCTTTCGCGTCGGGAGGACGTCTTGAAACGCACAAAATAATTATTTAATAGTTGCTGTGTATTAACGATTGTTGTGTTAAGACACGTCTCCTTAATCCGTCTCGGAGCGATGATAATAATAATATTCCTCGCATTTCATGTAGCGCCTTATCAATGCTGCGTTACGTTGCTTTTTCCTGTTCAGGATACCGGCCCCATCGAGAAACACACGTTCGCCACAAGCTCCTTCAACCAGTTTTGTATCCTCTTCAAGAGAACATTTATCTCCATACTGAGAGACACGGTAAGGTTCTGCCCAATATCATCTGCAAAGTCGATCCCTGAGGAGGAGGGGGGTGGGGAGGGTAATTCCTTGGAGCTGAACTGGTTCCCAGGTGAAATGTTTGGCAATCGAATGTCGGTATCGAGCCGGCCCTCTGTGGCCATCTCTAGTCCAGGTGCTGAGCCACCCGCAGTATTCAAGGGGACTCACTGCCCATCGGCAGGACCAGGAAGGGCAGATCAGTCACTGGGGGTAGGGAATCCTCCCACTCAGCTCCTGTTAATTCTGAAAGCCAAAGCCCTAACGGGTGGTTCTAGCTGGACAGGGGCGGGAAAGGTTACTAGGCATTGCTGTTAGTGGCAAGCAATGTGGTTTTAACCCCATTCCCCAAGCCTTGGCTCTCACCAACCTGTACCCAATACTTTCCGGAATTGGGGAAGCAGAATGCGTCATAGTAGAGGGAGAGAGAGAGAGAGAGAGAGAGAGAGAGAGTGCACTCTTCATTCCAGAGCTGTAAATTTCCCTGAGTAGGTGGGCTGTGGAACATGCAATCTCTCACTCCTTCCAGAAACCCAGGCATTTGGTCAAAATAATAATCCTTGCCTTTGGTATAATGCCTTATCATGTCTTCGAGACGTCTCAAAGCGCTTTACAGAAGATACTGTAAAGTATAGTGACTGTGTGTTTTGTGGGCGAAATGCAGCAACTAATTGCGCACAGCAGTGTCCCACAAGCAGTCGAGAATTGAGTGACCAAAGTATTGTTATTTTTGGGGGAGGAATTATTACCCCTGGAAAACAACTGGATGTTTCTGTTAAGAAACACCAGCACCAGCGGAGTTGGGGGAATAATTTGTAATGTCATTTGTTGTTGTCACCATTGCTCTGATTCTCATCTCTACCCTCCCCCAGGTTCTGACTCATCTGCGCTTTATGTCCCACATCTGTATCGGGGTCCTGATCGGCCTCCTGTACCTGAACATCGGCAACGAGGCAGAGAAAGTCTTCAACAACACTGGTTTCCTCTTCTTCTCCATGCTCTTCCTCATGTTCGCTGCCCTCATGCCAACCGTCCTGACCTGTAAGGGAGACAGCCATCTTAACTTAACCCAAAAGCTAACAAAGTTTTCTTTTTTTCTTGCATTTTTTAAAAAAAATTGAAATCTTTATAATAATGATGATATTAATTATTATTAATTCTGGCAGCATAAGAACATAAGAAATGCTAGGTGATAAAAGACTAAGGCTCATCTAGTTTATCTTCCACCTTCCTGGCAGTCGCATGTGCATATGTCCCAAACTCCCAATGGAATATATCCCATAGTGTTATTTCCTGAAAGAAAACGAACTAATCTGTGTTTGAAAGAATCAACATTTCCTGCTTCAGCCGTCTCCCTCGGGAGCCTGTTCCACAGGTTCACTATCGCTCACTGAGATAGTGTTTGCGTAGATTTGTTCTGAATTTACCCCTTCAATCGCAGGCCGTGTGTCCTCTGGTTTTACTCTTCTGGATAAGTTGGAACAGTCTGCAATGATCTATATTGTTGTGGCCCTTTAGAATCTTAAAGACAGCGATCATGTCGCCTCTCAATCTTCCCTTTCCCAGTGTGAGCCCAATTTACATAGTCGCTCTTCATAATCCATTCCCTCAATCATTTTGGTTGTCCTCCTCTGTATCTTGATTTCTCCAATATCCTTTTTGTATTGCAGAAGTGTACACAGTACCGGTCTCACCAATGATTTATACAGCGGTGGGATTACCCCACTATTTCGGCTGCTATTGATCTTTTTATACATCACAACATCTGATTTGCTTTACTCACTGACGCAGAGCATTTTCGGTAGAGCTTCGGGTCCTTTTCATTTTCCATACATATTATTTTCCTTCCATTCAATAGTCCCTTCCAGGATTTTTTGTTCCCATGTGAAGTACTTTACATTTCTCCACATTGAATTTCATCTGCCACCGATTTGCCCAATTCCCAAGTATGTTCAAAACCTCCTGTAACTTATCTTGTTCAGCTTCGCAATCTACCGCCTCCATTAGCTTGGTGTCATCTGCAAACTTAGTCATTGTGCTTGCGACTCCTAGTCCCAGATTTATAAAAATATTAAACAAAAGAGGTCCCAAAACAAACCCTTGTGGAACTCCACTGGTAATTTCTTCCCAGTCTGATGACATTCCTAGTACCACCGCCCTCAGGGGTTCTTCCGGTCAACCAATTGAGTAATGTGCCGCCACTGATTCCCGATTTCTTTACTTTCAGTACCAGTCTCTCAAGAGGAACAGTATCAAAGGCCTTACTAAAATCCAGATATACAACATCCACAGCCTCACCCTTATCAAGCTTCCTTGTCACACCGTCAAAGGAAACCAGTAAATTAGATTGGCAAGACCTTCCCCACATGAACCCATATTGACTATCATTTATGATTTTATTTCTGTCCAGACGCTCTATGGTTTTAACCTTCATAAGAGTCTCCATAAATTTTATCCACAATGAACATCAAAGTTACTGGTCTGTAGTTTCCTGGGTTATTTTGTTACCTTTCTTAAAAGCAGGAGTAACATCTGTCTTTCTCCAGTCCCCCGACACCTCTGCATTATTCAGTGATTTTTGAAAGCTGTGTGCCGGCGTTTCTGCGACTTCCTCCCTTAGTTCCTTAAGGTTCCTTGGAAACAATTTATCCGGCCCCTGAGAATTATTTACCTTAAGTTTACACAGCTGTTTGGCGACCGTGTTGGTAGTGATATGAATAGCGTTGCAACTTTTCTCTGCGACATCCTTCAGTTCTCTTTCCAGATCAGATAGGTTACCCATCTCCTTGGTAAAGACTGATGCAAAGAACTTATTTGGCACTATTGCAGCCTGTGCAGTGTTATTTCTCATGTTGTCTCCTGAACCCACCCTCGGTGGTCCTATTCTATTGTTTGTTTGTCGTCTACTCTTAACGTAACTAAAAAGCGTTTTTTTTATTAACCTTCACATCTCTTGCCGTGTTCAATTCAAATCTTTTCTTTGCCATTCTGGTGCCTTTTTTTTTCGCGGTGCCATCTGGTATTGAGTCCGCATTATTTCCATGCCATTTTCCTTCATCAAATGCTTTTTTTGGTCCTCTTTATGATTTGCTTTTTGTAGCCCCGTCCAACCAGGCAGGAGTGCCTTTAAACTTGGTACCTTTGCGTCGCATGGGTACACACATTGTTCCATTGCCTTCATCATCACCTCCTTGAAGGAACTCCATAGGCTCTCCACTCCCTTTGCCATATTTAAGCCTGCCAGGCCCACTCCGCTAAGACTTCAAGCCCATAAAGTCAGTCCTCTTGAAATTTGGAGGTTTTGTTTGGTTTTTTAGAAACTCACCAGTTCTTGTGATGTCAAATGTGACTGCATTGTGATCGCCGTTGCTTAATGCTCCTCCAACCTTTATGTTGAAGATTTGGTCGTCCCTGTTGCTCATTATCAAATCCAAGATGTTATCTCCTCTTGTTGGCTCTTTTACAAATTGAGTCATAAAACAATCTTCCTTTAACTCTAGAAACCCTTTCCCCAATTTACCAGTAGACGCATTATTGTCCCAATCAATTTCAGATAGGTTAAAATCTCCAACCACTATGGTTGGTCCCTTACTAGTGGCCTTCCTTATCTCACCCCACTGTTCCAGATCGAGGCTTTTAGTTTCTTTTTCACCAACCTTTGGAGTTAGACCCATTACACTGGTACGTCTTAGGGTTTTCCCTATTTGGTTTGAGTGCTCTCTTATACGGACCGCAACCACCCCTGTGCCTAATGTAAACCTAACTAAACTATCCATCCTGCCTGCCAATGCCTCCACCCCACTTTTGTTTAGGTGGCGTCTATCTGGTCTGTATAGATGCCCCCTCTTCCATTGTTTGAAGAAACAAAAGCCTAATTCCCTACACCAATGTCTTAGCCACGTCTTAGCCAACAACAACACCAAGATTCCATTTATAGAGCGCCTTTCACGTTGGGAGGACGTCCCAAAGCGCTGGACAGTTGGGTCAGGACCCGAGCAATGGGGAAATGGTCAGGATGAAGGGAGGGAGCAAGGAGGGGGTAGAGAGTCGAGAGGGGAGCTGAAGACATGGACAAAGTGAAAGGTCTTGAGACCGGCCTTGAAGGAGGAAAGGGAGGAAGCGGCGAAGGCACCGGGGGATAGAGTTCCAGAGCCTCGGGGCTGAGAGGCTGAAGGCCACCGATGGTAGGGTGGTTGGGGCGGGGGATGTGGAGCAGACCGGAGCCAGAGGAACGGAGGGTACGGGCAGGTAGGTAGGGGGATAGTAGGTCAGAGAAGTAGGAGGGAGCGAGGCCGTGAATGGCCTTGTAGGTGAAGATGAGGATCTTGAAATCGATCCTCTGGGGAATGGGGAGCCAGTGGAGGCGAGCGAGGACGAGGGTAAGGGCGAGGGTGAGGGTGAGGGTGGGAGTGATGTGGGAGCGGTGTCTGGTGCAGGACAGTACACGAGCTGCAGAGTTCTGAATGACCTGCAGTGTGGAGGGAGGGCCGGGAAGGCCGACGAGAAGAGAGTTGCCATAGTCCAGCCTTGAGGTGATAAAGGCGTGGACCACAGATTCAGCGGCGTGAGGTAGTGCCGTAGTGTGGCCTAATTAGCTAATCCCTAACACCTGCCCAGTGACTAACTGACAATTTGGCTTCTTTCCTGTTTCTCTTGAAAAAATCTCTCTTGCTCAAGAAATAATTCCCACTCTTTTGCTAAAAGAAAGAGTTCTCGCTTGGTTCTCTAGTTCTCTCTTGCTCATGAATTCCCACTCTCACCAAATTCCTTAACAGAATTTTCACTCTGTTCCATCTCACTCAGTTCCCTCCTCACTCTGCTGGGCTCTCTGCTCAGACAATAAACAATATTGTTTATTGCTCGGTAACAATAAAGTATCATTGATAATAATAATAATGAACCTTGCATTTGATATAGCACCTTACCATGTCATTGAGACATCCCATAGAGCTCCACAGGATATGCTGTAAAGTGTAGTGACTGTGTATGGTGACTTCTTATCCTTCAAAAGGAATGTGATGATTGCTTGATTGAAAAAGAGGATTATTAAAGTTTGGGGAAGGGATTGGGGGAGGATTATTATGCAGAGATTATATTAGATTAGATGTTTCAAATGGTGTGAAATACCAGCACAGACTGGAACAGTGGATTTGCAGGGCTTTAATAATAATAATAATAATAATAATCCTTGCATAGCTCCTCCTCATGTTGTTGAGACGTCTCAAAGAGCTTCACAGAATATACTGTAAAGTGGAGTGACTGTGTATTTTGTGGGCGAAACACGGCAGCTAATTGCACGTAACAGTGTCCCACAAACAGTCGTGGATTTAGTGACCAAATTATTATTGTTATTTTTTAAAGGGAATATTACACCCACCCACATACACACACAGGATTGAGTGACCAAATTAGTTTTATTGTTTTTTTTAACGTCTTAAGACTTACAAATCTCTCTCTGTTTCCCCCTCTCTCTTTGTCTCTCGTCTTAGTTCCTCTGGAGATGGCAGTTTTCCTGAGGGAACACCTGAACTACTGGTACAGCCTCAAGGCTTATTACCTAGCAAAGACCATGGCAGATGTGCCCTTCCAGGTAAAACACTGTGTAACGAGCAAGCTTGCCTCTGCTCTGACCCCAGCCTGTGTCTCAGTCATTCAATGCTCTCGCCTCCAAGTCAGAAGGTTGTGTGTTCAAGCCCTACATTGTGGGGTAAGGAAACTTGCCTAAGATATTGAACGTTGCATTGTCGGAGGTGCCGTCCTTCAGATGAGACGTTAAACGGGTCTATGGTTTGTTCGTGTGGATGTTATAGATCCCTATTGTGGCGGTGGGGAGGAGCGGGAGGGTGGGGAAGAGAGAGAAGTTTCTCCCGTTGTCCTGGTCGACGATCACTTGGATAAATCAATGGTTTATCTTGGAGCTGTTTGTGTGGGACAGTGAGAGTGTTAGTATGGCATTGTTCTCCCTTCTCCCCCTCCCCACCCACAACCCCATCCCCACTCCCCACGGAACAAGGAGAACAGAAAATTGGGAGAGAGAGCGAGCGAGAGACATAAATAACTGGGGCTCTTCCGAATCTGATTGCTTGCTGTATCCCCATCCTCCCAAACCCCCTCTCTCCCTCCCATTTCCATCTGTTAGGAAATAATATCTGAGGGATACAGGATAGAGTTTGGGGACACGACATGTCAAGCGACGGCCAGGATGGTGGAAGGCGAACTGGATGGACCTTGGTCTGCTTTTGTCCAGCAAATTCTTATTTTGTTATGTCGTTGTGACCTTGCAGGTGATCTGCCCCATAGTGTACTGCAGTATCGTGTACTGGATGACAGCACAACCCCCCGAGGCTGTCCGCTTCCTCTTGTTTGCCACACTTGCCACAGCCACGGCTTTGGTGGCTCAATCTCTGGGGCTCCTGATAGGAGCAGCTTCCACGTCTTTACAGGTAATAACAGCAAGAACTTGCATTTTACACAGCGGCCATCACGTAGGGCAGCGTCTCGGGAGCGCTTGACAGTTGCAAAGCCTGACCCGAGCCGGCAGGAGTGGAGCGGTCACTGTAGGAGAGGAAGGTCTTCAAGTGCAATCTGTAGGAGGGATTGAGGCAGAGAGTTTGAGTTTCGGGTTGAACGCTCGGCTGCCGATGGCGGAGCGGAGGGGCTGAGAGACATGAGGAAGCCATGTTTGGAGACACTATATCAAACGCAAGCTGTTGCCTTAATAATAATAATAATAATCCTGTCATTTGATACAGCACCATATCATGTCTTCGAGACATCTCAAAGCGCTTCACGGGATATACTATAAAGCGAATTGTTTGTATATTTGTGGGCGAAACACGGCAGCCAATTGCGCACAGCAGCGTCCCCACAAACAGTCGTGGATTGAGTGACCAAATTATTATTATTTTTTATTGTCATTTGGTCCTAATGGTCTCTCCCCCTCCCGCAGGTTGCTACATTTGTGGGGCCGGTCACTGCTATCCCGGTGCTCCTGTTTTCCGGGTTCTTTGTCAGTTTTAACACAATTCCCACCTACCTGCAGTGGAGCTCCTACCTCTCGTATGTCCGGTGGGTGCTGTCTCTCTCCGTGTTGGGAAGGGATCAGGGGGGTGGAGCTGTCTTTGGGGTGCTGGGGTGCTGTGGGGGTGGGGGTTGGTGGGGAAGGGGTCGTTGGCGGAGTGTTTGTGGTGGAATCTCAATCGGTGAGACAATCTGTGACATGAACATTGGCGAATTGACCAAGGCCAATAGGAAATTTTTGGAAATAATTGCCAGAAGTTGCGCTGAGATTTTACAAATTTTGCGGAAAATTGCAACAGGAATGTATATAGACGGACGGTGGAAGCGGAAAGTGGCGTTTGTTTTAAGAGCAAATTAGATAGATTTCTGTTAGGAAATAATATTTTGGGATACAGTATATGGTTTGGGGCGCGACATGTCAAGCGACTGCCAGGATGGTGGAAGGCAAAACTGGATGGACCTCGGTCTTCTTTCACTCAGCATATTCTTAAGCAGCTTCTCCTAAACTCTCTCTTAAATCGCACGACATCAACAACAAATTACACTTGTTTAGCGCCCTTCGCGTCGGAAAGATGTCCCAGGACGCTTGACAGTCAGGGGATTTGGACTACAAGATCCCACTATCTTATATTCGTGTCTCCCTTAGTTACGGGCGTATTTATGCTGACCTTATCGAATCCTTAGGTACCTTAACATTGTTCGTTTTGTTTCTTTCCTTTGCTTCATCAAAACAGTTACGGCTTCGAGGGTGTTATCTTATCCATATACGGCCTGGACAGAAAAAACCTGGACTGCAAAGACAATTGTCTCTTCCAGGACCCGAAGAACGTCCTGGAACAGCTGGACGTGGTGAACGCAAAGCTCTACTTGGATTTCATCATCCTGGGCGTTTTCTTTGTCGTTTTGCGCCTCTTGGCGTACTTGGTGCTTCGCTATAAAGTCAAGGCTGAAAGATAAAAAGGGAGCGAATAAGATATTGGCGTTGGCCGTGCAGCCGATGGAGGCTATGGCAGTGTCTCCACATCTACAGGAGGGATTGATTCTAATCTTCGCCAAGGCTGGGCTTAAGTACTGTGTCTAATAGGGCCTCGAAGCCTGAACTCTGATTTAAAAGAAACTGTGAACTCCGTGGTGGTTTGCATTGGACGTCCGTCTGTCCGTCTCCATCTGTTTTTTTTTTGATTGCGTGTGTGTTGACTTCTGCCACTCCCGAGTCGATTTCCTTTCGGCCCTTTATCTTTCGAAATGAATCTTTCAGTCCGCCTGCAAGACACTTTATTATCAGGAGAACCAGGTCTCTCGCGCTTGAAGGGTTAAGCTCGCTCCTTCCTGCAGCTCGGGCCGGCAACCGAACCGCCATTGGGGTCGGAACCTTCTAACGAACCGTTGATCGGGTTCTCGCGTGGAAATCCGTTTCCCACCCCCACCCTCTCCTCACCCCACACACCCCCCCCCCCGTTCCCCCCACCTGATCTCTCTTCAGAATAAAACCAAAAGAGCAAGAGAGAGGGAGCGTGAGAGCGAGGGAGAGGGAAAGAAAGAGATATAATTTAATTCCAGAACAGACAGGATTGTGGATTTAAAAAAAAGATTTTTAAAAAAAAGCACATTTTTGTAAAGCTTACATACACTTTAATCCGTTCACTCGAAACGCATGACAGCACGGCACATCCCTGTATAAACTGTGATTTTAACACGCTAGCGGACACAAAATACACGCACATACGCGCACACACGCCGTCCACACACAAGCACACACACACACACACACGCACAGACGCACCCAAAAAAAGGCAAAGGCGATATTATCCTTAGCTTTACATGTTACATTAATGGCCAGAAATGGGGAAAAAAAAGAATATATATGTATATAAGGTTTTTTTTTTTGGTTCGAAGTTTAAAAAGTATATTTAAAGAAACGAAAAAAAGTCTCTCGGAAGTGTTTAAAAAAAAGATTCAGAATAACCACTGTTAAGTTAAGCGATTTGTGCAGAACTTTTGTATGTCGCACTTTTGTTGTGTGGGTGACGGAGATTTTATTCAGCGATGATTGAAGATTAAAACTCACATAAGTCTGATCCGTATAAATCGTATAATCGGCTAAGTGGTACATCTGCCCCAAGTCCCATTGAATTTATTAGTTTTGCTTCATAACTCCTACTTTGCATAATTCATAATCAATGCCGTGTCCGAACTGATTCAACTTATGTGAGGTTTAATGTATTATTTGCGCAGATGAGCCTCTTGTCTCTCCCACACCCCAGTGATCTCAAGAAGTTTGTATCCTGCCATTCAAACTCTGATGTTCATTCAGAGTGAAGACAATAATAATAATCCTTACATTTGATATTAGCGCCATATCATTAGGTCGAGATGTGTCAAAGAGCTTCACAGGATACACTGTAAAGTGGATTGACCGCGTATTTTGTGAGCGAAACACGGCAATTGCGCACAGGGGTCGGTGTTCCCCCACAAACAGCGGTGGATTGAGTGACCAATTTTGGGGGGAGGAGAGCGATCCTGAAAAAGATAATGTGCTTCGCTGCTCAGGTGCTATTTTCTATTAGTTATCTTTGTTTAAAAAGCACTGTTTTACTTCAACAGCCAAGAAAAAGGGGGTGAGGAAAGGCGGAAGAGAAGAAGCTTACGTTGTTGAACAATGCGCCATTTCATAAAGAACTTGATGTGCTAATAGCACGTCGGTGTGTGTCAATGTGTGGGGGGGGTGGGGGTCGGAGGAAAGTTCTACACTTTAGAAGCAGGTTCTAGATTTGCTGTATTTGTGTAGGGATTCGGGAACTCCAGAATTTGGCGCAGCTTCAATTCCGGAGCCTTTTTTTGTCCCCACTCCAATGTTTCAACCCCCGCAATGTTCATGACTTTGCGCTCTGGTGTGGGAGATAATTTGTCTGTACAGTTTTTGTTTGTGTCTGCTTTTAATTGGTTGAACACAGCAATATTTTTGACGTGATTGATTTTTTTCGTTCCCCCACCACCACCATTTTGAGCTCACGCGTTCCAGGTTAGTTTTATAAAGTTATGCAGATAGCGACAAGTTCGAGAGAGATTACGACCTTCAGGGAAATCTCTCCTCTGATCCACTTTCAAAAATGTGAATTACAGCCTAAAATCTCTGTATATAGCTGTCTCCAACCAATAAAATAGGCCATCGTAAAATAGACTGGCACTTTGAGGCTAACTGTCCCACTCTATCCCTGGAGTATTTGTACAAATCTTTCCGAACGCGCAGAGCTTGACTGAAATATTAATTATGATCAATATTATGGTTGAAATATGAATTGTTGATTTTCACCCACAAAATACACAGTCGATCTATTTTACCGTATATTCTGTGAAGCGCTTTGAGACGTCTCGACGACGTGATAAGGTGCTGTATCGAATGAAGGATTATTAATTATGATGAATAAAATATTAATTACCATTATTAATATAAAAGGCTGCATGTAATCCCAATGAGGCATTCCTTCAGAGTGACTTTGCGCGGAAACAGGCCATTATCTCCAACTATTCCATGTGTTCTCACGGAGGAAAAGTTCGGCAAAGTTGTTGCCTTTTCCCAAAGTTGCATCAAAGCAAAACTCTCGTCTGTCTTTCTGACTCCTTTGAACTCTGCCCCCTTCCCCACCCTTCACAATACTTTCCACCCTCTTGATAATTAATAATAATAATCCTTGCATTTGATACAGCGCCTTATCACATTGTTGAGATGTCTCAAAGCGCTTCATAGAGTATATTTAAAGTGTATTTTGTGGTGGATTGAGTGACCAAATGTTTTTTTTGGAGGGTTTATTACCTCTGGAATGAGATCCACCGATCGACTAACACCCGGGTTCCTACTTACTGCTGTGTAAACAGAGGCGTGTGGGTGGAGTAAGGAAACTTGCCTAAAGTTTCGCCCTGACCGGGAATCGAACCCGGGTCCTCTCGCTTGCGAGACGAGCGCTCTAACCACTGCACAATAGGACTCCTGTAAGCACTGGATTTGTCTAAGGATTGGGTGAGCGGTTGCGATGGGAAGAAACCAACTCAAGTCCAGAGTTTGTTCTGATTGTCTCAGTGTTCGTTTATATACCTCGGCTCTGACCACAAGCCCTGAATTTATGTAACATTTCTTTGTATCATTTTATATATAATACACATATATATATATACTTATTAAATTTAGGACAATGTAATGTGCTGTAAAATACTGTGTGACTTTTGGTCAGAAACTGAGAGAATCGATCTGTGCCCTCATCGTCTGTGTGGCCTCCGCACAGGAGATCACACGGCTGACTTTGAATTTTTTTTTTTATTTGGAGCAAAATAAACAGATTCCTCTCCTTCGAGTCGGACAAATGGGAATTCCATCCCGGGAACCCGGGCTAACCTCCCAACTCCGTGCGCTTCCCGAACAAGAAGTTTCCCGCGATGGAGAATTTCGAATGGGATTACTTATTAAGGAATATAGTGATATTGATAATAATAATAATAATCCTCGCATTTGATACATCGCGTCATCACGTCTTCGAGACGTCTCAAAGCGCCTCACGGAGTATACTGTCAGGTGTAGTGACTGTGTGTTTTGTGGGCGAGACGCGGCAGCCAATTGAGCTCAGCGGCGTCCCACGAACAGTCGTGGTATGAGTGACCAAATTCTTTTTCTTTTTTTTTGAGGGGCTATTACCCCGTTAAGAAATGGTGCAAATTCTCTCTCTTTCTCTCTCTCTTTTTCACTCTTAAATAACTGCAGTATCAATGCAAACCAAAGGATCTAAATGGCAATATGATTTTCTGAAATGGACTGTAAGCATGTTCCACAGGAGTTTGCACGTTGGCAAAGACACGGTAATCTGCAATGTATTGTTTACTCAAGAATGAATAATAATAATCTTAATAATAATCCTTGCCTTTCATACAGCGCCTCATCACGTCTCCGAGACATCCCAAAGCGCTTCACCGAATACACTGTAAAGTGAATTAATTGTGTAGTTTGTGGGCGAAACGCGGCAGCCAATTGCGCACAGCAGCGTCCCACAGAGAGCCGTGGATTGAGTGACCACATTTTTAAAAACAATTTGAAGGGATTATTGCTCCCAGTTACACTGAATAATCACATTAAATATTTTCGGCCGAGATATATTGACAACACGATGACTTAAGCGGTAGTGACAAGGTAAGCCAGGGTGATGCTATCAAGCGTTTGCTATAATAATCCTTCCGTTTCATCACACCATCACCCCAGTCCTCGCCGGGCTCCACTGGCTCCCCATCACCGAACGGATCGACTTCAAGATCCTCTCAGTCGTTTTCAAATCCCTTCCTGCCCCGCACCTCCCTGCCTCTCCGACCTGCTTATCCCCCCCCCACTCTACCACCTGTTGCCTCCACTCGGTTGGTCCCACCTCCTATTTGACCCTCGTGCCCTCCGCTCCACCATCAGAAGCGGCGCTTTCACCCACTACGCCCCAAAACTCTGGAACTCTCTCCCTCGATCCCTCCGCCTTGCTCCCCTCCCTCCCCATCTTCAAATCCCGCCTAAAGACCTTCCCTGTTTGATCGTACTTACGGTCACCTGCCCCTTCCCTCTCCCCCCCCCCCCCGGCTCGGTGTCAGACTCTGCCACTGTCAAGCACTCCGGGACGCTAGCCCACATGAAGGGGGTGGTGGTGGAGATGGGGGGAGTGGGTAGAATGAGGTGAAACCGAAGGTGCGGATTCACATGTGGGAATCTAGTTTGCATTATTCTTAAGCGTAGTTGATGGGGTTCACCCACGTGGCGAGCGATTTGAGTACTATTTACATTCATACAGCGCCTTTCACGTTGGGTGGGTGCAGGTGGGTGGTGGGAGGAGGGGGGTTGAAAGGAAAGGGGTGGGAACTTAATTTCTTAATAGGGGAGATGACCAAAAGTGTGGTCAATGAGGTACATCTTGAGGTAGACTCTGAGCTGAGGGAGCGAGCGAGCGAGTTGGATAATGTTCCAAATTGAAAGAGACATTCGCTCCATGTTCAGACTCGCAAAGACTCCTGTAGAAAATGCCATCAGGGATCCTACCCTCAAATTATTATTATGTGGTGTCCCACTAGCGTAGTGGCTAGAGCCCTCGCCTCGCAAGCAAGAGGACCCGGGTTCGATTCCCGGCGGGGGCAAAGCTTAGGCAAGTTTCCTTATTCCACTCGCCTCTGTTTACGCAGCAGGAAGTAGGAACCCAGTTGTTAGTCCACGGCAGATCGCTTTCTGGAGGGAATAATGCCGCCAATGAAAAAAAATTGGTCACTCAATCCACAGCTGTTTGTGGGACGCTGCTGTGCGCAATTGGCTGCTTTGTTTCGCCCACAAAATATACAGTCAATTCACTTTGCAGTATATTCTGTGTACTGTAAACCTCCCCCCACCCCCACCCCGCTGCCTACCAGGTGTCCCTATAGTAGAACCAATTGATTTCAAGACCGTCTGACCCTCGTCTTCATGCCCTGGTATCTCACTCCCTCGCCGACCTGCTTTGACCTTCTTTCTCCCCACTTTAGTTCCCGCTGCCTCCGCTCGGCTGGCTCCAGACTCCTGCCTGTCCCTCGTCCCCTTCGCTCCACCATCGGCGGCAGCACTTTCAGCCGCTGCTCCCCGAAGCTTTGGAACTGTCTCCCCCGATCCCTCCGCCTTTGTCCGCACTCTCCTTCCCCTCTTTTAGATCACAGCTGAAGACTCTCCTCTTCGACCGCACTTATGGTCACCTCTTCCCCTCCCACTGGCTCAGTGTCAGGCTCTGCCATCGTTAAACTGCCCCACGTGAAGGGCACTGTGTAAATGCAAGTTGTTGCTGTTGTATCAGAATGCAAGGATTATTATTATTGTTGTTGTAGATATGCTGATCACAAATCAATATTTATACCGATGACCTTTGTTCCTCTGTACATTTTACTCTGTAAAAGTCTCTGTTAACATTAATTATTAATAAAACAAATAATTTATATCCCGGTTCATTGCAGGCGACAGAGTTATTTTGTAAAGGGTTTCAGTTAAGTTCTCCCATTGATGTTAAAGCTTTAAGACGTCTCAACGACGCGATAATAGTAATCGTTAGGATGTAAAGCTTTATTGAGGCGTCTCAAAGCACTTCACAGAACACACTGAAAGCGAATTGACGGTATATTTTGTGATGAGGTGGTGTATCAGCTTCAAGGATTATTGTTATTATTAGTTACCATAAAAAATCATGTGAAGCGCTTTGAGACGTCTTCATGTTGTGAAAGGCGCTGTATCGGGTTATTAGCCCTCAGGTGGGACTCGATCCTAACGTCTGACGGAGCAGCAAACAGTTAAGTCTCAGCCTCGCACTTCTCTCTGCTCATTTAGGGGCTGTCACGCGGAGGGAGGGAGGGAGGGAGAGAGAGAGGGAGGGAGGGAGGGAGGGAGAGCGTCACCGTGTGAGAGTGAGAGTATTGGAGGAGGGAGTGAGTGGGTGAGTGTCACAGTGAGAGGGTGTCAGTCACTCTGTGTCTCAGTGAGTGGAATAATGTGTCAGGTATTGGATTACAATATGGACGCACTATCAGTGTGAGTGTAACTGACAATCCGTGTGTGAGTGTACGACAGTGCGTGTAGCAATGTGTCAGTATCAGTGTCACAGTGTTACAATGTGTCGCAGTGTGTCACAATGTATCAGTGTGTGTTACAATGTGTGTTACAATGTGTCGGTGTGTTACAATGTGTCGCTGTGTGTTACAATGTGTCGCTGTGTGTTACAATGTGTTGCTGTGTGTTACAATGTGTCGCTGTGTGTTACAATGTGTCGCTGTGTGTTACAATGTGTCGCTGTGTGTTACAATGTGTCGCTGTGTGTTACAATGTGTCGCTGTGTGTTACAATGTGTCGGAATGTTTTACAATGTGTCGCTGTGTGTTACAATGTGCCGCTGTGTGTTACAATGTGTCACTGTGTGTTACAATGTGTCGCTGTGTGTTACAATGTGTCGGTGTTGATGTCAGACTGTGTCAGGAGCTGCGATTGGCCGATGTTTGGAGGTGAACTCCAGCCATCAACCAATGAGACCCTTTGTTACAGCCCAGTCACTACGCCAGTCCGACTGAAGGGAGAGAGAGAGAGAGAGAGTGAGAAAACAGTGAGAGAAAGAGTGTCAGATAAACAAAGTGTGTGAGAGAGAAAGAACGTGTGAGAGCGAGAGAGAGAGAGAGAGAGAGAGAAAGTGTGCGGTAGAGCGAGGGAGAGAGGGAACGAATGAGTGTGTGGGAGGGGAGGAAGAGTGTTGTTGTAGAGTGAGCGAAGGAAGAGGGGAGAGAGAGCGAAAGTCTGAGGGAGAGAGAGAGAGTGAGAGAGTGCGTGTGTGCGTCTCAGAGAGAGGGAGAGAGAGAAGGAGGAAAAGCGAAAGAAAAGAGAGACCGTAGATGTGAAGAAGTGAGAGTGAAAGTGAGTAAAAGTGGGGAGGGGGGAGGGCGGGGGGGGGGAGAGCCTTCACGGGTAGTTTTGGGGGGAGAGAGAGAGACAGGGTCCGCTGCACAAGATTTACAGCGAAGTGTAGTGACTGTGTGTTTTGTAAGGGAGAGCGCGAGCAGCCGACCTGCGCCCAGCGACGACGTCCCCCAAATATAGCCGTGAAGTGAGCGAGAGAGCGAGCGGTGATTTTTTACGCTGGGGCGGGGGGGGGGAGGGCGGGGGGAGGGGGGGGGAGGGCGGGGGGAGGGGCGGGGGGCGGGGGAGGGCGGGGGGAGGGCGGGGGGGAGGGCGGGGGGGGAGGGCGGGGCGGGGGGAGGGGGCGGGGGGGAGGGCGGGGAGGGGGGGAGGGGCGGGGGGGGGAGGGCGGGGGGAGGGCGGGGGGAGGGCGGGGGGGAGGGCGGGGGGAGGGCGGGGGGAGGGCGGGGGGAGGCGGGGGGGGAGGGACGGGGTGAGGGGGCGGGGGGGGGGGAGGGCGGGGGGGAGGGCGGGGGGAGGAAGGGGAGGGCGGTGGGGGAGGGGGGGGGGGAGTGTGGGGGGAGGCGGGGGGGGGAGTGTGGGGGGAGGGGGGGGGGGAGTGTGGGGGAGGGGTGGGGGGGAGTGTGGGGGATTGTCGGGCATTAATTCAGGACGAATGTCATTTGAATTTGATCCCCAATGAACTAATTAACAAACGGATCTAATACGGAACGAACGGCTTTGGGACGACCGTCTGACGGTGACTGCGCGACACGAATGTAATTAGTTGTTGTTTGTTCCTGTCGGTTGTCGGTTGTCGGTTGTCGGTTGTCGTTGTTGTCGTCGTCGGTTGTAACCTCAGCTGTGAAGCCGGGTGTTGTGGAGGTGGTGGGAGGGGGGGAGTCGATCTCCCGGAACTGCCCATGGATCCGACGCAAGAAGACACCGGAGCGGAGGCCGGAGTGTGGGGGGAGATCACAGCGCCCACCGCGACACCGTGTGGAACAGAGTTTGCCGACCGCGCCCTGAGGTACCCGCAACGCCCTGACACTCGCCCACCTGCTCGCTCCGTCCGCTCCGTACCGAACCCCCCCCCCACCCAACACACCCTATCCCCCCAACTCCCCCACCCGCCTTCCCCTCCACTCTCCACCACCCCCGCCCCCGCCCTGCCTTCAGCCCCCCCCCACCCTCTAGAACTCTACCCCACAACCCCTCCGCCTCGTGCCCCCACCCCCCATTTCGAGGCCCGTCTGGACACCCTCCTTTTAATAATAATAATAATAATAATCCTCGCATTTGATATAGCGCTTTTCACGTCGGGAGGACGTCCCAAAGCGCTTCACAGAACACACTGTAAAGTGAATTGACTGTATATTTGTGGGTGAACGCAGCAGCCAATTGCGCACAGCAATGTCCCACAAACAGTCGTAGATTGAAAATGACCAATTTATTATTGTTTTTGGTTTTATTTGGAGGGATTATTATTAGGCTCTGTGTGGAGTAAGGAAACTTGCCTAAGGTTTCAAACTCAGGTCTCTCGCTTGCAAAGCGAGTGCTCTAACCATTGAGCTACAGGACTCCACTTTTCGCCCCTCCCCTCAACCACCCCCCCCCTCCGCGCTTTCGGCCGCCCCCCTCGAGTGGCAGGGAGGGCCGGTCAGGCGATGGGGAAGTTTGCCGCGTCCCAAGGTACCGGCGGACGTTCCTGCCTGACGATCCCCCCACCCCGTGGTCTCCCTCCCAGCGATCCCGCCCGGACGCCTCCTCCCGACTCCGGCCCGAGAGCTGAGGAGCCCAGGGACTCCACCAGCGACCTCTGCCCATCCGACTCTGAGACCCCGAGCCACGGTCAGGAGCCGGTGGAGCAGCAGCAGCAGCACCGGGCGGGAGACCCCGAGCCCCCGGGTTACAGTGACCGGGCGGACGGGTTGCCCCCCCACCTCCTGAGCTCCTCGGGGCTCAAATGGTCGACCGACATCCCGGAGGACGGCTCGGTGGGACCGGGCCTCGGGGACCCCCCCCTGGGAGCGGAGACGTGGGGCCGCGGGCCAGAGGACGGTGCGGCCGGGAAAGGTTCGGGGCCGGAGGCGGCGGCGTTCCTGGACGGGGAACGGACCCGGGAGGACCCGGACGCGGTGCCCATTCCCGCCGCCGGACGGCTGACCGCGGATTCCGCAGCGCAGGTAAAGCACAAACCAGGAATGCGTCCCGGAGCGTTGGGGCTGAAAATTGGAAGAATATTTATAATCATAATAATCCCGGGGTTTGACCCGGCGCCTGAGCCCGCCGTCGAGACGTCTCAAAGCGCTTCCCGGGATACGCTGTAAAGTGTAGTGACTGTGTATAAGGACGGGGTTAGGCTTCCCGGTGGGATCTGTTCAGAGCCGAGGAACGGGTCAAAAAAACAACAATTCCCGCCGCCATCTAACAGCGAGCTTCCGAAATTACAGACGGAGTGCGAGACGGCAGAGGCAGAAGTCAACACGGACCAGGATATCGGGAATTTTATGGTGAGTCCGGAGTCGTGTAGAAGTGCTGACCTAACCCGGTTGCCGAGCCCCACGTTCCGTAGCTTCCCGGCTCCTGGCATTTGCAGGGATGCGTTAAGATCGCTGGGAAAACCCGTCCTTGCACCTCCTCACACGGCCCCCGATCACATTGTCGAGACGTCTCAAAAGCGCTTCACAGGGTTTACCGTGAAGGGAATTGACTATACTCTGTGGCCGATTAAGTCGTCAGTCAACCAAAAGCAGAAGAGGCTTTAAGACGTTTTCTTTTATGTTGCTCTTTCATGCCCGCCCGCCTCGCTCCAAATGTACATCTTCGACCGTGCTTTTGGGGCACCTTTCCCCCCACCCCCACCCACCAGCCCCCTCCCCAGCCCCAGGCTCAAGTGTCCAGCCAGCATCGTCAAGCTCTTCGTGGCGTCCTCCCAGTGTGAGCGGCACTGAACGCAAGTGTAAACTGTGTATCAATGGCCAAGTTGTGTGGGTTTAGTTGGTTAGACTCCAGCAGTTACCCCAACGCACACTCTGGGCTCCCCCCCCCCCACCCCACCCTTCTCAAGCCTTGGCTCTCGCCAACCTGCGCCTAATACTCTCCGGAATTAGGTAAACAGGGTACCAGACACCCGGTGCAAAAAAAGCAACTGTTAGCTGCGTCTCACATGTTTCTCTCCCCACCCACCCCCCACCCCCCCACCCACCCCCACCCCACCCCCACCCCACCCCACCGCCCACCCCCCACCCCACACCACCGCACACTCCATTGTCGTTGCGACTTTAGAAAGCGGTGACCTGCGAGAGGGAGGTTCTGAAGGAGAGATACCAGGAAGTCCTGGATCGGCACAGGCAGCTGGAAAACCAATTACAGATTAAAATCCGATGTCTTCAGCAGCAGGCGGAGGAGGAGAAGAACATCTGCCAGGTACCAGCCTTCCTGCGTCTCCATCGTCCTCCGTGGCGTCCAGCGGTGTAGAGGTTTAGAGCGCGGGGAATCGGGCAAGTGTCATTTTTAGGAGAAGCATGGTGTAAACGGGACATAGTCAGCGAGTTCAGTCACTTCACATAAGAGCCAAGAGGGGGAAAAAAAACCAGGACAACAATTGCTATTTATTTAACGAATAATTTAACGGGAGGATGTCTCAAAGCGCTTTGCACAGCTGACTTGGAAGATTGATGAGGATTGTGTCCCCCACTTTTAACCAACTGGAGAAATGCCAAGTATTTTTACTTACACTCACGAAATACACAGTCCCTCCACTTTACAGTGCATCCTGCGAAGCGCTTCGAGGCGTCCCAATGAGGCGATGAGCCACTATATCAAATGTAAAGATTATTATTGTTACTGTATTGAAACGCACGGTCACTACGCACCACAGAAATAAAAAAACGTGCGAAGCATTCGGATTACAGTTACAGCACGACGAGGTGCCGCATCAAACGTGAGGATTATTAATTATTCATTATTATCATTACAACCCGGCTCTTTATACGCTCGCCTTTGCTCGATTTTTTTTTGACCCAAGAGCGATTAAGTGAGGTGATTATGGTAATAATAATAATAATAATAATAATGACAATAATAATCCTTGCGTCCGCCGTCACGTCTTCGAGACGTCTCAAAGCGCGTCACGGAATGTACTGCCAAGTGAATCGACTGCATATATTTTGTGGGCGAAGCAAAATTCATAATTTATGGTTCATAATTCTCCCGGCACTTGGAGGTGTCGGCTGCCGTTGCCGCGGTAACAAGAGGACGGATCGACGACGCGGTAAGGCACTAAAACAAACGCCAGGAATATGATTATGAATATTATTATTATTATTATTATTATCACCGTTGTTGTCACTAATCGTCTTAGGAGAATGGAAAGCAGATTCAGGAGGTGAAGACCAAGTTGGAAGAACTGAAGAAGAAGTCTGAGAGGGAGAAGAAGGAGTATCTTCAGAAGGAACAGGAGATGAAGAGTGAAATCGAGAAACTTTACGAAACCGGGAAGCAGTAAGAGCGAGATTAACCGAGAAGCCTTCGGGCGGGTGTGCGTGCTGTGGGGGGCCTGCGCGGTCCGCGCGTGCGCGCGCGCGCGCTCCCAACGTGTGGCCTGTGTTCCGTGTGCGCGCGTGTGCGATCCCTGCATGTGCGTGTTGGCCGCGTGGTTCAGTTCACGTCCTGAGATTCCCACTTGTATTTCTCGCACGGCACCCATTGTAATCTTGTTATGCAGGACTTTGTGGGGTCCCGTAGCTCATCGGTTAAGAGCACTCGCCTCGCAAGCGAGAGACCCGGGTTCGATTCCCGGACGGGGCGAAACCTTGGGCGAGTTTCCTTACTCCACACACACACACACACGTCTCTGTTTACGCGGCAGTAAGTAAGAACCCGGTTGTGAGTCAATTGGCGGATCTCTTTTCTGGGGTAATAATCCCTTCAACAAAATAATAATTTGGTCACTCGGCTGTTTGCGGGGACGCTGCTGTGCGCAATTGGCTGCCGCCGGGTTTCGCCCACAAATATACAGTCAATTCACTTTACAGTATTCTCTGTGAAGCGCTTTGTGACGTCTGAATGACGTGGAGCGCTGTATCAAATGCAAGGATTATTATTATTATTATTACTATTATATTACCCACGTCTGTCCACCAGGTGGCGGCGTCTGACTTAACCACAGATGGCATTGCCATGGGGTAGGGGTAAAAATGCGAGATTTCATAACTGTTTCGGTGTGATATTTACTGTTTGTGCGGCGAAACCGTCACCCGAGCGGTTAACCGTCCAGTGCCTTGGGACATCCTCCCGACGTGAAAGGTGCTATGCTCTGTAATGGGAGTCCTGTCGCTCAGTGGTTAGAGCTCTTGCCTCGGGCAAGTCTCCTTACTCCACACACCTGATAATAATTCCTCAAGAGAAAAAAAACAATAATCACACAGTCACTTAATCCACGGCTGTCTGTGGGACGCTGCTGTGCGCAATTGGCTGCCGCAATTTCGCCCACAAAATATACAGTCAATTCACTTTACAGCCTATTCTGCGAAGCGCTTTGAGACGTCTCAATGACGTGACAAAGCGCTGTACCAAATGCCAGGATCATTATAATTTGCTGCTGTTGTTGTTGTTGTTCCAGGTTAATGAAGGAGCAGGAGGAGAAGGGGATCCAGGTGGCAATCTTAATCAGCGAGCAGGCGGAGAAAAAGTAGGTGCTCGAGGTGTTATTAAATCAGACGTCACTTAGATACGAAGTGAGCGCTGTTATATGAGCAAAACATAGCAGCTAATTTGTGCCACCGACATCCTACACATCGCAATGAGATACGCAATTGAGTTGTTTTTGGATTTTGGGGTTGAAGTTGGACGAGCAAGTTTCAAAGACGTCCCAAAGGGCTTCACAGAATATACGGTGAAGTAAATTGACGGTGTATTTTGTGGGCCAAACGCGGTAGCCAATTGCGCACACTATGGATTGAAGTGACCAATTTAATATTGTTTTTTTGAAGGAATTATTGCTCCCTGGAAAAGCTCCCTGACCGATCGCCTAACAACCGGGTTCCTACTTACCGTAAGGTAAACAGAGGCGCGTGTGTGGAGTAAGGAAACTTGCCCAACCTTCCGCTCTGCCCGGCTGGGAATCGAACCCAGGTCCTCTCGCTTGCGAGGCGAGTGCTCTAACCACTGAGCTACAGGACTCAACAGGTGTGAGGGGAGGGCGAGGTTAACATCAACAGTGAGATGGACAGACCCAACTCGTGACACGTTGGTTCATTAATCGCGACCTTCTCCCTTTCTCCTGTCCCTGCCACAGGGAGAAGGTCAATGGGGACTTGGCGAGAGCCAGGCAGCATCACAACGAGGTGAACAAGAAGATACTAGCGGAGACAGAGAGAGCGTTAAAAGCCGAGGTGTGTGCCAAGAAGCTGGTGTAGGCTTGTCCCCTTCCTCTCTCCCTCCCTCCCATTTTCTCATCTCTCAGTAGCCTCCTGTGTTCCTCTGCCACTCTCCCGTCACTATGTTCTCTCTCCTCTGCTCCCAGCAGGGCTTCCCCTATCCCCAATAAGTTGTGCGTCAAAACATTTCTCGTGATCTCCCCCATTTGCTTCATTGCTGGCTATTGGCTCAGTGGGTAGCAGTCTCTCTCTCGCTCTCTCTCTCTCTCTCTCTCGCTGGTAAATCCACTTCTGCGAAGGGCTTTGAGATGTCTTGAAGACGCAATGAGTCGCTGCGTCGAATACGAGGATTATTCCCTTTCAGGTGATTTCCCTGGAGAGCAAAAGGCAACTGGCGGTGATGATGTTGGACCAGGCGGAGATGGAGGCGGAGATGCAGATTCGGAACTCGGGGTCAGTGTCCTTCCATTCGCGTCCGAGTAGAGTTAGTGTGTGTGTGGTGTGTGTACGTTTGTGTTTGTCCATGTGGTGTGTGTGTTTGGTGTGTGTGTGTGGAGGTGAGTGTGTGGCGTGTGTGTGGGGATGGGTGTGTGATGTTGGTTTGTGTGTGTGGGGGTGGGTGGTGGGTGGTGGTGTGTGTGGGGGGCTGGGTGTGTGGGGTCGGTTTGTGTGTGGGGGTGTGTGTGTGGGTGTGGTGTGTGTGTGGGGGTGGGTGGTGTGTGTGGGGGTGGGTGGTGGTGTGTGTGGGGGGCTGGGTGTGTGGTGTGGGTTTGTGTGTGGGTGGTCGGTAAGAGAGATGCCTCTCAATGGGGTGGGTGTAGGGGTGGGGGGTCTTTTAAAAGTGGGGAGAGAGATGACATAGGGGTTTGGAATGACTCCCACCCCCACCCCCAACCCCACCACCCCAGCTCAGGTGCAATCCCTGATCTGTCCAGCAACAAGGGACGTCCTTCTGACGTAAGTATTAATTTTATCGTTGTTGTTCTGGAGATGTGGGGAGGGGGAGATGATGGAGGGCGGAGGGGTTTTGTGTGGGGGGGTTGTAGCAGCTGGGGGCTTGACCCCTCTGAAGGAGCTTTCTACCATTTTCCCTTTTTCCTGCAGGTCTCTGCCCATCAACTCAGGCCATCTGCAGGAGTGGCAAGTGAGGCTGAGTGATATTCGTATACAGAAGGAGAGTTTGAAGGCAGGTACCGGGGGTGTCAGAGTGTGGCGTAAATTGTTGATGTTGTTGGATGATGTTCGCGGATCGAGATGACGTTAAAGATCCTGTGGCACTGCTGGAAAAGTGAAAAGAGTTTCTCTCTCTCTCTGTCTCTCTCTCTCTGTGTCTCTCTGGCCAACAATCCCCAAAATAAAATAACTTTTCCTCTCTGGTGGCTGTTTGTGGGACGTCGCTGCGCACAAATCGACTGCCGAGTACGGCTACGAGGTACACACTCGCTCCGCTTGACAGTAAATCACGTGAAGCTTGTTGTGGTGACCGGGAGAGAGAGAGAGAAACTCCCTTCTCTTTTCAAATAGCGCCACAGGGATCTTTAACGTCCAACTGACAGGTAGACCCGGGACCTGGGTTTGACGGTCCCATCTGAAGGACGGCACCTCCGGTAAACAACATAGCGTCGATTGTTGTATGATCGCGTTTTATCGTCTTTCAGAAGCAGTATAGCGCTCAGATCGAGATGGTGAAAAATGGGGCCAAGCTCAGCAGTCTTTCCATCATTCCACCCCCCAACCTGCTCCCAGCCCCCGCAGAGGTTACGGTAAGGCAGTCAAACGGACTCGCACACTTACACCTCCACTCAGAGCAAGACAAGAGTCCCATAGCTCAGCGGTTAGAGCACTTGCCTCACAAGCGAGAGGACCTGGGTCCGAATCCCGGGTGGGTCAGGGCAGAGCGAAACCTTAGGCAAGTTTTTTTACTCCACACATACCCACACCCACACACATCCACACACACACCTCTGTTTACCCAGCGGTCAGTAGTAACCCACTTGTTAAGTTAATTGTCGGATCGCTTTCCGGAGGTAATAAAAAATAATAACAATTTTTTAAAAAATGCAGCGTCTCAATCCACGACTGTTTGTGAGACGCTGCTGTGCGTAATTCGCTGCCACGTTTCGCCCCCAAAATATAGAGTCAATTCACTTTACAGTATATCCTGTGAAATGCTTTGAGACGTCTCAAAGACGTGATAAGGCGCTGTATCAAATGCACAGATTATTATTGTTATTTACAGGCTGACGCCATGCTGAAAGGAAGGTGGCCGGGCTCCATCCCTCTGAATGCCTTTCAAACCCTCAGCGTAGCTCCGGTTACGCCACACTTCCCAACTCCGTTCTTCCCCAGCAGCTCAGGATCGACTCCGCCCTCCCTCCCCGGGGCCTTCTATCGCAGGAATCTCCCGGGAGCTCCCCCGGGGTTGGGCGGATACTCGGAGGCCGAGGGGATGGGATGTCCCCCTGCCCCCAGGACCGTGGCCAAACTGGACAAACTTCTGGAGAAACTGCAAGCGAAGTTGCCTCATTGTAGCCGGTAGGTTCCGTTAATAATAATAATAATAATAATAATAATAATCCTTGCATTTGATTTGGGCCCTCATCACGTCTTCGGGAGGTCTCAAAGGGCTTCACAGGATATACTGTACAATGGAGTGACTGTGTATTTTGTGGACGAGACACGGCAGCCACACAGCAGCGTCCCACAAACAGTTGTGGATTGAGCGACCTCCTCCCCCCACCCCCCCTCAAAGGTTGGGGCTTACTTGGGGGGGCAGGGGATGGGGAAGGGGGAGTAAATGGTAGGGCCTAAGCTGCTGCTATAATAATCTTGGCTTCAGTAAATGCAAATTGTTGCTGTGATAATATTGGCTTCAGCCTCTATTGTGTTGTGACCATGTCCACCTCTGGCTTCCCCGCTCCTTCCAGAGCTCAGTTGACGCAGCAGATCAAGCAGATCAAGATGTCGCGGGGATCAATCGCTGACCTCTCTGTGGACGAGCTAATGAATCTAGTGGCTCAGAGACTGAATGAAGCTGAACAGGTCCGTCTCTTCTCCCAGACACCCCCCCCCCCACCACCCCGTTCGCTCTACACCGTCACAAACCCATGAAAATGCAATGCCAGTCGTGGGTGCAGCAGTTAGAGCGCTCGCCTCGCAAGCGAGAGGACCTGGGTTCGATTCCCGGGCAGAGCAAAACCTTAGGCAAGTTTCCTAACTCCACACACACGCCTCTGTTTACCGAGCAGTAAGTAGGAACCTGGTTGTTAGTCAATTGTTAGGTCTCAATGGGTAAACAACAACAAAATGACATTACACAACGCCTTTCACGTCGAGAAGACATCTCAAGCCGCTGGACAGTGAGGGATTCAGACCCGAGCTGGGGGTTGGTATCAGGAGGGGGTGGAGGGCAGGGGAGGGTGGGGGTAGGAGGGTGACCGAAGGCGTAGTCAAAGAGGAGGGTCTTGAGATGGGCCTTGAAGGAGATAAAGGAGGGGGCGAAGAGAATGGACTGTGGGATGGGGGCAGAGAGGCTGAAGGCCCGACCGCTGATTTTTTAATGTGTTTGTTTGTGTGTGTGTTGCTGTATATCGCAATCACTTCTGTCCGAACCAAGTAGAATTGGGTCTCATTGTCATCCAATCTTTCTCTTGTCTGGAGACCAACCGGTCGGTTTCTGTGTGTGATAAGTTACCGGCTCGCACGCGCTTTCTGGAAGGTTTCAGCCTGAGGGCGTGAGGGAGCTTTGGAAGCCCTTTTGGAAAGACCTGCGCTTGGCCCAATATATCTTTCTGTTAATAATAATCCTCGCATTTGATACAGCGCCTGATTAAGTCATTGAGACATCTCAAAGCGCTTCACAGGGTAGACTGCAAAGCGGAGTGACTGTGTGTTTTGTGGGCGGAACGCGGGCAGCCAGTTTTCACGTAGCATCGTCCCACAAACAGCCGTGGATGGTGTGGGGGTGAGGTGATCCATTTTTATTTGGGGGATTGTTAGCCAGGACATCGAGAGAGCGAGAGAGAGAGAGAGAGAGAGAGAGAGAGAGAAACTCCCTTCTCTTTTCGAATAGTGCTAAGGGGATCTTTAACATCCACCTGAATAAGCAGACGGGGAGTTTGGTTTAAACATCTCATCCGAAAGAACGGTTTATTCCTTTTATTAGCTGTCTATCTAGTTCCCTGTTGAAAGCCAATTGGGATTGTGCCCCGAAAGGGTCGGGGGCGGAGTGGGTTAGTGTTTGTTTTCAAACGTTTTCAAGATGGAGGCGCTGCGATTGGGAAAATCTCTTTAACGCCTCGTTGGTTTTTTTTTCATATCAGTCCCCTGGGAGCCCCCGCCTTTGCCTGATGTGCCAGAAGGTCGTGCGGGGGAACGAGGTACATCCCATGAGCTGTTCGCACATCGTCCACAAGGAGGTAAGGGGGTCTTCGGGCCGTCGCTCCGCGCTCCCACGCCCACCGTCCCCCGAAGAAGTGTTTGACAACCCTTGCCCCTGCCCCAGCCCTCCTCCCCCACCCGCCCCCCACCTCCGTATCTGGCCTTAGCCCCCCCACCCCCACGCCACCCCAACCAAAGAAAACCGTCCGCTCGCACTCACTCCGTCATTGTTTGGGGGGACGGACACCGCTGTGCACACTTGGCCGGTGCCTTCGCCTGCACAAATAAGTCACTGCGCTTTACGTTAAATCCTACGAACCTCTTTGAGACGTCCTCCCGACTTGAAAGGCGCCGTAACAAACGGCTGCAATATTATTATCATTATTATGTTATTACAGTTTAAATCATTATGTAGAGGTAATTTCTTCGTGGTTGTCAGCGATGGGTCAGCCTGATTTATACATGAATCGATGGGTGTTGCTTTTCTGAATACGTTTGAGCTTCCCCAAAATAACTACTTTTTGTAGGAGGTTGTTATCTTGTTCACCAGTTACCTTGTCAAGCCGTTTCTGAATAGTCTTGTTAGCAGTCCCAGTTACACTGGTAATTATGGGAACTATGTTTATTTTACATCACCGCATGTGTCCGCATTCAATTTGTGGATCATCATATTTCTTGATTCTCTCTCGTTTCTTGTTTTTCACATTATAATCACTTGGGAGAGCCACATCATTAATAATGTCACATGTACGTACAATCTATTTGATTCTTTGTGATAATATCTGGTCTGTTGCAGATAATTGTCCTGTCTACATGTACTTGTAAATCCCATTATTATTATTATTATTATTATTATTATATTGCGCTGCAAACACTTGAAGAGCGAATTGGGGACAGTCGTGTGTTGTGTTGTGTTGCTGCTCCTGCCAGGAATTGGTTGGGATCTCGAGTTGGCGAGTTCGCTGAGTGTGAGATGCCAAGAGACAGAAAGGAGGCAAACATGTCTGTTTTATTCTAACCTTGGTTCTCGGTGCTTGTTTTTATTTTGCCAGTGCATCAAATATTGGGCGCAGTCCAACAAGAACAGCGCCTGTCCCTTCTGTCCCACGCTGAGGTGACCAATGTGTATCCACGAGTCTTGACAGAAGCTTGGATCGCAACGAGGATTCATCTTCCAAACCTACTCCTCCATCAGTGATGGGGGGGGGGGTGGGTGGGGAGAGAGAGGAGGGGGGGTAGTAAAAAAAAAAGGCCCTGCCATCTTCTCTTGACCAAAAACTGAACTCGAACATGGAATGGGTCATCAGATTATTATTAGTAGTAGTAAAAGTCATTTTGTTATAAATGTGGACCAAAGTGTTCACTGACCACATGGCTATCAAGAAAGTAAGGATATTGTCCCCATGTGTGGAGACTGAGGTAAAGAGGAATGTGTTTTTATATATATATATACATGTATATCGATAAATATATATCAATGGTTGAACGCTCAATAAAGGTATGGTTGATAAACTGTGTGTCCCATTGCCCATGACATTCACCTACAAAATACAGTCAATTCACTTTACAGTATAATCTGTGAAGCGCTTTGAGACGTCTCGAAGGCTCTAAATCAAACGCGAGGGTTAGTATTATTATCATCATCCCCCGAAGTCCACGTGTACTAACGCAGAGAGTCGGAAGGTTTCATTCACCCAGCTTTGTTTTTTTTATCATGAATTATTAGGATTAGTCCCTCAGAAACGGAATAATTGCAATTGCTTTTCATGTAATATTAATGAAATCCGCATCCGATTTCAACCCCCGTCATTGAAAATTAACAGCTATTGATTTTAACAGTAAAATGATTCAAAACTTCCTTCTGCCTGTTAGGAGGAGGCGTGCGGTGTGTCAATTAACCCTCCTCAGCAATGGATCGCCTCAGGAAAGAAGATTCGACTGCTATTTTTGTACGTCTTTTTTTCTCTGTTACAGAAAGAAAATGTGCAGCAACGTGTGGGACTGGGAAGAAGTAATGAGCTGGATGGTGAGAGGAAGCTTAACGGTGTGTGTTGTGTCTGTGTGTGTGTGGGTGTGTGGGTGGGTGTAATAATCTCTTAATAATAATTTGGTCACTCAGTCCACGGCTGTTTGTGGGACGCCGCTGTGCGCCGCGTTTCGGCCACAAAATATACAGCCGCTACACTTTACAGTTTATTCTGTGAAGCGCTTTGAGACGTCTCGAAGACGTGGTGAGGCGCTATAATTCGGATGAGATGTTAAACCAGCATGCAACAAACACACGTGTTCACGTAGGATGCCAATGTACTTTAAGCGTTCTGAGACGCTGCCCTGCGCGAAGGGCGCGATATAAATGCAAATTGTTGTTGTCATACAGTACACGCGCTCTCACATACGGCTAACGCATACCCACCGGAGATGTACTTAATCCCATCAGCCCAGGCTGGACTCAAACACACAAGCTTTGGAGATGAAAGGCTGGTGAGTAACTTTGACACCCAGCGCTGGATTTAAGTTAAAACAGGAAAGGGTTTCTAAATTCTACTGAAGTACAAAGACTCCCAAACAGACACAATATTCCTGCCCCGTGTCGGCTTCTCTTCATTCATTCCTCTGCGTCTATTCTGCCTTTCACTGTGAATACACGGCACGCTCCGCAGATGTGACTTGAATCCTTCCAATTTTAAGTCGGTTTTGGAGCTTGGCTCTTTATTTATTCAGTTCCTTTCTTCCTTCTATCCCCCCCAACCCCCCCCCGCCACCATCTCCCCTCATTCCACTGACCTCCCAGTCGTTCGGGGTTAATTTGCGGGGATGTTGCCGTGTGTAAATTGGCTGCCGCCTTTCCCAGCGGAATAAAAACTTGAAGCAAAGCCGTTTGAGATGTTTCACTGGGATAATTGGTTGCTGGCCTCCCCGCTGTTTGTAGGACGTCACCTGCAGAAAATGCCCGGTCACCGCGCTTCACGGAGAAGCACTTTTGAGGCGTGAAAGACGTTGCATCGAATGCGAGGGAAATACAAAATGATTGCGAAGTCGGTGCTTTTGTTTTGTTTCGTTTTTATTAACAACTTAATAAAACAATAATTACGTGGACCAATTCATTTACAGAAATCCTAATTTTACGGAGTACCGTTTTCTCTGGGGTGAGGGGGGAGGGGTGAGGGGGGCGCGTAGGGGTGGGGGCAAAGAGAGACACGGAGACAGAAAAGCTATAAAAGTGACCAATTGTTAATGGGTCAAAGTAGGGACTACAAACTATACAATTGTTCATTACCCTACTTTAGTATTCATACCTTTACATTTGCTTTCATAAACCACTGCTTTCTTCCTCTCTCCCCTGAAATTTGCTAAATATCCTTCCAGGTGGTTAAAGGGGAGTTAGGAAAAGGTCACCAATCGTGAGGTCGTTTGCAAAATTAAAACAAGCGTTTCTTTTTTGTTTTTCCCGCTGCATAGCCCTTTTAATCGGTGAAGTGTGAGTCCCACCACCCCACCACCACCCACCTTACCCCCCCTCCTCCAATGGTCGTTGTTCTTCACCGCCTTACGCTAACCAGAGGAACGCAACACTTGAGAAATCACACCAGATGACGGGGGGGGCGGGAAATCCTTGCTTTCTGTCTGTGGTGGGCGCGAGAGTATTAGCACCAGATGACCATTTGCTTAATATACTAGGTCTCTCAATGGATTGAGTGCAAGACGTGAAGGCCAAACACATTATGGGTTGAAATCCCAGTGGGTTCACTCAGCGCTTTGCTCCCTAAATTAATACCTTCCTTCTGGAGAGAGGTGAGGCTTTTTCTCCCTGGCAATGTGCTGGGGATAATCACTGTCAATGGCTTGCCCCTCATCTCCTTGATGAGATATTATCTCCAGCCCTGCGAGCTAAAGCCCCGATGGGACATCTTGTCTAACGTGGGGGCATAGGGGAGCTTCCACATTGGACGGAACTTGTGAAATGCAGTATGCTGGCGAACAGCTCAAGGCAATCAAAAATGATCATTGCCTACAGCAATGGTGGTCAACTCGTGGCTCATGGGGTGATATCAAGAAACTGCCTTGTCCAACATTTGTCTAAGTCCAGGTAAGTCTGTGTTAAATCCGTATTTTGTTTCCAGTAGCTACTGAATAGATATACTTATGATGTGGCCGTAAATCATAGAATCATAGCAGAAGACCATTTGGCCCATCATTCCTGTGTTGGCTCTTGAAAGAGCTATCCAACTAGTCCACTCCTCCGCTCTTACCTGATAGCCCTCGCTAATTGTTTTCCTTTTCAAGTACCTATCCAATTCCCTTTTGAAAGCCACTATCGAATCTGCTTCCACCCACTCTCTCAGACATCACGTTCCAGATTATAACAACTCTCTGGGTAACAAAAAATTGAAGTAATCAAGAAATATTCAAACCAAGAAAAATGTATTGGGTTGACTGAGGTCAGCTCTGGTCCAACAGACTGACAACCAGACAAGGAACATTAATCAATATGAAACTTATCCTCTCTGTAAGGTCCCTCGGAATTTACACCAACCTGTTTTATATCAGACCAGCAGAACAATAATAATAATAATAATCCTTGCATTTGATACAGCGCCTTATCACATCTTCGAGGCATCTCAAAGCGCTTCACAGAAAGTGCATTGACTATATTTTGTGGGCGAAAAGAGAATCGCGTGAACTGAGAAATAATGCATTTTAAACGAGCAATCTTTTTCACAAAAACTACAAAAATACTTTTATCATTTTAATTGTGCGTCAGTGTATATTTATATATATATATTCTCTTCCACTCTTGTTCTTATCTCTCTCTCTCTGCTTCAAACAGCACCATTTGCCCAGAGGAGATTGTACGAACCATGAATTGATGCAGCCTCGAATCAATCCTATTTATTATGTGAAGAGTCCCAATAAGGTATGGTTGGTTCTCTGTGATATTGCTGCCAGCCTCTGTTCTTTCCCTTCTCCCCGACCTCCCTTCCCTTGCCAAGAATAATAATAATCCTTGCATTTGATACAGCGCCTTATCGCGTCGCTGAGATGTCTCAAAGCGCTTCGCAGGATACCCTGTAAAGTGTGTAGATTGGCCGTGTATTTTGTGGGCGAAACAATATTATTCAACTCAGCAGTGCCGGAAAAATTGGTGCTCTCCTCCTTCCCCCCCCCCCCCGTCCAAACACCATCCCCTCCTAAAGGTTTTCGATATTTATGGCACGCAAGACAGATAGCTGATGTGCCTGTGGTTGACTCGGGATGAGCTATCCATGCAGTACTACTGTTTTCCCCCCACCGCATCCTTTTTATATAACCAAATAGGAAAGCTTTTCGACGGGGATAATGTTACACTCTCTTATCTGCCTGGATGCTGGGCTTTCCCTCGGGAGCAAAGGAGGATAAAGTTGGTGGGATTTCTGTCCTGGAGTAGGTTTCTTTAACATCGCACTTTTAGTCACCTTCCCCTCGTCTCCAGGAAGCACTTTAAGACTCCTCCCGACGTGTAAAATTGCTGTGACTGTGGAGAAACTAAGCACATTAAGATCGAGCTGGACCTGGGAATGGGGGGGGAGGTGTATTAATTCTGTCAAGGACTTTGAATCAACAATGCACGATACGCGCTTGTCCACTCCCTCCGCTCAGTGGGCTCCGACCTGCACCATTTTGCCCCGGCTTGCCCTGCCTGCCCCACCATCAGCGGTCAGGCCTTCAGCCTCTCCGCCCCCACCGATTGGAACTCCATCCCACAGTCCCTTCGCCTCCTCCCTCGGCTCCTCCAAGGCCCGTCTCGAAAACCTCCTCTTCGAACCGCCCGTTTGATTACCCTCCACCCCAACCCCCAGGTCAGCTCAGGTGCAAACTCCTGACTGTGCAGCGCTTTGGGATGTCCTCTCGGCGATTGCGAAAGGCAATGTGGTGTAAGTGTAATCTGTTGTTGTTGCGCTTAAACAAACCCTTGTGCAGTGTAGGCCTAGCTGTGCAAATGACAACAACAGCAACTGACATTTGTACAGAGCCCTTCACATCAAGAGAACGGCCCAAGACTCTGGAACGCAACACAAGTCACCGTAACATAACACACAGGGAAAGGCATGAGCTCAGCCATGGAACGAATGCGATGGGTGCAGTGGGTGCGGGGGGGAGGGGGGGGGGTGTGTGATTTGAGGCGCTGGTAACGAAAACACATTTGCCAAAAGAAAAAACATTTGGCAAACAAAAAATATCAATTGCGTTGATGGGGACGGGTGGGTGGGGTTGGGTGGGGGTGGGGTTGGGGGGGAGGGGTGGCGGGAGGGAGGGTGGTGGGGGGGGGCGAGGGGCGTTTTTCAGCCCGTTCAACGTTTTGGAAACCTTGTAAAATTTCACATTTCTTTACAAAGAGATCTGTTGAGAAACATTGCAAATTAGATGATTAGAGTCATCAGCCCACATACTACCTCCCCCCCCCCCTCCGCCACTCACCCCCACCCCCACAGAGCAGATCCTACTCTACATCTTCTCACAGCGTGGCTCACTGGTAAAATCGGTCGCCAAGGCAACCGGACAGACTTGGCGCTGGGCGGGCGGGAGGGAAAAAGGATTTTTTTTGAACAAATAGAAGCAGAATAATGTTTCTCGAAAGGAGAGTGGCTCAGAATTGGAGCCAAAGAAGTCAGGGAGAAATGAATAGAAAACTGATCTCCTTGACAAGGCAAGCCATCCATTGGCAGTGGAAGCTCAAATTCCTGTGAGCAACGCGGACTATCTTAAAGGTTTTTCAACGAATATATATATTACACACACACACGCACTCGCACACGCGCACGCACACACCTGATGAGCTATTTCGAGCCTTACGACTTTTTTTTTTTCTCTTTTTATCGTACAAATCATTCTTATGGCTTGTAAACATAAAATAAGCGACGACAACAACTTGCATTTATATGGCAGCCCCTCTCACTCACTCATTCCCTCACTCACGCGCACACGCAGGCTAGCCTCCCAGAGCGCTTGACAGCGGCGGAGCACGATGCCGGGGGTGGTGGGGGGTAAGGGGAGGTGACCGTAGGCACGGTCCAAGAGGAAGGTCTTATGGCGCGACCTGAAGATGGGGAAGGAAGGGGGTGAGGCGGAGGGATAGAGGATACGTACACACGACAGACACGCACTGGGGTCAATGCATGCTGCATACAAGCTAGAGAGATGTTTTGCTCAAAGAATATTTCTGTTATATATCTATATATATATCCCTTTGCTAAGGTCTCAGAGGACATTCCTCCTCCACCACCAACCCCCCCCAACACTGTCTTTTAAGAGATTAAGACCAAACCAAAGAGCTGTGTGTGATCTGGTGAATAATCTGCTCTATGGTGTAATCCAGAGGGATGAGATCGGATAATAATCCTAATGATAGTAATCCTTGCATTTGATGTGGCGCCTCATCAGGTCTTCGAGATGTCTCGAAGCGCTTCACACAATACACTGTAATATGGAGTGACTGTGTATTTTGTGGGCAAAAAGCGTCCCACAAACCAGTCATGAATTTAATGACCATTTTTTTGAAGGGATTGAAGTCGTGGATTGAAGTGACCGGGAGAGAGAGAGCTCACCAACTGTCAGTGAACGGTTAAGTGACAGTAAATTCAAACCCCCCTCTCTTTATGCGATGGCCTGGTTGTAAAGTACTGTTGGAGATAGCCAGCTCTGTGGGCGATCATTATAGACTGGATTCATCCATCAGTGGGACAAATGGCATTGCATTACTGCAAGGATATAGCCAAAGGTCCTCTCGTCCAGCCAGAGCGTGTCAACTTGTTAGTCATCTGCTTGGCGGAGTGCTCACTGAATGAGTGGGTAATATCTGGCGTGGAGTCGAACGTTGTAATGGAACAGACTTTCTTGTTATGTCAGGTTAGCGCTGAGGAGAGTTTTTGTTAAAGCAGACTTTTTTTTTGCAACAATTTAATGTGTGTTATTTCCTCATTTTTTTTGTTTTTAATATAGTTAAAAAATGTAGGTCGGCAGTAAAATGTACCTCAATAGCACCAATCAATCCCCGTGATTTGACCGCAAAGCCTGTCGAACCCCCCCAGAACTTTGGGCAAATGTTTTCTATTAGCGCAGCTCATCAGGTATACGTGGAAGGGTAGACCAGTCTGTCACTGGAGGCAGGTAATACTCCCCACTCAGCTCCTGTTAACCCTGCAAGCCAAAGCCCTAAAGGGTAGGGTCAGGTGGTCTTAGCTGGATAAGCACCGGGAACGCTTGACAGACCGCAATATCGATGGCAAGCTCTGTGGGTTTAGTTGGTTAGACTCCAGCAGTTACCCCAACGCACACTCTGGGCTCTCCCCACGCCTTGGCTCTTGCCAACCTGTGCCTAATACTTTCCGGAATTAGGTGAGCAGGATGCGTGTCTCCAGGGAGAGAGAGAGAGAGAGAGAGAGCGCATTCCATTCCAACAATCTATCTCTGGGATTTGTATGTGTAGGTGGTTTGGATGCTCTTGAGCGCAGAGATCAGACACCTGGCTTCAGTGTTGGAAATGTACTGTACGGCGTTAATGTACTCCCCCCCTCCAGAACCCCCACTGCTTCTTACTCCCATTGCCCTCCTGCATCTTCATCCAAATCCACCTCCCAAAATAATTACTGCCCCCACCCCCCCACCCCAGTCTCCGCCTCGACTGTGAGGCCCTGTTACAGTGTTTGCTGCTTAACAACCATCGTTTGGTTTCCAATCGCTTCCAGAAATTTCCTTTAAACGCGAAAGGCAAAGCATAAACGTAAAGCACCGCCGGCCGGGAGTCCTCGCGGCAGAGATGGGTGAAGAGGAAAAAAAAGAACGTCTCCGTCGCGAAACAACTGATGCATAGAACTGATATTGCACTCGTTTCCGATCCGTGGACCTGAAATCCCAACTGGAGTCAGCCCATCAGCCTGTTTGGCCTCACGACACCGCACAACGCAACCCAACCCTCACCCTTGTATCCGATATCGCGCCTTTCACGCCCTCGACGTCTCCAAGTGCCTTTGCCCGATATCCTGGAAAAGCCGTCAGCACCTCGGGATGTCCTCCCAACGTGAAAGGCGTTACCCAAAGGTAACGTGTTGTTGTTCTGCGTGTCCATAACTCTCTGTCCGTTCCCTCCGCTCAGCAGGCTCTGACTTGCCTTCAGCCTGTCTGCCCCCACCCTCTGGAAATCCATCCCACAGCCCTTCCGTCTCGCTCCCTCGCCTCGCCTCGCCTCCTTCAAGTTCCTTCTCAAGACCTTCCACTTCGACAGCGCCTTTGGTCACCCTCCTACACCCACCCCCTCTGTCCTCCATGCCTCCTGATCCCCACCCCCAACTCAGATCCAAATCCCTGACTGTCCAGTGCCTTGGGACGTTCTCCCAACGTGAAAGGCGTTGCGTAAATACAATTTGTTGTTGTCTCTCTCCCTCCCCCGGTTGGAGGCTGTACCGGAGAATCAACCTTGACTTAAAAGAGGTTTCCCCACTTCTACATCTCCTTCGATTCGAAGGCAAAGTGGTCTGACAGGCTGAGCTAGGCCTGTGGAGTTGGGCTGAACATTTAGGGGGTTGGCATATATTTCCCCCACATTCAATATTTAACTCAACAACTGCATCTCAAGGCAAAACGTTAGGAAAATTTAAAACAAAACTATTTCCTCATGGCTTATATATACAGTTGTCCTTCCACCCGCCCCTCTCCTCTCGTCTAACCCCTTCCTTTTCCCCCTCCCCACTCCACACCCCCCCTTTCTCTCTCTCCCTCCCCCATTATCATTATTACGTCATAGGTACCTACAAATTTCCCCGAGGTTTGTTATTAACTATTCAACCCTGACCAGGGGGGGGAGAGAGAGAGAGGGAGGGAAAGAGAGAGAGAAAACCCACCCACCCCCCCCCCCCCACACACGCCTGTTCCCCGCTCCAGTAGGTGCTGAAAGTGTGGCTTGGGGAGGGGGGGCCGCTGACCTGAAAATTAATCTGGTGCGAGAGAGGCCTTTTGTGAGGCGTCGCTTACTAAAATGAGAGAAAGGGGTGGGAAGGGAGAGCGACATTTTGTTTTTCAGGAGGAATAGTTTTTTTTGTGCCTGAACCCCCCCCGCCCCTCTCCCCACCAATTCCTTTCCTCCCCACCCCCCTAAACAACCCCCCACCCCCGCCCGCCACCTTCCTCCTCCTCCGCACTCGACTCACTTCAGCAGCGAGATATCGTCTGCAAAGTCGTCGCGCTCTCGCCTCAGGCACTGGAAGCACCGCCACTGAAAGACCATGAGGCAGAGCGGGAGCATGAAGAGAGCGCAGATGGCGGCCATGACGTAGGCGATGGTCATCAGGGTGGACTCGTCTGTCTGCGGGATGTTGTAGCCGCAGTCCTCCATGTCCGTGGCGAAGAAAGGCCCGTCCACCACGGCCGAGCGGAACTCATCGTGAACTGAGAGCAAAAGAAAATAGAGCAGAGAAACGCGTCAAAGGGGCAGATGCGGAGACCTGTAGCTCAGTGGTTAGAGCGCTCGCCTCGGTTCGATTCCCGGGTGGGGCAAAACTTTAGGAAGTTTCCTTACTCCACACGCCTCTGGCTACCCAGCAGTGAGTAGGAACCCGGTTGTTAGACGATTGGCGGATCATTTTGCCGGGGGTAATAATCCCTCCAAAAAAAATGTGGTCACTCAATCAATCCACGACTGTTTCTGGGACGCTGCTGTGTGCAATTGGCTGCTGCGTTTCACCCACAAAAATCACAGTCACTTTACAATATATTCTGTGAAGCGCATTAAGAAGTTGGACACAGACAAACTATGTGGGTGGGTGGGTGGGGGGAATCCAGAACAAGGGGGTGGGGGAGGGAGGGTTGTCTTAACATTAGAGTTAGGCCGTATAGGAGTGTATAGGAGTGTCCACCATTGTACAGGGTGTTCACAAAAGTCCTGTTACCCACTCACACTCACTCACACAAACTCACACTCACTCACACACATTCAAACACACTCACTCACTCACACACTCACTCACAAACTCACACACACTCACACTCACTCACACACACACACTCACTCACACACACACACTCACTCACACACTCACATACTCACACACACACTCACACACTCACTTACACACATTCAAACACTCACTCACAAACTCACACTCACTCACACTCACTCACACACACACACTCACTCACACACACACTCACTCACTCACTCACACACTCACACACAAACACACACACACTCACACTCACACATCTGGGGATCTAATACAATTACACACTTGTACTGAATACGATTGAGGACTTCTAGAAGCAATGATCACGATTCTCGTACATATTTCGCCTGTTGGTCAGTGCGCTGTAGTGGGAGTGGGGGCGGAAACATGGGGCCGGTGGGGGGGGGGTGGGGAAACACGGGGCTGTGGGTGGATGGGATGAACAGGACTTTGCGGACACCCTGTGGCTATGCCGTTGCCGAAACATTGACTCGCGTAAAAGAGGGGTCCGGGGGCCAGGCCGGCGCTCACCGTGACAGGTGCTGACCGCAAATCCGATGCGATTCTGAGCTCGATCGAAGACCACGTAAAAGCCTTCCATGATGACTGCCCCCATCACCGTCCCCGTGGTGGACTGGGAGACGGCGAACTTGTAGCAATCGTCCTGGGATGTGGCCACATCCTCCACCGGACGCAGGTATTGCTGCCGGGGAAAAAGAAAAGAGTCAGCAACTCGACAGCCGATGCAAGGGTGGGTGGGGGTGGAGGGTTAAAGGTACCCCCCAGCTTGCCGCCCCCCTTTCTTCCCTCCCACTCACTCCCCTCTGCAAACACCAGCTTATTCCGTATCCGGAGCTGTTAATAACAATAACTTGGCCTGTGGAATCCTGTAATTCAGTGGTTATTCACTCGCCTCGCAAGCGAGAGAACCCGGGTTCAATTCCCGGGCAGGGGAAAACCTTGGGCAAGTTTCCCTACTCCCCACGCCTCTGTTTACCCAGCAGCAAGTAGGAACCAGGTTGTTAGTCGATTGGCGGATCGCTTTCTTGGGGTAAATTTGGTCACTCGATCCACAACTGTTTGTGGGGACACTTCTGCGCACAATTGGCTGCTGCGTTTCGCGCACGAAATACACAGTCACTCCACTTTACAGTTTATTCTGTGGAGCGCTTTGAGACGCCTCAACCACATGGTAAAGCGCTATATCAAATGCGAGGATTATATTATTATTATTATTATTATTATTATTATTATAATAAAGCCTGCAGAGTTTGGGATGGGCTGGAGGGAGGGTGGACCAGGGAATGCGATGAACGAAAAGATCAGTAGCTGCAGAGATGGGGTTGAGCCATCAGCGGGGGGAGAGCGATCGCATTAGGAAGCAGATTCTTATCAGAAACCACGACAAAGGATTCTATTTTCTGCCCGATTCGACGCACTGACTTCCAACAGGCGAGCTGCCAATACAGCGCTGCCTCAACGTTCCCCTATTGTGTATCATGCAGCACTAAGTAGAGCACACTTAATGCGCAGGGTTCAGTTCTGCCAGGGTACTGCAATGTGTTACATAATCTCTTCCCCGTTCTACAATCCTCAGTGATTACGCCCTTACTCCCAAGAGCATATTTGAAGAGTCATTAGATGGAGGCACAAAATTCCGCCTAGTTCTGGCCCGCAGGACCTCAAAATCGCTCATTCACCTCTCAGTTGTTTGTGGTTCGTGGCTGTCCACGAGTTGGCTGCCTACAAAATGCAGTCACTACGTTACAACAATAACAACAAATTACATTTACACAGCGCTTTTCGCGTCAGGAGGACGTCCCAAGGAGTTGGACAGACAAGGGTTTGCACCCAAGCTGGGGGTTGGAATCGAAAGGGTTGGAGGGTAAGGGGAGTGGGGGGGGGAGTGGGAGTGTGGCCAAAGGCCCAGTCAAGAGGAGGGTCTCGAGACGGGGCATGAAGGAGGCGAGGGAGGGCCCAGGTGGAGGGGGGATTCAAGAATGAAGTCCCAGAGGGTGGGAGACAGAAAAGCTGAAGGCCAGTCCGCTGATTGTGAAATCCTGACTGTGAATGTATTTTGTGGATCATATCTATCTTATGTGTGTTATTTTCGCCCACAAAATATACAGTCACTACACTTGACAGTATATTTTGTGAAGTGCTTTGAGACGTCTCAACGATATTACAAGGCGCTATATTAAATGCAAGGATTATTATATATGTATTTTTTACATATAACATGTAATGATATAATATAATAATGCATTGACTGTGTGTCAGTGTGTGGGGAGGGAGATGACTTTGAAATGATGGAGAATACAGAGCTGAACGCCTTACCTGTGGTAGGATGGTGATCTGAAAAGATTGGTTGGTGACCTCCCCCATGAGGTAGAGCGATATGGTTGGGAAAATATGCCAGGGGGTAGTGCCAACCTGCCAACACACGAGCTGCTCGCCCAACCAGAACCCATCTGGGAACTTCTCCGTCTGTCAAATAAAACAAAAATTAGAGGATGGTTGAGGATGGATCTCCCGCAAGTCCATCCATGACTATTTGTGGGGCTGCTGTGCGCAATTGGCTGCTGCGTTTCGCTCCACAAAATATGCAGTCAATCCACTTTGCAGTGTGAAGCGCTTTGAGACGTCTCAACGACGTGATAAGGCGCTGTATCAAACACAAGGATTATTATTATTCTTAATGTGATTGATTGTTGAACAAGGTCTATTTGACGGTAAAACCTTTGATGTGATAATAACGTTTAACTCTGAAGAAACAATACTTAACAGAAGACGCAGCCTTGATGGATTTCACCGCAGCTTCAAAGACTTTCTTGGGCAGACGGAGGTTGGTGGTCCCACTGTCCACAATGCTCTTGTCATAATTGTACTGGAGAAAAAGGACACAAAAGGTAAAAAAAAAAAAGAAGCCTTGAAATGTAACCACGGCTTATTTATTCAGCGAGGATATCCAATTGATTACTGCGGGGTATTGAGGTCAGTGATTGCAGTCTGCACACATTGCCTTATATCTAAGCTCCCACCCCAGCTCTGAGACTCAGTGAGTGACTTGTCGTTACTGCGCTCGTCTCGCAAACGAGAGGACCTGGGTTTGATACCCGGGTCAGGGCAAAACCTTAGGCAAGTTTCCTTACTCCACACACACGCCTCTGTTTACCAGCAGTAAGTAGGAACCCGGTTGTTTGTTGATTGGTGAATCGCTTTTTCGGGGGTAATGATCCCTTAAAAAAAAATCTCCGAACAAAAAATAATAATCAATTAGATACTCAATCCTCTGCTGCGTGCAATTGGCTGCCAGGTTTCGCCCACAAATACACAGTCAATGGATTTAAAATTCTGTGACGATCTTTGAGCCGTCGCAAAGGCTTGAAAAGTGTGATATCAAATGCAAGGATTATTATTTTATTATTAAAGTGAATTGACTGTGTATTTAGGAGCGAAAAACAATTGCGCACAGCAGCGTCCCACAAACAGCCATGGATTTTTTTTTGAAGGATTATTACCAGGCTTGTGGGGTAAGGAAACTTGCCCAACATATTGTATATGCACAGTATATTCTGTGAAGCGATTTGAGACGTCTCGAAGACATAAGACGCCATATCAAATGCAAGTATTATTATTGTTATGTCTCCAAACTACAGTCGATCAGACTGAGAGCGAACCTTCTTGCTTCTCCGCCACTGCGAAGGGAAATCTCACCTCTTTACAGTCCATCTTCAAGTCCTGCCCATTGATCTCGATCTTCACTATAATCACCTCATAATACCACTCCTTCCTGATGGGGGTGAACCAGATGCTGCCGAGATACAGGGATGAATCTATTCCACCGATGATCTGCAAGAAAAATGAGGGTCAACGAGGATGAGGGAGGGGAGAGGGGGGGGAGAGGAGCGTCAACCTGGACGGTGTGAGCTCAAAGTCCTGGCGTGAGGGCTTGAACCCACAATTAACGTCCGACTCAGAGGTGCGTGTGCTACTGGCCGAGCCAGACTGACACCCGGCAACCAGGCCTGAGCCTGAAAAACCCTTCCCGATCCCAACCCCTCGTTCTGTCCAGTGCTTTGGGACATCCTCCTGCCGTGAAAGGTGCTGTGTAAATGTCACTTTTGTTTGCTGTTGCCCTTGTTCGTCACTCACCATGCTCCCTCCGACCGAAGAGGCTGATTCAGTGTCATTCAGGGAGAAGCCTGCTCCGCACAGCTGGAGGGAGAAGATGTTGGGGACCTGGGTCTGTCTGACCAGCGAGTCGAAGAACGGCTCCAAACTGTCGTCGGGCTGCGGAGAGACGTACACAAGAGTCACAGCGACGCTTCGAGACGTCCTCCCGACGTCAAACCCAACAATTATTATTGCGACTCCACATCAGAGCATCGACATGTTTTTACCGTGAGAGTATGATTCAGATTTACTCAATATTAATAACAATAATAATCTTTGCACTTTGACACAGCGCCTCGTCACGTCTTCGAGACATCTCAAAGCGCTTCACAGGATACACTGTAAAGTGAATTCACTGCATATTTTGTGGGCGACGCGGCAGCCAATTGCGCACAGCGGTGTCCCACAAACAGCCGTGGATTGAGTGGCCGCATTTATTTTGGAGCGGTTATTACCCCCAGATCCGCCAATTGACTAACGACCCCCGGAAAAGCGATCCGTCACAGTGTATCCCATGAAGCGCTTTTGAGAAGTCGCGATGATATGTTAAGGCACTATATCAATTGCAAGGATTCCTATTATTATTATTTTGCCAGTCCTGTAGGGTTGAGGTTAGAGCACTTGTCTCGCAAACGAGAGGACCCAGGTTTGATTCCTGGGCAGGGCAAAGTTTGGCAGGTTTTGCTGACTCCACATACCTCTGTTTTATCTAGCAGTAAGTAGGAACTCAGTTGTTAGTCGATTGGCAGTTCGCTTTCTAGGGGTAATAATTCCTCCCAAAAAAAAATCAATAATAATAATTTGGTCACTGCTGTGCGTAATTGGCTGCCGCGTTTCGCCCACAAATATACAGTCAATGGAGATGGGAAAGCCATTGTTTAAAGGTGGAAAGCGCTACATAAATGTAAATTATATTTAAGCTTTATTAAACGCCTTGGAGGTAAGTGAGGTTTAGAAGTCTTTAAAGCAAAAACTCGGGAATCGGGATGTTAAATGCTCTGCACCTCTCAATTTACAGCCTTAACGTGGCAGGTTTTCATCTGCGATCCTTTCAATTATTCTGCACTTGACTGTGAATCACTGTCAGCTCCTAGACTTCACCGCAGACAGCTGTCTCCATAACTACCGGAGTTAACAGGAGGTAGACGGCCTGTGCAGTAGACAGCTGTCTTCAGGATACAGCAGAATATGTTGCAAAGAAATGTGATTGCATTTTTTTTTTGCTGGGGAATCAATGAGCATATTATGTCTGATTAACCAGCCGACCATCTCTGCCTCAGATGCTTCCCCAGAAAACGTCAGGGCAAAACAGGAAAACTCTTGTCGGCGCTTTCTCGGCAGTAACAAAAGTACCGCTCGGAATAACACGGCGCGACTTTCACGTCAGGGTGACACGCTTGCCTCGGAAGCGCTTCGAGGGATACTATTGTGTAGCGACTGTGGATTTTGGAGGCGAGCGCAGCAGCCAATTTGTGGAGTCTTGCAGCGTAGCGGTTAGCGTGCTCGCCTCACAAGTGAGAGGGTTCGGGTTCGATCCGTGAAGCGCTTTGAGACGTCTCAACGACGTGATAAGCTGCTGTGTCGAATGCAAATATTATTATTATTTGTGCACAGCGACGCCCCACAAACAGCCACGAATTGAACGATCAATCTTTAGCTCGGGGGATTGTTGGCCAGGACACCGGGAGAGAGAAACTTCCTTCTCTTCTCAATGTTTAAATGCTCACCTGATCGAAGGTGGGGGGGAAACTAACTCAGGGTAACGCCTACAAATTTTATATTTTGTGGTGGGGGAGGAAAGGAGGTTTTGCAGTCAAATTTTGGGAACCAACCAACAAGATCCCGAGAATTGATTTATAGCTTGAAAATCTTTTTTTATCTTCACAGAACATTTGCCACCAGATGTCACGGCAAAGTACCTCGGTTGGGCTAAAAGGCAACTGGAAAATGCTTGAAGCAAGAGGAATATTAATGTTTTTTTTAGGAGCAAACATGAAAGGGCAATTAGATTCGATTAAATTAAATTAGGTGACGCAGGCTATTCAGTCTGAAATAGCAAATTTGTGTTGGATATTTAACAGGAATCCCATTCCCAATAATAATAATAATAATCTTTGCATTTGAAATAGCGCCTTATCACGTCCTTGAGACCTCGCAAAGCGCTTCACAGTATATATGGTAAACTGAATATATTTTGTGCGCGAAATGTGCACAGCAGTGTCCCACAAACAGTCGTGGATTGAGTGACCACATTTATTTGGGAGAGATTATTACTCCTGGATCTCCTACTCCTAGTCAATTGACTAATGACTGGGTTCCCACTTACTGCTGGGTGAACAGAGACTTGTGATGAAGGGAACTTGCCCGGGAATTGAACCCCGGTCCTTTCGCTTGCCAGGCTAAGACTCTATCCACCACACTATGGAACTATGACCAATTTAGATGCTGTTCCTTCTCTCTGATCCTAACATGTTTTTTCTCCCCCCCCATGTACAGCTTGGGGCTTGCTGGGAGACTGCGGTGGGCAGCTGTAGGTATCTCCACAGCCTCCACAACCTGTGGTTGGCAGATGGCAGAGTTGGTGTGGTGTGGCTCAATGCAGTGTCCCTGCCAATGCGTCTTTCAGATCGCACCGACCCGTTGAGACAAGTGACACTGCCTCTCCTGTCAGTGCTCGCTGTATCAAATGCCTGTGAATACGCAGTCACTACACTTCACAGTCACAATAATAATCCTTGCATTTTGACACAGCGCTTTATCATGTCGTCAAGACATCTCAAAGCGCTTCACAGGATACGCTGCAAAGTGGGCCGACTGTGTTTTATGGGCAAAACGTGGCAGCCAGTTTGCGCACAGCTGTGTCCCGCAAACAGCTGCGGAGGGAGCGACCAATTTTATTTGGGGGATTGTTAGACAGGACACCGAGGGAGAGAAACTCCCTTCTCTTTTCGAATCGTGACGGGGGGTCTTTAAGGGACACCTGAAGAGGCAGACGGGACCTTGTTTTAACGTCTCCAACGAAGGACGGCACCTCTGACAATGCAACACCCCACCACCCCCAGTGCTGCGTTGGGAGCGTCAGCTTAGACTGTGTGATTCCAAGTCCCAGCGTGAAGGCTTGAACCCACAACCTTCAGACTCAGAGGAGAGAGAGAGAGAGAGCGCTACCCACTGTGCTAACACCTGGCCTGGGAGTGCTGAAGGATGTCACAAGCTGAAACCACTCTTGACATGCGATGATAACACCAGCAAAGCTCGCCTTGATAAGTGCGAAAAAATATTTTTAAAAGGCAGTGTGTGTCAACACCCTGTCAGAATCACCGATACGGGCTCTAGGTCTGATCCTATGACTGTAACAGATGAAATTATACAAATTAATTCCCCCTCAGAGTTGGTGATGTCAAAAGACAAATCTCTGGTGATTAACATTTGAGCTGCCACCTAATCCCCGGGTGGCTGAGAGAGAAACAAATGTGAATATAGATGCCGTGCGCTCCAGTCAAAGGCAGTCACTAAATGTGTGAGTAATTGACTGTGAAGGGCTTCGGGACATCGTGGCAATGATAAAGACGTTGTAATAACGCTCACTCACTCGCTCGCTCGCTCGCTCGCTCTTCCTTCCTTCCTTCCTTCCTTCCTTCCTTCCTTTCCTTCCTTCCTTCCTTCCTTCCTTCCTTCCTTCCTTCCCTCCCTCCATCCCTCCCTCCCTCCCTCCCTCCGCTGCATTGCCGAGCCACCGTCCTTCGGATGACACAGTTTCCACTCCCAGCGCCTAAAATTCAGACGAGGCATTTTGCAGCAAGTGGGGGAGGGGGTGGAGAGAAAATGGGATAGAAATAAGATGTGATAATAATAATAATAATAATCATCGACTTGGTCTTCTTTCGCCAGCAAACTCTTACGATATTTACAATAATAATCCTTGCATTTGCCAACGCGCCTTATCCCATGTGGAATTCCTTCCTCATTAAATCTACAGTTGCCACAGGCAGTAAGTATGCTGGTGCATGGCACCGGAATGTATTGGATGTCACTGTCCCGCTGAGCTGTGCGATTGAGTCAAACTGCCGGAGGGAGAGGAGATCCACAGACACGGCTTCTCCCCACTGGAGGAGATCTGAAAGACTGAAAGAATCTGCGTAGTCCTAGCTCCTTGCAAAATGTCTCGAGTTTTATTTTTATTGATGGACCAAATTATTATTGTTGGAAACATAGAATCAGGAGGAGGCCATTCAGCCCCTCGAGCCTGTTCCGCCATTCTAATAGATGATGGTTGAAATGTACCTCAACTCCAATTACCTGCTCTTGCCCATATCCCCTGATACCCTGACTTAACAAATATTATATGGTTCCTACTTACTGCTCGGTAAACACAGGCAGGCGGAGTAAGGATACTTTTGGACCACCCGGGAATCAAATCGAACCTGGGTCCTCCCGCTTGCGAGGTGAGAGCGCTAACCACTACACTACAGGACTCCACACTGCATATGGAGTCAATCATAATAATAATAATCCTTGCATTTGATACAGCGCCTTATCACGTCTTCGAGACGTCTCAAAGCGCTTCACAGGATACGAGGGATTTGACTGTAATATTTTGTGGGCGAAAATAACACATAAAATATATAGATGATCCACAAAATACATTCCCAGTCAGGACTGTGTATTTTGTGGGTGAATCTGAAGTGGACGCGTGTCTTAATAAACACAGGACACCATGTACAGCGTTGCCCCGCCTTTCGCAATGTGGGTGTGCGTTCTCTGTGAATATTTAATGAAGCTTTCCAGGAACTGACTGCCGTCATTCATCCCTTAAGCCTCGCTCGCGTGCTTCCTGTCAGGACAAGGGTGGGAGGGAGGCGGTGGGGTGGAGGCGGGGGGGGGGGGGGAAAGGAAGGCGCCAATCAGCTCAGGAAACTGAATCCGTCGACATCTCCGTGAATCCTTTGCTCGAGGTGCCAGCTCTCTGTAACCAGAATCCAGCAGGAGAATAGCACTGCTGAACACACTGAACTCTACACTTCCTTCCCCTCGCGCTCTCACTCTCTCTCTCTCTCTCTCGCTCTCGCTCTCGCTCTCGCTCCCCAGTCAATGGCACCAGTGCTCCAGAAATAACCATGACACCAGCAAACAACCCAGGCACCATGCCAGACCATACGCACAATCCCAGCTCGGATGAGAACTACTCAAGGACAAGCCTGGTTTCCAGTAACTAACTTCTCCTCTCCCGGGGGTCATTGCGGTAGAAACGTAGAGTTCGTTTTTCTTTAATAATCCTTGCACTTGACACAGCGCCTTATCAGGTCATCGAGACGTCTCAAAGCGCTTCACAGGACAAAACGTAAGGTGAATTGACTGTGTATTTTATGGCCGAAACGCGGCGCATGTCAGCGTCCCACACAAAGAGCAGTGGATTGAGTGACCGCGTTATTATTACTATTATTTTTTAAAGAGCCACAAAAAATATCCGCGATCCGTTTGCATAGTTATGCGTTGGGCTGAGATCCTCGTCATTCTAACGATAAAAAGTGTCGGCACTGCCTGAAGGCAGGAAACGAGGGCACGAAACGAAAATACAACACCTGCAAGCATTGGAATTCCACTGAGTGTTTCAAAGCATCGCAACACCTGTGAAACTGTATGGTTAACAGCTCAGTCAACAGTACCCTCGCTTCTTGGGTCAGAAGGTTGTGGGTTCAAGCCCGACCTCGGGGACTTGGTACTCATTTTGTCCAGGCTGACGAGGACTCGGTTTATCCACTTCATCCAAAGGACGTAGAAAGGTTAAAGTCCCCGTCTGTACCTGTTCAGGTGGACGCTAATGATCCCGCGGTGTGAGTCGAAAAGAAAAGGGAGTTTCTCTCTCCCTCTCTCTTTTTCTCTCACCCCCCGGTATCCCGGCCAACAATCGATGTTGTTTGCGGGCCGTTGCCTTGCCCAAATTAATAATAATAATAATCCTTGCATTTTATACAGCGCCTTATCATGTCAACGAGCGCTTCAAAGAGTATACTGTAAAGTAGAGTGACTGTGTATTTTGTGGGAGAACCGCGGAAGTCAATTGCGCACAAGTGTGTCCCTCAAAGCTGGTGGATTGAGTGAGCAAATTATTATTATTTATTATTGTTAATTTTTTTAAAGTGATTAATACCCCTGCAAAAGTGATCTGCCAATCGACTAACAACCGGGATCCTACTTACTGCGAGGTAAACAGAGGTGTGCGTGTGGAGTAAGGAAGCTTGTCCAACCTTTCAGCCTGCCAGGGATTGAACCCAGGTCCTCTCGCTTGTGAGGTGAGTGCTCTACGCTACAGGACTCCATCTGACTCTTCAGGAGGGCGTTAAAGATGCCGAGGCCCTATTCGAAAAGAAAAGGGAGTTTCTCTCTCCCGGTGTCCTGGACGGACCAAGGACTTACCCTGGCGATCTCAGCGTAGGCCAAACCCAGGATCCCTTCCCAGTTGGAGCCGTTGATGAAGAATTTGTCGGACTGGGTGATGGCGGCGATGTTGGCTCTGACGGAGACGTTGGGGCCGTGAGGAACGCTGACTATGTCTGTCCCCAGCTCCCCCTCCCACTTGCCTTGGGTGTAGGGCACGTACACACTCTTCCTCAGGTCCCGGTAAGTGCTGGAGCTGAAACGGAAACAGTTTTACACTTTAAATTAACTGTTCGATTACATGATGTCACAGGCAAATCCAGCTGCTCCCCGGCAGCCTCGTAATCTCCCTGAGCTATATATACACATACACACAAGGACTCCTGTAGTTTAGTGATCAGCGCGCTTGCCTCGCAAGTAACAGGTCCCGGGTTCAATTCCCAAACCTTCGGCAAGTTCCCTCACTCCAAATTGGGTTTCTATGGCACCTGCAAATACACAGTCACTACACTTGGCGGTTTCACCCACCAAATCCAGTCAATTCACTTTACAGTATATTCTGTGAAACGCTTTGAGACGTCTCGAAGATGTGATAAGGCGCTGTATCAAATGCAAGGATTATTATTATTATTATTATAAATGCAAGTAGTTGTGTCGCTCGGCATAGCCTGGGATCTGTTTACAGCGCAGTTACACTGTGGGAGTGTATTATAATTCCAGTTTCTGGTGATTAGTCGCTTCGCACTAACACATAAGGGCTTCCCAGCATCTGAAAGTATCCATGGAAACTGCCGGGAAGGCTGGCGAGAGTGTTGCCAGCTTCCTGCAGGCAGGTGGGGTGTGCTGGAAGTGACATCCATGGCAGCCATTTTAACAACCCCCCCCCCATTGCCCCCCCCCCCCAAACCCAATATAACACGGGATCAGATTGTAAAGATCCCGTAAAACACCGCATTATAAAGGACGCTCTGAGCTATGCCACCAAATCGATTTGCTTTTAGTTTGTTGACATTTCTCCCGTTTTGTGTCTCTGATGCATTAACGAGTTTGAGGCCTCAAGGTTCACAGTCTGTTTCCGTGACGGATTTACCTTAAAAGGGGGCGAAGGACATGTTTGCTCCCCCGAAGCTCCCTTGGTGAGTGAAGCAAGCTTGTCAATCATTAACGGAGGCTTGGATCAATGTGGGCCTTTCTGGTATTTTTTCCAGCTTCCTCTCATCAGCGCAACCTCCGGGAATCCTCACTTACCTTCCCCTCTTATTACCAGTCTTGTGCTGGGGGTTTTGGGGAGGGGGAGCTCTGCATTATCAGAGGGGAGTCATCTTTGAGATGGAACACTAAACCAAACTCTTGTCTATCTGTGTGTTCTGAGGATGTGCCAATATTCGGGGCGGGGGGTGGGGAAAGGGAGTTGCTTTCCCCCATCCATTAATGTCTGGCCAACATTCCCTTCCCCCATTAAACAAATTGCTCTCTAACGTCCACCTGAACAGGTTAAAGTTTAATGACCCATCCGAAGGACCTCTGACAATACAGTGCTTCCCCGCATCGCTGCATTTGGGGGTCAAGAGGAGTTGGATAGCGAATTGATGAAGAAATGGATTGAGAGGTGTAAAAGTTAGTGTCGATTTACTTTGCCCACTCCGCTCGACAGGCTCCGGCCTGCTCCATTTCCCCCGCCCTGCCTGGCCCTCCAGTGGCGGTCGGGCCTTCAGCCTTTCTGCCCCCAACCCTCTGGAACTCCATCTCACAGTCCCTTCGCCTCGCTCCTTCCCTTGCCTCCTTGAAGGCCCATCTCAAGACCTTCCTCTTGGACCATGTCATTTGTCACCCTCCTAACCCCTACCCTCCATCCCTCCTGATTCTAACCCCCGGCTGTCAAATCCCTAACAGTCCAGGACCTTGGGATGTCCTCTGGTCATGAAAGGCACTGGGTAAATGTAATGTGTTGTTGTTGTAGTTTGGTTCCCACAGAGAGCCATGGACACAGATAGTGAGCTGCAGAGCATTTCATTGTGTCGAACACAGCCAAGTCAATAGTGAGCTGGTGAATGAAGCTGGTGGCAAAGCATTCTGCTTACTCATATATCTTCCCCAGTAGGTTTTATATCCTCATTTGAAGCCCGCACACGCACAACACAGAGCAAAGAGAGAGAGAGAGAGAGAGAGAGAAAAAGAAAGAAGGGAAAGGGAGAAAGAGAAAGACAGAAATAGGAAGAGAGAATGAGAGAGAGAGACAGAAAGATGGAGGGAAAGAGGGAAACTGTTTTTGCTCACTCACTCACTCCCTACTCACTCTCGCTCTCTCACTAAGTCTCTCTCTGTCTCTCTCAGTGCCTTTAGGGTTGAAAGCAGCAGGAGTTTCGAGTCAGTGAGCACAGTGGTAGCCGTGAGCTCCCAGCAGGGGACGTCGGTAACATTTGATGCGTTATTTTTACTTTGCGTCTGCTTTTCTCTCAGCTGGATGGTGAATCGACTGGTGTATCTTTCTCACCTCTGACATGTTCAGCAGGAGTGAGTCTCAGAAGGCCTAGGAACAGGAGTAGGCCAATTCAGCCCCTCGAGCCTGTTCCACCATTCGATAATAATAATATAATAATAATAATCCTTGCATTTGATATAGCGCATTAAGATCATGGCTGATCGGTACCTCAACTCTACTTACCCACATTTTCCCCATATCCCTTGATGCCCTGACCAAACAAACATCTAGCCACCAGGGCGATGGGAAGAGGAGGGAGGGGCGGGGGGGTTGCGAAGGAGAAGAGCATTGAATCTTATACAATACACGTATTAAGCAACCTACCAAATCAACCCTCTAACTCCATATTCTCCATCCTACAAACTCAAGTCAGTTGAGCATTGGATTCCATAAGACCATAAGACTTAGGAGCAGGAATAGGCCATTCGGCCCCTCGAGCCTGCCCTGCCATTTAATAAGATCATGGCTGATCTTCTAACCTAACTCCATCTGCCCGCCCTATCCCCATATCCCTTAATCCCCCTATCCTTTAGAAATCTATCAACCTCAGTCTTGAATATGTTCCCTCATCTGAATTGGCCTACTCCTGTTCCTAGACCTTCTGAGGCTCACTCCTGTGGGAACTGGGAACATGTCAGAGGTGAAAAGGATAGACCGGTCGATTTACCATCCAACTGAGACCAAAGCAGCCGCAAAGTAAAAATAACACATCAAATGTTACCGACTTCCCCTGCTGGGAGCTCACTAGCGAACTGTGCTCACTGACTCGAGACTCCCGCTGCTTTCAGCCCTCAATTCAGTTTGAAAAGGATGACCCTTAATCTTGAGACTATGACCCCTAGTTTTAGATTCTCCAACCGGGGGAAACAGTCTCACGGCATCTACCCTGTCAAGACCCTTAAGAATCTCATAGGTTTCTATAAGATCATCTCTAATTCTTCTATATTCTAGAGAATATAGACCTAGTTTACTCAACCGCCTCTTCCCAGGAACCAACCCAGTGAATCTACGCTGCACCCCCTCTAAGGCGAGTATGTCCTTTCTTAAATAAGGAGACCAAAACTATTTTTGTACTCTAACCCTTTTGCAACGAACGCCAACATGGCATTAGCCTTCCTAGTTGCTCGCTGTACCTGCATACTAACTTTTTGTGACTGGTGTACAAGGACACCCAAATCCCTCTAAACATTATCACTACCTAGTCTCTCCCCCTCTAGAAGATAATCCGCTTTTCTATTTTTAATACCCAGGTGAATAGCTTCACACTTCCCCATAGTGGGGCATAAGATTGGAGTTATGTATAAGTTCAAATTCTGGCAGATTCACTCCAACGTCTCAAAGTTGATAAAATTAGTATCTTATCTAAAAAAAAACCATTTCTTTGGTGTATTATATAATAACTATAATCCTTGCATTTGATGTAGGGCCTTATCACATCGATGAGACGTCTCAAAGCGCTTCACAGAATATACTGCAAAGTGTAGTGACTGTATATTTTGTGGGCGAAACGCAGCAGCCAATTGCATACAGCAGCGTCCCACAAAATATAAGGGATTGAGCGACCAAATTATTATTTTGGGGGGAGGATTATTACCTTGGTTCCTACTTACTGCTAGGTAAACAGGCGTGTGGAGTAAAGAAACTTCCCAAGGTTTCACCCCATGGGAATCAAATCCAGGCCCTCTCTCTTTAGAGGCGAGGGTGCTAACCACTACACTACGATACGTTTGTGACTCAGAGGTAAGGGCTCTACCAAGACCCAATATTAGGAATGGTCTACGCAGCTCCAGAATTGAGCTAAGACTCTGATCATCGTCAGGAACCTACTTATTTGCATTCTAATTAGATTCTGCCCCGAGGCATTGCCTCTTGATGAGGTTAAAGCAATCAGTGGTGAGCATTCCTTGCTGGTAAGAACCCTCCTTTGAAGGGAAGTTTCTTTCTACCATCCTCCAGTCATTCCACGCTGCTCTTTTTTTTCCCCATTATTTTATTTCTCCTCGTAATTTTATTTCTCGCGCAGTTTTCCTGCTAATTCATTCCGAAATGAAAGAAAGTGTGGAACTGTAGCTGAGCTCCTTGGGATTAATAGCCCCGCTGCTTTAATTACCCCAAATCTAATTTTCCCTCACATCGTGCGCTATTAATTGTTCGCTTCACTCGAGGTTTCATTAGCAGGGAACAAGCCCTGCTCGTCACCGGCTCATACGGATCTACCTGCTTTGTGGTTTCTCGCTCCGTTTGAAGCAAATAAACTCTGTTTTTTTCTCGGAGATTAAAGTTAATAACCGTGCATATCGACTGGGCCTAAACGATGGCTTGTCAAGGTAAATGGTGTTCAGTTTTACATTCTCTCCTCTTTTTTTCTGGCCCCGAATTGGACACTTTTTTTTTCGGGTACTAAACCGGTGGCCTTTTTATTTGTTTTGTGTGTTTGTGACAGGTTATCTGTTAGCTGGCTATCTCGCGCTTTCTAGAATGTTCTGGCTAGAAAGTGGGAGAGCTTCGAAAGGCCGAAGGGCCTCACTTGTCCCAGTATGGCATGGATTAAGTGGAGTCCTTTAGCGTATTGGTTAGCGCTGCTGTGTGCAAATGGCTGCAAAGTTTCACCCAGAAAATACACAGTCAATTCACTATTATTATTTTATTATCATCATTATTGTAATAATATGTCTTTGAAGCAGGAGCCAAACTAGAAGCTACCAGCATCGCTCTTGTGTCAAACATGAGAAGGAATTCCCAGCGCAGAAACTCCATCTAATCCTTCATAAGAGGTTTGGATAACGAAGGCCATGCACTCAGTGAAACCTCCTCCAAGCCCCATGCTGACAGCTGTAAGGTTTGCTACAAATGGGTCATTTATACTCACAGGTCCCGGTGATAATATCTCTTCAGGAATGCGTGTGTCGCTGCGCCAACAGCAAAGTTACTGCTTCCAGTGTCCACCAGAATGTTCAGCTGGTCCAGAAAGAGAAAGAGGTCACTTTAACCTGTGCAAGACCAGGTCCCCGTTCCCCCACCCTCACCCCCGACATGAGGCAAGGCATCTCTCCTGAACTTCAAAACCCGCTCAATAGAAAATACAACATTAAATTACATTTACATAGTGCCTTTCATGTCGGGAGGACATCCCAAGGTGCTGTACAGTCAGGGATTTGGCCCCGAGCCGGGCGTGTAGAGTAAGGAAACTTGCCTAACATTTCGCCTTACTGGGAATCAAACCTAGGTCTCTCCCTTGCGAGGTGAGTGCTACAACCACTGAGCTACTAAATAGGGCTTCTGGCCCTCGGCAGCCAAAAGGTTGGACCACTTTGGTAGGCGTCACTCCAAGGTAATATCAACTGGAAAGTTTATTATTCTTATGAAATAATAAGAGTCAGTCTAGCCTATTAAGGAGCGAGGGAGGTTAATTTCTTTCATCGAGCCTGTTCCTTACTCCACACGCCTCTGTTTACCCAGCAGTAAGTAGGAACTCAGTCGTCAGTCAATTGGCAGATCACTTTTCCAGGGGCAATAATCCCTCCAAGAAAATTGTGGTTGCTCAATCCACAACTGCTGTGTGCAAATGGCTGCTGCGTTTCCCCACAAAATACAGTCACTAGACTTTACAGTATATTCTGTGAAGCGCTTGGAGACGTCTCAACGACTACATCAATTGCAAGGACTATTATTACTGTTACTAAATTCCGTGTTAAAGCCTTCCATCTCCGGGGAGAACGTTCTACCAGACGACATCCCAATCCCCAAAGGTGATTGCACAAAGTTCATTCACGCTGTTCATTCACTCTCATACCCACACATCACCACACGCCACCACAGTAAATTTGCCAGTGGCCATTAACCTCTAAAAGATCTGGACATGTATGTTCAGGGTAACCTTCAGCTCGGCTCTTAAATTGCTCAGGATGGCCAGTGTTACGAGACTTAGTGATTCAGTGAAGCGCTGATAAATGGATGGGTCCCCGGTGGAAATCAGAGGGTTAGATTTTGAAAGTTAAATTAGGTTAAAATTAGATTGATACGCTGTACTTTGATATGATTGCCTATGGAGTCTTGGGAACTCATTCCATTCCACAGTTTTTAACGTTTATCCCATCTGTGCCTGATCTGATGGGTGTCAAAAGATCCCGAGACGGTATTCCGAAAGGGAAGGAACTTTCTCCCTCTGTCCTGGCCAACGATATAATAATCATAATCCCTTGAAAATAAATAACTAAAATGTAAAATTGTGGTCACTCAATCCACGATTGTTTGTGGGACGCTGCTGTGCGCAATTGGCTGCCGTGTTTCGCCCAACAGTAGATACAACAACAACAACTTGGGCTTATGTAGTGCCATTCACGTGGGGCAGCGTCCCGGAGCACTTACTATACAATCGATTCACTTTACACTATATTCCGTGAAGCACTTTGAGACGTCTCAAAGACGCGATAAGGCCTGTATCGAATGCAAGGATTATTAATATAATTATTATAATAATCCTTGCATTTGATGTATGCGCGTGCGGCTGTGTGGGGGGGATTCGGGGCGGGAGTGGGGACTTCTCCTCACATCTGCGTTGAGATCAACCTTCCAAATGATGAGGAATTCTGCGGGGAGGGTGGTCAGTAGACAATGAATGCCCCTCCCGCCGACCGACCCCCTCCCTACTGTGCATGGCAGCAGAGGGATGCGACCTCCATTCCAACCGACCAGCCCACACTCTTTTGGGGGATCGGCCGGGTGTTTGACTCACGTAGAAACCCATCGCTGTGCTTAAGAGTATCCAAACCAGAGTTCCACACATGTACACAACACCTCCGAGTGGGAACGCTTCCCATTGTCTGGAATGAAATTGCACGCTCTATCCTCTCTCTCTATTCCCCCCCACCCCAACCCCCACCCCTCCCAGGGAGACATAACCTGAATACCTAATTCCGGCGAGTACTAGGTGCAAGTTAGCGAGAGCCGAGGAGAGCAGGGGTTACAACCCCAAAGTTCCTTGGGGGTAATCGCAGGAGTTTAACCTGCAAAGCCAGACTCTAGAGGCTAAGGGACACCTTCCGAATAACTCAGCTCTGCCCTTTGAAGATGGGATTCCTTTTCTCACTCGTCCATTGGCAGCTATGTTGAACATTAACTTGTGGGTCAACACTTAGCAACATTGCAGTGAGGGAGGGGCGAGGGAGGGAGGTAACCTTGGTTTGCCTTCAATTTGAGCCGATTTAATCTTGCTGATTGAACTCTACGTTTGGCACCTTGCCTGTACTTCATGTCTGAATCTGAAACCCCTTCTAGCCCTGCGCTCGGCTGCAATAGAACATCATTGGTTCAGGAGCAAAGGTTCAAACTTTCTCTGTCCCCACAAGACGTTCATCTGACAATAATAATCTTTGCATGTGATATAGCGCCTTACCACATCGTTGAGACGTTTCAAAGCGCTTCACTGGATATACTGTGAAGCAGATTGACCGTGTACTTTGTGGCCAAAACACAGTGGCAAATTGCACACAGCAGTGTCCCACAAACAATTGTGGATCGAGTGACCAATTTATTATTATTATTTTTCATTTGGGAGAGATTATTACCCCCGGAAAGAGATCCACCAATGGACCAACAACTGGGTTCCTACTTACTGCGAGGTAACCAGTGGCGTTTGGAGTAAGGAAACTTGCCTAAGGTTTCACCCCACCCGAGAATCGAACCCGGGTCCTCTCGCTTGCGAGGCGAGCGCTCTAACGCGACGCTACGGACTGTACACCATTATACTCTTGTTGAACAAGTGAATCAAACTCAAACTTAAAACGTGAAGCTGCAGAACCAGGAAGTCAACTCTCAGAACTAAATCCTTTCAAAGAACTGCTGGACCTTGTATTTTTCTTGAACAGGTGCCTCCGGTGCCCTTTTTGAATGATTTTCACATCTCAAAGGCAAGAAGAAAAATGCTGGCAGAGTAAGCGAGCACCAGGAAAATGGACTGAACAGTCAATACCTGACGCAGAAGCTCAGCGTGTACAAGCAGGCTCCATTAATTCTTTTAAGAGGGAATTAGTGAGGTGAAAAAGAGGGATCATGGTATGTTAACGGCACAGAAATAGGCCATTCGGTCCATTAAAGGAGTCCTTCAGTGGACCAGTTAAAGCACTCGCCTCGCAAGCAAGAGGACCCGGGTTCAATTCCTTGGGCGGGGCGAAACCTTAGGCAAGTTTATTCAGTCCTCACACCTCCGTTTACTTAGCAGTAAGTAGAAACCCGATTGTTAAGTCAATTGGCAGACCGCTTTACCGGGAGTAATAACCACTTCAAAAAAAAATAATAAGAAGATTTTGGTCACTCAATCCACGACTGTTTAACGCGTGTTTGTGGACACTGCTGTGCATCATTGGCTGCCACGTTTCTCCCACAAAGTACACGATCAATCCACTTTACAGTATGTTCTGTGAAGCACTTTGACCCGCGATATCAAATCACAGATTATCATTATGATGATTTACTTGTCAGGGATCATTTATATTTTCTGTTGGTGGGTTGGGTTGGGGGGTGGGGGTGCGGCAGAAGACATGTGTGTGGACATTTTCCTGTGAATTTTTTCAGTCGTCTGCAACTGATTCGAAGCTGCCAATTTGACATGATGATTTGTGTCACCGTTGTGGTGTGAATTCCAGACTGGAAAAGGGTGTGTGTGTGTGTGTGTGTGCGTCCGTGCTCGTGTGCGAGTGTGTGTGTGTGTGAAAGGTTTGCCAAAGACTTTATCATGAAATCACTCCATTTTATTTCCGACATCAAGATAGCGACTACATAACAAAGCAATTGGAAAGAAAGAAGTGGAAACAAATAATAAGTTTACACCCAAACAGCAATCATCGCGCCACAGCAACTATAATCACTGCTGATTTAATATTATCATTTGTTTCGCGTCACACAAAAAAAATACACAGTCAAATCACTTCACAGTGTAGTGTATCCTGTGAAGCGCTTTGAGACGTCTCAACGACGTGATAAGGCGCCGTGTCAAATGCAAGGAGTATTATTATATACGCTGAAAATGCTTTGCGGAGATTTTATTATTGTTGTGCCCTTAAGGTGTAGTAACTGTGCATTTTTTTTGCAAAAAGCAGATCGATTCAGTCCACCAAAATATTTGTGATTTACTCTCACACAGGACGTTACGTACAACAACAACAACACGGGGTAATGTCCCAGAGCACATACTACAACAACAACAACAAGATTACATTTGTATAGCGCCTTTCACGTCGGGAGGACGTCCCAAGGCGCTGACATACATACATGACATAACTACATCCATTTCGTCCACAAAACATCCAGTCACTACGCTTTACAGTGTATCCTGTGAAGCGCTTTGAGACGTGATCAGGTGTTGCATCAAATCCAAGGATTACTGTTCTTACGTACGCACAGAGACGTCTCAAAGCGCTTCACAGGGATTTTACCGCCGGGCGTAATTAGTGACTGTACCTTTTCTAGCGGGGACTCCACAGTGGGGAAATGTTAATGTTTTTCTAGGTGTGTGTGGGGGTGGGGTTGGGTGATCGATTATTGATCGATTATTGAATGATTGACCAATTTCACACACACTCACTCACACACACACACACAGAGAGAAGAGAGAAAGAGAGAGAACCAAAATAACTGAATACCTCCCAGAACTCTTACCTTCTGAGGAGGTGTCCCGATGGTCATCTCTACATAATACCCTTGGCCAGACTTCCCTCTGAGGTTATCGATCATCTCCATAAAATTGATACCGTGTCTGTGATCAGGACCATCAGCAGCAGCTGCAGAGCGCGATGTCCTGCGCTTGTGATCATACGCTTCCATGTCGTTTCTCAGTGGTACCCGAATCCCTGAGAGATGTCCATCACACATCAGTCCTTGGGTCAGAGCCCAAACCCACAGCATCAGACGGTCAGAGGGGCAAAGCAGCATCTCGACCACAGTTTGCTCTCTTCCTCTTCTTTCTTTTCTTTTTTGTCCTTTGCCTTTTTCCTCTCCTCTTCTCTGGTCCCTTCTCTTTCTCTCTCTCTTTCTCTCTCTCTCTCTCTCTTCTCTCCCTGTTTACTGTTTAAACCAATTTTCTTATGGGATCACAGCAAAGGGATGTGTTCTCTCTCTCTCTCTCCTCTCTCTGTCTGTCTGTCTCTCTCTATCTCTCTCTCCTCTCCCCCTCTCTCTGTCTGTCTGTCTCTCTCTCTCTGTCTGTCTGCCTCTCTCTCTCTCTGTCTCTCTCTCCTCTCCCCCTCTCTCTCTGTCTGTCTGTCTCTCTCTCCTCTCCCCCTCTCTCTCTCTCTCTGTCTGTCTCTCTCTCCTCTACCCCCCCCCCCTCTCTCTGTCTGTCTCTCTCTCCTCTCCCCCCCCCTCTCTCTCTCTGTCTGTCTCTCTCTCCTCTCCCTCTCTCTCTCTCTGTCTGTCTGTCTCTCTCTCCTCTCCCTCTCTCTCTCTCTGTCTGTCTCTCTCCTCTCCCTCTCTCTCTATCTGTCTGTCTCTCTCTCTCCTCTCCCTCTCTCTCTCTCTGTCTGTCTCTCTCTCCCTCTCTCTCTCTCTCTGTCTGTCTCTCTCCTCTCCCTCTCTCTCTCTCTCTGTCTGTCTCTCTCTCCTCTCCCTCTCTCTGTCTGTCTGTCTGTCTCCCTCTCTCTCTCTCTGTCTCTCTCCTCTCCCTCTCCCTCTCTCTGTCTGTCTGTCTCTCTCTCTCTCTGTTTGCTATTTATTCATTCAACCTCTCCTTTTGATCTCCATCCAGGCGTTTGGAGGCCAGTGGAAGGCATCGAAGTCTTGGGATGTGTTTTGCTTCGTTGATGGTTGGGAGGAGAAAAAAAAGGGCATTTAAATGCAAACAAACCACCTTTTTATTTGCAAAATCATCTCGAAAAGCCTCGGATTTCCACTGGTTTAAATGCCATGATTTTTTCCCCCCTCTCCTCTGTATTTTTTTCCTCCAGGATCTGTGCCAGGATCTGTGCAAGGCTCTCCCCTTCTCCCTCTGTCCCCTTTTCTGCTACACACTCCAGCGGAAGAACTATTGTGGATACAATAAAATACAGGAATGACGTTCAGAAAAGAAGGATAGACAGAGAGAGAGAAAAAAAATCAGGATAGACAGGGTTTTCTGGGGCTTGTAGTCTCCTCCTGCTGCTGTAGGGAAGATATTCTAAGCTTTTATTGAAGTCTTAGTGCCTCCTTGTGTCTTCCAACAAACGTGCCTGTACATGGTATAATAATCATAATAATAATGATAATAATCCTCGCATTTGATATAGCGCTTTTCACGTCGGGAGGACGTCCCAAAGCGCTTCACAGAACACACTGTAAAGTGAATTGACTGTATATTTGTGGGCGAACGCGGCAGCCAATTGCGCACAGCAATGTCCCACAAACAGTCGTAGATTGAAAATCACCAATTTATTATTGGTTTTGGTTTTGGAGGGATTATTATTAGGCTCTGTGTGGAGTAAGGAAACTTGCCCGAGGTTTCGCCCTCTGCCTGGAATTGAACTCAGGTCTCTCGCTTGCGAAGCGAGTGCTCTAACCACTGAGCTACAGGACTCCAATCACTGCGTTCAATATAGCTCCTTATCACATAGCTGAGACGTCTCAAAGCGCCTCATAGGCTTTTACTGCAAGGTGTGCTGGCTGTGTAATTTGTGGGCAAACGCTGCCATCCACTTTGCCCACAGCAAGTGACCAATTTTAGATATTGTTGAGTCCCGCAGTGTCGTGGTTAGAGCGCTCGCCTCGCAAGCAAGAGGACCTGGGTTCGATTCCCAGTTAGGGCGAAACCTCACTCCACACACTCTGTTTACCGAGCAGTAAGCAGGAACCTGGTTATTAGTCGATTGGCGGATTGCTGTCCAAGGGGGTAATAATCCCAGAAAATACACCGTCAATCCACTTAATATATTCTGTGAAGCAATTTGAGATATTTCTATGACTTGATAAGGCGCTAAATCAAACGCCAGGATTATTTTTATTATTGTCAGACAGGACACCAGGAGAAAAACTCCCTTTTCTTTTCAAATACCACCATGAAATCTTTAGTGTTCACCTGAAGAAGGATTATTATTATTATGTCACAGGGATAGACGAGATCTTGTTTTTTAACATCTCAATGACCCCTCCCCACCCCACCCCACCCACACCCCCCCCCCCACCTCCCCCAGCACTTTAACAGCGAGCACAACATGTCGAAGTGGGGTTTGAACCTACAACCTTCAGGCTCAGAGAGGAGAATGCAACCAAACCAAACCAGGCAGACATCCTCAGCCACAGGATACGAAAATTGAGATATGTTCAGTCTAAATGCACTCCCTCCCACCCATCCCATGTAACACCCACCCAACCTCACGGTTCTCCCGACGTGAAAGGCGCCATACAACCCCCTCCCCCCCCACCCCTCCTCCTCTTTTATCCTCTTTGTATTGTATTGCATCTTTTATACAAGATTGAATTGCTGTGTCTGTTTGGGTGGATAAGACAAAGGAATTTCTCCCAGAGTGCTGGCCCACAAAACCCCACAGTGGATAAAAATTTTACTGCATTCTGTGGCTGTTTGAGGGACTTTGCTGTGCGAAAATCGGCCACAAAATTCACAGTCACTGCATGTCACAGCAATTTGGAGCAGTTTGAGATGATTCAATGTAATAGGCGGTGAATCAAATACCAAGGATATATATATTTCAAGCACAACTGATCTTAGTAAGTAAGAACCCAGTCGATTTGTGGATCACTTTGTGGGGGTAATAATCCCTTCTAAAATAATAACAATAATAATTTGGTCACTCAATCCACGACTGTTTGTGGGACACAATGATGCAATTAGCTGCAGGCAATTGCACAGCCACTTTGCTTTACAGTACATCCTGTGAAGCCCTTTGAGACGGTTCAAAGCAAACGCAAAGATTATCAAATGCAAAGATTATTATTATTATAGCCGCAGTACAGATTGGCCACCAATGGGTGAGGTGGGGAGATATTTTCCCTCCACTACGGATTATGAAGAGCTTTGAGACGTCTAAGGCACTGTATCAAATGCGGGGATTGATATGTATAATTATTTGGGACACTGCTGTGCGCTATGGTTCTATTAACAGAAAAATTGATAATTATTTGGAGAGGACAAGTTTGCAGGGCTATGGGGAGAGCGCGCGGGGGGGGTGGGGGGGCGGGGGGGGGGTGGGATTGAATTGGAAGCTCTTTTTTGCACGGACACGATTGGATCGAATGGCCTCCTCCTGTGCTGTATAATACTATGGTTCTATGAATCGGTGACGTGTTTCACCCACAGAACACAGAGTCACTGCACTTCACGGTGTATCCTGTGAAGCGCTTTGAGACGTCTCAAAGACAGGATAAGGCGCTGTATCAAATGCCAGGATTATTGTTATTATTTTCTTCCTTTCTCTCTCTCTCTCTCTCTCTATCCCTCTCTCTCTCTCTCTATCCTTCCCCCCACTCCCTTTCTCTCTTCTCTTCCCATTATTATTTTCTCTCTCTGCAGCTCAGGACCCAGTTATTTTATTTTAAAAAAAGAACTACATCCCCCAGCATGCCCCGCGCCGCGGCGGCCCCGCGCGTGCGCCGTCGACTCCCAGCGGCGGGGGTGGGCGTGGGGAGCGAGGTGTGCAGCCAATCGCGCAGCGGCCCGACCCGACCAATCAGAGCGTGAGAACGCCGCAGAGCAGCCAATCAGGGCGCGGGAAGTGGATGCGGGGAGCAGCCAATCAGGGCCTGGGAAGGCCGCGCGCGCAGACGGGGGGGCGGGGCGGGGGAGCAGCCAATCAGGGCCTGGGAAAGGCCGCGCGCGCGGGGGGAGCAGCCAATCAGGACGCGGTGGATGGCGGTTGGGCCGCGGAGTGAGCTGGTGGGTGAGGGGGGCGGCGCGGGGGCTTGTGGGGGCGGTTCCCCTGAGGCGGACGGCGCTGAGGGGGGGTTCGGGGCCGCCGTCAGGGTGAGTGCTGAGCAGCTCGTATTCGAAAGTTCTGGAAACGCCCCTTGACCCCCCACCTTGTCCTCCCCCCTTGTCCTCCCGCCTTCTCCTCTTGCCCTCCCCTCTCCTCCCCTTGCCCACCCTCTCCTTCCCTTACCCCCCCTCTCCTCCCCTTGCCCCCCCCCTCCCTTGCCCCCCCTCCTCCCCTTGCCCCCCCCCTTCTCCTCCCCTTGCCCCCCTTCTCCCCTTGCCCCCTCTCCTCCCATTGCCCCCCTTCTCCTCCCCTTGCCCCCCCCCTCTCCTCCCCTTGCCCCCCCTCCTCCCCTTGCCCCCCTTCTCCTCCCCTTGCCCCCCCCCTCCCCTTGCCCCCCCTCTCCCCTTGCCCCCCTCTCCCCTTGCCCCCCCTCCTCCCTTGTCCCACCCTCTCCTCCCCTTGCCCCCCCTCCTCCCCTTGCCCCCCCCTCCTCCCCTTGCCCCCCCCTCCTCCCCTTGCCCCCCCTCCTCCCCTTGCCCCCCCTCCTCCCCTTGCCCCCTCTCCTCCCCTTGCCCCCCTCTCCTCCCCTTGCCCCCCTCTCCTCCCCTTGTCCTCCCCTCCTCCCCTTGCCCCCCCTCCTCCCCTTGCCCCCTCTCCTCCCCTTGCCCCCCTCTCCTCCCCTTGCCCCCCCTCCTCCCCTTGCCCCCTCTCCTCCCCTTGCCCCCCCTCTCCTCCCCTTGCCCCCCCCTCTCCTCCCCTTGCCCCCCCCCTCCTCCCCTTGCCCCCCTCTCCTCCCCTTGCCCCCCCCTCCCCTTGCCCCCCCTCCCCTTGCCCCCCTCTCCCCTTGCCCCCCCTCCTCCCCTTGCCCCTCTCCTCCCCTTGCCCCCCCCTCTCCTCCCCTTGCCCCCTTCTCCTCCCCTTGCCCCCCCCTTCTCCTCCCCTTGCCCCCCCTTCTCCCCTTGTCCTCCCCTTGTCCTCCAGCGCCTTGGGACATCCTCCCAACGTGAAAGGCGCTCTATAAATGCAATCATGTTGTTGCAGTTGTCCTCCCCTTGCCCCCCGCCCCCCCCTTGCCTCCCCTTGTTCTCTTCTCCCTTTGCCCCCCCATTTCCCCCTTTTGCCCCTTCACTCCCCCTTACCCATATCTGATATACATGTAGATACTTTCTGGGGAAACTGGGTGGGTGACTGGTCCACCGACTACACTGGAGGAACCACTCACTTTATGTACACACACATATATATTTATTTTGTATAATTGGGACATTTTGACTTAATAACATTCTGTGACGTGTGGACGGAGATGAAGCTTTGTTGTTTAATCTGAATTTACTGTGTCTGGCGGTGTTTTTTCTATCCAGTGCAGGAACAGTTTGCAGTTGAAAACTCCCATTGAGTAATTAATTACTAATAATAACAATCGTTTCATTTGATATAGCGTCTTATCATCTCTTTGCAACTTCGCGCTTCACAGGCTACATTGTAAAGTGAATTGGCTGTATGTTTTGTGGGCGAAATACGGCAGCCGATTGCCCACAGCAGCGTCCCACAAACAGCCGTGGATTGAAGTGACCAATTTAGTAGTATTATTTTTTTAAAGGATTATTATCCCCGGAAAGCGATCTGCCAATCGACTAACAACCGGGTTTCTACTTACTGCTAAGTAAAGAGGTGTGCGGGGTAAGGAAATTTGCCGAAGGTTTCGTCCTGCCTTGGAACTGAACCCAGGAGCTCTTGCTTGCGAGGCGAGTGCTCTTACCACTAAGCTACAGGACTCCACGAACAACTAATTGCACAACTTTTGTACGTGAGGCATAAAAATAATTTTATTCTCTCCCTGCCCCATAAAATTCACATTTGAAATTGTATTTTAAATTCAAGCATTTGTTCCCATGGTAACACAGCGGATCCACATCCTAAAAGCAGAATGATATGGCATTGATATGATCCGGTGAAAACAAATTGCACAAACTCAACGCTAAAATGATGGTATGAATGGACCATTAAACATTTCCACAAAATAACCATAGAATTAATTGAGAATATTTCTGTTATAGGCCTCACAGAATAATAATCCAAAGTGAAGTAGAAATGTCCACCGCCCCAATTAATGGTAATAATAGTAATAATAATAATCCTTGCATTTGATATAGCGCTTTTCATGTCGTCCCAAAGCGCTTCACAGAATATACTGTAAAGTGAATTGACTGTATATTTGTGGGCGAACGCGGCAGCCAATTGCGCACAGCAATGTCCCACAAACAGTCGTGGATTGAAAATGACCAATTTATTATTGTTTTTGTTTTTTTTTTTTTTAATTGGGCTCTGTGTGGAGTAAGGAAACTTGCCCAAGGTTTCACCCTCTGCTGGGAATTGAACTCAGGTCTCTCGCTTGCAAAGTGAGTGCTCTAACCACTGAGCTACAGGACTCCTGTATGTCCTATCTAATAATAATGCGAAATATGGCAGTCAATTACGCACAGTACCCACAAACCGTCATTGATTGAGTGACCAAATTATTATTTTATTTTTATTTCTGAAGGGATTATTACCCCCGGAAAGTGATCTGCCAATCGACTAACAACTGGGTTCCTACTTACTGCTAGGTGAACCGAGGCGTGTTTCTGCCCGGGAATCGAACTCGGATCCTCTCGCTTGCGAGGCGAGTGCTCAAACCAATATGCTACAGGACTCTGGCTAATTGAGGGAGTGCACTTTAACCAAACTCTAGTCGTGAAAGATTGAAAGAAAGTAACCCATTTCTAAAGAGCATGCTTGACATTTCACTGCAGATGGTCTGTGGCACCAAGCGTGTCTCACATTTGGTGTCTAAATGAGGCTGGTCCCAATAGCTTGCAGTTGACAAAGTGACCTGTCCTGCATTGCTTCCTGAGGAGACACATTTATCGTAACACACTGTCAGGTACGCTCGATGTAAAAAATACTTGTACATTTTGATCTGAAAAAAATAGTTTTACTATATCATTTTTAGCCCAAGAAGATCAATTCAAAATGCTTTTTAATGCCACTTGTGTTGTATCAGTGGAAAGATAGCTACTGTATTTCCCCCTCTTAAACTCTTCAGCTCCCATTTCTCAGCTCTAGTGCCCGGCTAGCAGTGCAAAGTGCCCCCAATGTGAGAGGCCTTATGTAAATATATGTTGTATTTTGATTTGTTTTTTCTGTGAAACCTTTGGTAAGATGTGCACTTTACATCCCTGGCAAACGAGCTAGATTTCTTAAGCGAGAGGATCCGTGTTCGATTCCTGAGTGGGGCGAAACTTGTGCAAGTTTTCTTACTCTACACGCCCCTGTTTATTCATTAGTTACTAGGAACCTGATCGTTAGTTGATTGGCGGATCGCTTTCTGGGGGTAATAATCCCTTCCAAAAAAAAAGGGTCATTAAATCCATGACTGGTTTGTGGGACACTGCTGTGTGCAATTGGCTGCCCCTTTTCGCCCACAAAGTATACAGTCAATTCACTTTACAATATACTCTGTGAAGAGCTTTAAGACATCAATGGTGTGATAAGACGTTATATTAAATGCGAATGTGATTTTTTTAATATTAATAAATTGATTTATTCATCTCAGGTGGCTTACTGTAAGCATGCATTATTATTATAACATGCTGCCATTGTCTAAATCCACTCTTCCTGTCACATGCATTCCTGTCTACATCATAAAGGCAGCCAAACAACATCACTGTTCGCCACTCCAGAGACCTAGCAGGTATGTTTGATTTGTAGTGCTATATTCGAGAAGAGTGAACTTGGTATGATTCCAACAAAAATTACTTTTTGTTGTGATTTCTCTTTACTTAGCACTAAGTAGGAACCTGGTTCTTAGTCGATTAGTAGATCACTCTCCGGGGTAATAATCCCTCAGAAAACAAATCTGGTCATTCAATCCATGACGGTCTGCGGGACACTGCTGCGTGCAATTGGCTACCGAGCTTCTCTCACAAAATACGCAGTCAATCCATTGAAAATTATTCTGCGAAGCGTTTTGAGAGGTCTCAACGACGTGACAAGGTGTTACACCGAATGCAAAGATTATTATTTATTCATTAAAAAAAATCCCATTCATAGTTTCAGGTGCTGTTGCGTACAGCAAGAGTAAAGTGTGTGCCTCAGTGTTTCATTGAACTTGATCCCCCCCCTCACCCATTGAAAGCTTATCATTTAAGTCATTCCAAAGCTGTCACATGTGTTGTATAACATAACTTACGTCACAGCCAACGTTGATGGGCGAGTAATAGTCACTGCATGTTTGTTGTGTGATCCTTGCTAATGCTTCATTGTGAACATCGTCAGCAATTATGTTCAGTGCACTTGCCACTATTGTTCACCAGAATAGTTATGACTGAGCTGGATCAGAATCTGCTCAGAGTCATGGGAAGTTGCAAAGATGGCATCTGATATAACTGTGAGGCTGATCTAACCTCAGAATATACTGTAAAGTGAGTTGACTGTATATTTGTGTCAGCGATCTGGTGTTGTGATGCTGAAGTGGAACACTAAAGCTGAATTAGCAGAAGATTGAGATTGCACATCAAATGCAAGGATTATAATAAATAACAATAATCCTTGTATTTGATATAGCGTCTCAAAGCGCTTTGCAGAATATATTGTAAAGTGAATTTTGCGGGCAAACTGTGGCAGCCAATTGCGCACAGCAGAGTCCCACAAACAGTTCGGATTGAGTGACCAAATTACATATACAGTATATATATTTTTGGAAGGGGTTATTACGTCAGGAAAGCGATCTGCCAGTCAACTTAACAACTGGGGTCCTTACTGCTCGGTAAACAGAGGCTTGTGTGTGGAGTAAGGAAACTTGCCTAAGGTTTTGCTCCCCCCAGCAATTGAATCCAGGTCCTCTCGCTTGTGAGACGATCGTGCTGACCACTATGCTACGAGACTACAGGTTTTTATTGTATTGCGGTTGAGTGTAATTGGATTGCTATATGTATATATTTATCTGAGAATGGTGGTGTGTGTGTATACGTGTGAGAAAATGTGTGTGTTTTTTTTGCTGAGCTTGAACCAGCAGAGGGCTAGAGCTGTACTGATCTTATCCTTCCTTTAACACCAAATAGTGAATCACATTCAGAAGCCAAATAAATTGTTCATTTAGGAAATGTCACACTGATACAGAGCTTTGCGTAATATGAGCCAATACAGTGTCAGCTTGTGCCACCTTGTGGTCAACAAAATGTGCACAGCTGCGGGAAACTCAGAGCAGAAACAATAAAAAGATTCAAATTTGGGAAACTGCAGGAATTCCTCAGGTGTCTGGTACTATATTTTAACAATTAACATTTCAGTATTTTTTTTTTAAAAACCTGAAATTTTTCAGAGCAGGAAAAAAATCACTCTTTAATTGCAGTTTACCAAGTTAGATGTGTGTTTCCTGTATCTCACTATAAGTACAGGGTGGCCAAAAAGTCGTAAAGCTACCCTATTATCTAATTTTGCTTTTTAAAAAAAATCATTTCTTTATTGGACGTTGTAATGGTGTCACGACTTTTTGGTCACCCTGTATAAACTGATTATTGTTGGGTTGAGTTTAAAAACATTGAACAAAACTGAATGCAGACGTGCTTCAAACGTCCATGAAATTATGTGGAGTGATTTAATACGATCATTCGGGATGTTGGAATATTCCTGAAAAATAAACCCTTTGGATATTTTATAACTTGTTTGTTTTACGACCCCATCACTCCCACCGTCGCCCGACTCCACCGGCTCCCCATCTCCCAGAGGATTGAGTTCAAGATCCTCGTCCTCACTTTCAAGGCCATCCATGGCGTTGCCCCTCTCCTACCTCTCTGACCTGCTGACTCCCTACCAACCTGCCCTCTCCCTCCATTCAGCGGGCTCTGCCTGCTCCATGTCTCCCACCCGACCCGTCCTACCATCGGTGGCCGGGCTTTCAGCCTCTCTGCCCACACGCTCTGGAACTCCATCCCACGGTCCCTTGACCTCGCTTCCTCTCTTGCCTCCTTCAAGACCGATCTCAAGACCCTTCTCTTCGACCGTGCCTTTGGTCTCCCTCCCACCTCTCTGCCTTCCCTCCCCCCTACACCAACCCTCCCCCATGCTCGGGTCCCGACCTGACTGTTCAGCGCTTTGGGACATCCTCCCGATGTGAAAGGAGCTCTATAAATGTAATGTTATTGTTGTTGTTGTTGCTCATCAAGGTGATTGATTTTGGTGCTGGAGGGTACAAGATTACATTTGTATAGCGCCTTTCACGTCGGGAGGACGTCCCAAAATCAATCAATCACTCAAGGTCAATCCTCATTGGATGCAAGTTTCTTTGCTTCACATGCCCGATAATAATCACTCAAGAAAAAAACAATAATAAATTGATCACTTCAATCCACGACTCTTTGGGGGGGACATTGCTGTGCGCAATTGGCTGCCGCATTTCATCCTCAAAATACACAGTCTATTCTGTGAAGCGCTTTGAGATGTTTGGATGAGGTGCTATGTCAAATGCAAGATTCATTATATTATTATTGTCCTAGCTAAATTATTTTGTGTTAAGATCCATTCAGCATGAATGTAATAAAGAATGTTTTAGCCCAGAGATGAAGGAGCAGTTTTGCCAGCCAGTAGCTCTGTTACTTAAACAGATATTGTCATGGTTATGAGATTACACAGAGCATTTGTATTGGTTGTTGTGGGCCCAGTCTAGGAATGTTCGTTATTGGCGGTGTGGCTACCAAGGGAACACCTTTTGTGTTTAGTATTTACTTTCCTGCAATTGTTTTCTTTGGGTTGCACCTTCAGCTTGATTTAATTCAACATTTTCGCACATATAAGGGACAAAACATTTTCCAGCATTGTTTGTGATGTCTTTTGGACCCAGGAATGAAGCGTGTAGATGAAATTCAACTTCTCAAGGATAAGGCTTGCAGCACTATCTTCCTGTCAGTGGTCATCCCGGGGTAGCCCTGAAGCTGGTACTAACTTAGAGAGGTTTTATATAATTTGTAGACGTGTAAGGAATGCCAAGAATGTATTCTAATCTATATTTTTCTGCCTGTTTAACTGAGGGAATCCTACGTCTTCGTGATCTTGAATATAATAATCCTTGATATCGTGCCTTATCACGTCTTCGAGGCGTCTCAAAGCACTTCACGGAATATACTTTAAAGTGAATTGACTATATTTTGTGGGCAAAACACAACAGCCTATTGGGCACAGAAGTGTTCCACAAACAGTCGTGGGTTGAAATGACCAATTTATTATTATTTTGAAGGGATTATTATAATAAATAATAATAATAATCCTTGCATTTGATTTAGCGCTTTTCACGTCTTCTCGACGTCTCAAAGCGCTTCACAAAATATGCTGTAAAGTGAATTGACTGTATATTTGTGGGCGAACACGGCAGCCAATTGCGCACAGCAATGTCCCACAAACAGTCGTGGATTGAAAATGACCAATTTATTATTGTTTTTTGGTTTTGGAGGGATTATTATTAGGCTCTGTGTGGAGTAAGGAAACTTGCCCGAGGTTTCGCCCTCTACCTGGAATTGAACCCAGGTGTCTCGCTTGCAAGGTGAGTGCTCTATGCACTGAGCCACAGGACTCCACAAGTATTACTCCAGGGAAAACGATCCGCCAATTGGCTAACAACCGGGTTCCTACTTACTGCTGGGTACATTAGAGGTGCGTGGAGTAAGGAAACTTGTCCAGCATTTCGCCCTACTGTGAAACTAACCCAGGTCCTCTCGCTTGCGAGGCGAGTGCTCTAACCACTGAGCTACAATATGGTCAAGCACTGAGATATGTTAAATTGGTGCATGAAAGATTTTGGTACATAATCTGTGCAATCCAACTAGTCTTGCTCAATTCCAATGTTTGAATGCACTTTGTTTTTTAACTATACAGTATTGGCAGTGATGCTGTCTGTCACAACAGGTTTTTTTTCCCTTTGGTTCGGATAGTCTTTCAGATGCCCAGCTGACAAAAAAAAATTGCTCTTTGCATATCCTTCCTCTTTCAGCAAAGGAATTTGTGAATTTATCTTATTGGAAAGCTCCAATAACGTAAGGATATTTGATAGTCACAGTGAGTTTCAACAAATTTCAAAAGCAAATTACAACTCAGTCTAAATGCAGCTGCTAAAGGACAGTTCCTAGCTCAGTTTGTTCCTGTTGGTGGTATTCCAGGGCAAAACTAAAACCAAAAAAATCAATAGATGCGGTAGCTCAGAGCCAAGGAGAATTTCCCGTAAAATGAGACCTGATCAGGCGCTGTATCAAATGCAAGGATTGTTATGATAATTATATTGGGTTACCTCCCATCTTGGCCGTTGATTTTGAATGGAAGCCTAAACAAGGATAAAAATCTTCTGAGATTAATTTATTTTCCATCTCTTGCAATGTGTTTGTTTTTGTTGGGGTGGGTGTAGGTTGATAATGATTTTGATTAAAAGGTGAGTCGTTGAGATCAATGGAGGAACTGACTATGGAACTCAACAGTATGAGGAACTGAAACTGAAACGGCCAGATTAAACCAATAGTAGATTTAACTTCCCCCTTCCCAGAATTTTCCATCTTTAGCCAAGCATTAATGCTGTCGTGAAGATTGAACCACAAAAGATGATATTGAAGTGAATTATAATGGTTTCACTTTCAGGAATATTAAGTTCCACTAAGCACTTCTTTCATCAACTGAGATGTCAGTTACTGCTGTTGACCATAATTATTTTTTAATGTGCCTCTGGTGTCCAGAGTATTGGTTAGAGCACTCACCTCGTAAGCGAGAGGACCTGGGTTCGATTCCCGGGTGAGGTGAAACCTTAGGCAAGTTTCCTTACTCCACACACCTAGCAATAAGTAGGAACCCGGTTGTTAGTTGAATGGCAGATCACATTTCCGGAGGTAATAATCCCTTAAAAAATTTTTAAAATAATAATTTAGTCACCCAATCCATGACATTGTGGGACACTGCTGTGTGAAATTGCATTTCGCAAAATGTACAGTATATTCTGTGAAGTGCTTTGAGACGTGAAGACGTGATAAGGAGCTCTCATCAAATCCTAGGATTATTTTTATTAGTTCTGGGGGAAGTGAAGTTAGCACTTAGACGAAAAATGAATTGTCTTACTTATTTTATTTAGTGTTTTTGCTACTACCCATATTGTGCTTGGTGTAAATGTGTGCTCCCTTGTCCTACAGATAGGCACAGTCCCTGCCTTAAGCCACGATGAATGCTGCTGCACTGAGGATAGGCGACCAGTTGATCCTGGAAGAGGATTATGACGAGACCTACATTCCGAGTGAACAAGGTGATTGAGCACAGCCTTGCTTACGTATCTGTGTTGGCTAATTGATTTTAAGCCAAATACTGTAATCTGCTAAGGAGAAGGATATATAAATCTCTAGCATGAGTTTTTTGCATTTTTAGGAATGAATATAATAATGATAATCCTTACAATTTATTAGTGCCTTAGCACGTCGTTGAGATGTCTCAAAAGAATATATTGTATTGTGGATTGGCTGTGTATTTTGTGAGCGAATTTGGCATATGCTTAGAAATGATAGCTCATATCTTTATAGAATTCTTGGGGATAATAATTCCTTCAAAAATAATAATAATAAATTGGTTACTCGGTCCATGAGTTTTTGTGGGACACTGCTGTGCGCAATTGGCTGCTGCTTTTCTCCCACAAAATATGGTCAATTTGCTTTACAGTATATTCTGTGAAGCGGTTTGAGGTCTCACAATGTGATAAGGCACCATATGCAAGGATTATTATTATTATACATATATGTTCTAAATATGTTTTTAAATGTTAGCTCATATCTGCAAACTGTAGATATTTAATAACCCACAGCAGCGACATCCCATTTTTACTGGCCAGCAATTACCCTGCTTTGAGTGTTCGTTCTTCCAATTCTTTCGTAGATGTGAACTGCCATTTTTGGCTGCAGAGGAACTGCTCACATAAAATTGAAATCTACTTGCTTTATGTGTTTACACAACAATCTATCTGAAAGATTGCAGCTGTAGATTGCTTTTTAAAAGGCAGGTAACTTATTATTAGCTGTTCTACTAATAAGTTGTAAAACTTCACCTGGGAGTCATCTGTTTGGCAGAACTCCAGAGCCAATTCCCCTTCTTACTACTCCGCTGGGATCTAAAGAATAAATTCTGAATTATATAAGGCTGAAAGTTTGGTTGCCTTTATTCCTTCTTGAATAACCTCACCACAGAAATAGGTCTATCAACTGCCTTTGAGGCAAACAACACTGTATTTGATCACCCCTGTAGCGTATTGATTTGAGCACTTGTCTCATAAGTGAGAGGACCTGGATTCAATTCATGGGCAGGGTCAAATCTTAGGCCAATTCACTCCACAGGTCTGTTTACCTTGCAGTGAGTAGGAACCCGGTTGATAGTCGGATGGCGGATCGTTTTCCGGGGGTAATAATCCCTTCAAAAAACAAATAATAATTTGGTCCCTCAATCCACGACTATGGTCCCACACACTGCTGCGTGCAATTGGCTGCTGCGTTTCACTCACAGAATATATTTTGTTCTTGAAAGAATCAACGCTTTCTGCTTCCACTGCATTTTACTCAGGTTTGGCAATAAAAATGCATCTCAGCCCTCTCAATCTCAAGATATCCTTCTGCTTCAGAATATCTCTGTAATAAAATATTCCACATAATGCTTGGAAATGTATAGCAATTTTCTTTAACTTTTTTCCTGCGTTCAATTTTTCCATTTTCATTCTGCAACACTTTCAAGTCTTCTGAGGAGCATAACCCGAGTATAGATAAAGTAGAGATCTCTCTGATCAGTTGGTGATGAAATGTTTAACCACACTGAAAAGAAAAAATTGCACCTTTTCAGTCCGTGTGTCTGATAAATTAGTTGGGTCTAAATAAGGGAAGAGCTCAGACTACAAAAGATCAAAGGAGCAAGTGAAATGGAGTAAATCCAATGCTATCTGTAAGGTGGCTTGTTGCTTTGTTTCTGAGTGCTTGCACCTCGGGTTAATGTCTTATCCAAAGGACGACACCTCTGACAATGCAATGCTCCTCCCAACACTGCACTGCAACATCAGCTTAGACCGTAAGATCAAAAATCCTGACGTGCGGCTTGAACCTACAGAGTAAGGTTCATTTGCACACTGCTCTTTCACACTGCTCTTCCTTGCTTCTGAGCCAAGTGCATTTGCTCCTGCAAACTCGGGATGCCTTGTTCCAGCGTGTCGATCATGTGCTGTTGGGGTCACGACTGCTAAGGTTGTTCCTTAAACTACCTACAGTAAGGCAGGGCGGTATATGCTTTTGGCTGCTGGGGGCTGGATGCCTTATTTGAGAAATGTCTGCGGGCTGCACAAGCAATATTTTTGTGATTCCCTCGCACCGGAATTTCTACGGGTTACACAGGGAGCGGGTGGTCCCGGTGAAATGGAGGTAGGGCAGAATTTAGCACACGGGCCGGATGCGGTCTGATATGGGGAATCGCGCGCGATCTGGAGATTGTCAGGAAATAAATGATGGGAACACAGAAGCAAGACTGAGGCAGCACACACTCTGAAATTGCCAAATTAATGGGCACTTTTTATTTCCTGCTTTGTCCAGAACAAATGAAAATACGCTGTGTAAAATTGGCTTGCCTCAACTCTTCCAGGAATTTCTGTAACAACTGAAGTGCAGCTGCAGGACATTGATTCTCGGGTAGCTGATTTGCTTCTCACTACAAATTGGTGTCCTTGGCAACAGAATAAATACTACATACAAAATTGTCATGTGCCCTGGGTGACGTGAAGACGTGTTGAAGTGTGCGGTACAGTTTAATAGCTAGGTTATACTTCACTGTGAGTCTGTATTTTGCATCATAGCCGTTTAATTTTAATTTCACTTTCTGGCCAAGATCACCAACAGTGCTTCAGAGGGTGGGCTCCTGTGTGATGAACGTTGCTAACTTCTAATTAGATGTGAATTGTATTTGGCCACATTTTTTGCATTGAATTGATGCGAAAAGCACAGTATTAATAGTGCGTCAGGAACCCTGTGTTCACTGAATATTGCAGTGATATAACAGTCCTCATTGTATATGTACAATAAACATTGTTCCGTGCTTACTGCCTGAAGGACCACAGACGAGAACATAGGAAAACAATGTGCTAATTTGTCAAGCTGTTAGAGAGACATGTAGTGTAGAGACCTGGGGGGATAAGAATGGAGAGGGATGGTTTTTTTAAGGTTCTTATTCTTTTTCTGATCACCAGATTATTTCACAATGTTTTTAAAATTAAATTACAAAATGCATTATGTGCTCTAATAATAATAACAATCCTTGCATTTGATATCGTATCTTATTCATGTCGTTGAGACATCTCAAAGCTAGCCACAGAATATACGATGAAGTGTAATGACTGTATTTTGTGGGCATCAGCCAATTGCGCAAGTCAACGTCCCACAAACAGTCATGGATTGAGTGACCACGGTTTTTTGGGGAGCGCGATTATTGTGGAGTCCTGTAGCATATTAACTATTCAGGGACCAACTTTCTACGTTTATAGTAATACGGTATTTAAATGATCATAGATGCACAGCATGATTTTAGTGGAACCTTATTACTGTATAAGCTTTGGTGCAATCTATCTTTCATTAACCGTGGCTAAAATTTAATTTTCTGAGGTGACACATCGTTGCTGGCGGCTCTAACTGACATTAGCAACCCTCTTTATCATTAGCGAAACCATTCAGACTTGAACCAAAAGTAATGACCAGAAAGTACAAGGAGACAAAATGCTGAATGTACCGAGGCTTTGGGTAAAATTTGCTGCCAAGATACTGATTTTTTTTTCCTCCTTTTTAGTCAACTGGAAGCCTGAAACCTCTTGCTGTGCTTAACCGCCTCCGGTTTCAGCTTCTTCTGAACCCGCAGAAACAAAGTTTTCCATTTATTTCCTGTCCTTTTCGGTTGTAATCTGAAAAGGCAATTTAAAGTCATGATGGTGTGATGTTTTTCAATACAACTCCCTTCAAATGTTCCCTCATTATTAAAGCACTGACTTACTCCAGTGGCCCTGTAGCAGGTTTTGTTGGAGTGTCAATGTGTGAGAATGGAATCATTGGGATTGTAACCAGGAACAGGAACTTTAACCGATTTATTCACATGAACACAGGAACAGGAGGAGGGCATTCAGCCCCTTGAGCCTGTTTTGCCATTTTATCAGATCATGGCTCATCTGTACCTCAACTCCCAATTACTTTGCCCCATATCCCTTTATACCCTGACCTGACAAAAATCTATCCACCTCAGTCTTGAAAATTTAAATGGATCCAGCCTTTTGGTAGAGAGAGTTCCAGATTCCCTCTACCCTTCTATAACCCATGGATGTTCAAGCCAATTGTACTTTTACTTGCTCTGGGGCACTACCCATGTGAGGTATGCTATATTAATACATGTTTTTACTGTCACACTGACTTAAGATCAGAACAGTTTAGGATGAAACCTTGGAACTGAGAAAATTAGCCAACAAAAGAACTTGGTGTATTTATTTTAATCTCATTATGCTGAAAAGTTAATGCCATCTTTGCCTTATAAATAATTGCTTTTTGAATACATTTCAAGAAATTCTTGTCCCTTCTTCCCGCACGCTTCAAACAGTTTTGTGAATTTTTACCTGGACTAACCCTCACCTCTGAATAAAATAGGTATTTACCTCAAGCGATCCAACTTATACTTTGACCTCTGTCCATATTTTTCCTGTTGGGCTGTAACTTTAATTAATGATACTAGGTTCTGATTTGAATGCTGACTCATGTATTTGCACTATTAACTCATTTTTCTAACCATCTTTGTGGCACTTTGTGAAGTAAAGGTTTAGTACAGCAGAGGGCAGTGCTGACTAGATAATTCAACTTTGGCAAAAAAAAGACGTGTTTTTAATTGCTGTAATTTTTTAAATCTCTATGCAAAGACAACAATATCATTGTACTGGGGACAATTATAATATATTTTTGTGTCAGTAAATAATTGTGTAAGGTCATCTTACACAAATATGGGGCAAAGATGGGTATTTGGAGTTGACGTGCAGATCAGCCAGCCATGATCTAATAGAATGGCGGAACAGGCTCGAGGGGCTGAATGGCCTCCTCCTGTTCCATGTTCCTGAAGATCCATTAGGTGGAAATGATTAGGTTGCTTTGTGAAAGGTTTTGTACAGTGCTTTTATCTCACATATTCTAAGATTAATATTCCTATCTGCTCTACTTATCTGTTCTATTTGTTAGGTCAGGGTATTAAGGGACTTGAAGTACAGATCAGCGATGATCTTACAGAACGGTGGAACAGGCTCGAGGGGGTGAATGGCCGATTCCTGTTTCTGTGTTCTATGTTACTTAAATTTTTATAATAAAGTTAGAAGTTAAGACAGGCTGTGTTTTGTTTCCTGGATAAGAATAATCTAACTAGTTACCAGCTGACAATGGTATAAAGAATCCTTGAGGTTGACAAAGTGCTGAATGTACTGAGGCTTTGGATAAAATTTGCTGTCAGTTTCAGTGACTGCCATCGGTGAGATGTGTGTGATCTGACCTGCCTCTCTTCAGACTATAAAGACTATCTTCCTTTGACTTGCGGTGTGCAAAGTATTGTTTGATCTGTATTAACTTTGTGCCTGGAAAAGCAAGGGTGGGGGAATGGGGATGGGGACGTGATGGGGGTTGAATCTCTGCTTGCATGTGGCAAGGTTGTCATTTTTTCCTTTTATTCCTTAGAAATTCAGGAATATGCCCGCGAGATAGGAATTGACCCTGAAAACGAGCCAGAGCTGATGTGGTTGGCCAGAGAGGGCATTGTGGCTCCTTTACCTCAAGAGTGGAAACCTTGGTAAGGTGACAGCTCAGCGTTTGTGGAAGTTTAATCTCCTACACGCGCGTAATTTTCTGACTTGATACAAGCATTTTCTCAGCAATCTCCTGTAGCTCAGTGGTTGCAGCACTCGCCTCGCAAGCAAGAGAACTTGGGTTCGATTCCCAGACAGGACGAAACGTTAGGCCATTTTTCTTATTCCACACACCTGTGTTTACCAAGCAGTAAGTAGCAGCCTGGTTGTTTGTCGCTTGACAGATCGCTTTTAAAAAATTTTAGAAAAATAATAATTTGGTTGCTCAATCCTCACCTGTTTGTGGGACCCTGATGTGCATAATTGGCTGCTACGTTTCACCCACAAAATATACAGTCAATTCACTTTACGGTATATTCTGTGAAGCACTTTGTGACATCTCGAAGACGTGATAAAGCGCTGTATCAAATGCAAGGATTGTTATTATTATTATTATCTCCCAATCAGTGCAAATGGCTTGTAACTCCAAAAATGGCTTGTGATGTCGCCAGTAACGGTACAGTCAGGCCTGCCTTATGTGAGTCTGGCTTTTACTTTTGCCCATCGTAACTTTTTGTGTATTACAGGATTCAGTAGCTTCTATGTACTCCTGCTTTCAGAAGAAAAACATTTTACACATTTCAAATACACGGAGCCAGCTGTTTTATAAGAATGGTTATTGCCTCTCACCCATTAATCCCTGTTCAGGGATTCGAGCATTTACGTTCTGGATACTAAATCCCTTTTTACAAGGATTTGTCGACTTAACAACAGAATTGCAAATCCTAGTTTATCAGGACTTGATGCTTGGCTATGCTGCTATACTGGGCAATGTGCTCCAGCTCCTCCAACCTTCACTGCGAGGAGATGCTGGATTTCCTTGAATCCAAGATCAAGGGAATCCGCTCCGCGGTCACTTCCCCTCCAACTTCCACCCACCACCCACCCCTTCCCTCCCACACTCCGACTCCTACCCATCCTCCCCTACACACCTTCGTACCCGTTTCCCCACCCTCTGTCACTGAACTCATCCTATCCCTAAAACCAACCACCTGCTCCCTTGACCCCATCCCCACTCCACTCCTTATCTCCCAGCTCCATTTTCTTGCCCCACACATCACTGACATCATAAACCTGTCCCTCTCCTCTGGCTCTGTCCCCATTCCATTAAAAACTGCCATCATCACGCCCACCCTGAAAAAACCCTCCCTTGATGCGTCGCAGCTATCAAGCTACCGGCCCATCTCCAACCTCCCCTTTCTCTCCAAGGTCTTGGAAAGAGTTGTCGCCTCCCAACTGCGCTCTTTCCTCTCCACCCATTCTCTTTTTGAACCCCTTCAGTCAGGTTTCCGTGCTGCTCATAGCACAGAAACTGCCCTGGTCAAGGTCACCAATGATATCCTGACTATCTGTGACCAGGGCTCCCTCTGTCTCCTCGTCCTCCTCGACCTATCGGCAGCATTCGATACGGTCGACCACGCTATCCTACTCCACCGCTTGTCCTCCCACCTCAACCTTCAAGGCACTGTCCTTGAATGGTTTAGCTCTTACCTTTCCCACCGTCTTCACTTCGTCTCAACGAATGGCTTCTCCTCCACCCCCCGTACTGTCTCATGTGGTGTCCCTCAGGGCTCTGTCCTCGGTCCCCTCCTCTTCACCCTCTATATGCTCCCCCTTGGTGACATCATCCGCAAACATGGGGTTAACTTCCACATGTATGCGGATGACACCCAACTCTACCTTTCCTCCTCTACTCTCAACTCCACGACCACCGATGTCCTGACAGCCTGCCTGTCCGACATCGAGTCCTGGACGAGAGACAACTTTCTTCAGCTCAACGTGCGAAAAACCGAGGCCCTCCTGATTGGCTCACGTCAGCGCCTCCGCACCTCAGGCGCTGACACCATCAGCATCCAAGGCTGCACTCTCCACCTCTCAAAGCCAGTCAGGAACCTCGGCGTTTTGTTCGACCCTGAGCTGTCCTTTCTCCCTCACATCCGCACCACAACTGGCACCGCCTTCCATCACCTCCGGAATATCGCCAGATTACGGCACTACCTCACCCCTCACGCTGCTGAAACCCTGGTTCACGCCTTTGTCACCTCAAGGCTGGACTATGGGAACTCTCTCCTCGCCGGCCTTCCCGGCACCTCCCTCCACAAGCTGCAGGTCATTCAGAACTCTGCAGCTCGTGTACTGTCCCGCACCAGGCTTCGGGACCACATCACTCCTACCCTCGCTCGCCTCCACTGGCTCCCCATCCCCCAGAGGATTGATTTCAAGATCCTCATCCTCACCTACAAGGCCATTCACGGCCTTGCTCCCTCCTACCTCTCCAACCTACTATCCCCCTACCTACCTGCCCGTACCCTCCGTTCCTCTGGCTCCGGTCTGCTCCACGTCCCCCGCCCCAACCGCCCTACTATCGGTGGTCGGGCCTTCAGCCTCTCAGCCCCGAGGCTCTGGAACTCCATCCCCCAGTGCCTTCGCCTTGCTTCCTCCCTTTCCTCCTTCAAGGCCGGTCTCAAAACCTTTCTCTTTGACCGTGCCTTCAGCTCCCCTCTCGACTCTCTTCCTCCTCCTCGCTCCCTCCCTTCCCTCCCCTCACCCTGACCATTTCCCCCCTCCTCTCTCCCTCCCTTCCCTCCCCTCACCCTGACCATTTCCCCCCTGCTCGGGTCATGACCCAACTGTGCAGCGCCTTGGGACGTCCTCCTGACGTGAAAGGCGCTCTATAAATGGAATCTTGTTGTTGTTGTTGTTGTTGTTCTCCCCCATTCTTGTTGATGGATTGTCGATTGTTCTCCTGCCATGAAAGGCGCTATTTAAATGTAAAGTTGTTGTTTTATAATGTGAGTAGAGTCTTACCTGGGAATGTAGAAAGGGGTGGTGGGGGATGCTGAGGAAGAGAAGGGAGAGTGTTTAATTGAATAGGTTCCAAAATAACCAGGATTGCTTTGGTTTTTTAATTTGTTTGCTACAATAATGACTTGTGGAGACCTGTAGTGTATTGGTTAGAGCATTCACCTAACAAGCGAGAGGACCTGGGCTTGATTGCCTGGGCAGGGTGAAACCTTAGGCAAGTTTCCTTACTCCACACACACACACCTCCATTTACCTAGCAGTAAGTAAGAACCTGGTTATTTGACAATTGGCGGATCGCTTTCCGGAGGTTATTAATCACTTTAAAAAAAGAATTATAATAATTTGATCACTCAGTCCATGACTGTTTGTGGGACTGCTGTGAGCAATTGGTTTACACGTTTCGCCCACAAAATCTATAGTCAATCCACTTTACAGTATATTCTGAGAAGCACTTTGAGACGACTCAATGTCGTTTTAACTTTGAAGCAGGCAGAAGCTTGTGTTGATATGCATTGCAGCCGCAACCTGGAAACAGCATCCTGCAATACAAACTTGCTGCTGTGTTACAAGTATTTGGTATTTATTTTGTCTTATCGGATAGTTTACACGGACATCATTTCTGTATGGCAGTGTCACATAAACAATCTGTCCAGAGTTATTGAGACAAAAAAGAATCGTAACCATGGCAGATTTCTAAGGTCTGAGTGTTTCAAGACGAGATCCACATGTGTGTGTGTTTATATACCAGACAGTAGAACCGACTGGATCCCAGGACGAAGTATAAAGATAATAATCCTTGCATTTGGTATAGCGACTCATCACTTGGAATGACGTCTCTAAACACTTTACACCATTTATTGTGAAATGCAGCGACTATATTTACAGGCAAACGCGGCAGCACAATTGCACGCAGCAATGTCCCACAAACAGCTATGAAATGAGTGACCAATGTTATTTGGGGGAATTGTTGGCCAGGCCAGTTATTAGACACAGGCTGGCGTGAGCAGGGTGAAGCACTACCCCCTGAAATTCTGTCTAAAATTTAAAAAATAAAATAAAATAAAAACATTACAGTAAATGCTGTCAACGCAGGAATATGCTTGGCAAAAATATAAAACCAGCTGCTGCCTTACTGATTAAATTCTGAGAAGTGCACAGAGCCATTTATTGCTTTGTACATTCAAGGTTACCATCATTTATTGCTTAATTATGGGATGCGGGATGGAATCGGCAATGTTTGTTTAGCAAGAAACGCAGCATTTTAAAGTTCAGCAAAGACTGCTTAAAATCAGATTGGAAAGGTCAAATCCCACTTAAAAACCATTTAATCTAAATCACGGTCATTTATATTGTGATAAATGGATCTGAAATGGCAGCCCATTAGAATTGCGATCTAAAACTTAATCTAAAATTAAGTTCAACTTAAATCTTTGAAATTAAACTAAATTTTTAATGCATTGTGATTCAAGATATATATTCCCCTTCTTCTTCCTTCCTCTACATATCTTCTCCTTCATTTTGAAGCTAACTAGGAAACGGCCAAATCACCAAATAGTCTACAGCATGCTACGGCCCCTAAACCAGATTGTTTTATGAAAGTTTATAACATTTATAACTTTAAACAGTTGGATTAAAACTGTTCTGGAGTCCTGTAGTGTATTTGTTAGAGCACTTGCCTTGCAAGTGAGAGGGCCTGGGTTCGATTCCCAGCGGGGTGAAACCCTGGGCAAGTTTCCTTACTCCACATGCCTCTGTTTACCCAGCAGTAAGTAGGAACCCTGTTGTTAATCGATTGGAGGATCGCTTTTTCGGGGGTAATAATTCCTTCCAAAAAATAATAATAATAAATTGGTCACTCAACCCACGACTGTTTGTGGGACGCTGCTGTGCACAATTGGCTGCTGCATTTCACCTACAACATGTCCAGTCAGTTCACTTTACAGTATGAAGCGCTTTGAGATGTCTCGAAGACGTGATAAGGTGTGGTATCAAATGCAAGGATTATTATTATGATTTGCTTTTTCTTGTCCGAGGTAGCCAGGATGTGACTGGCGATGTGTACTACTTCAACTTTGCATCGGGCCAGTCCATCTGGGACCACCCGTGTGATGAACACTACCGCAACCTGGTGCTTCTGGACCGAGAGAAACTCCAGGCACAGGGTGGAGACAAGAAGAAAGAGAAAAAGAAGAAGAAAGACAGAAAGGAGAAGAGGGAAAAGGAACCACTCAAATCCACCACAGTGAGTGTTTTCAGATTCGAAATACCATTTTAATTGTGCCAGATACATTGCTTCCCTTTTGTTTTTAACGTGACAAGGAACGGGGGATTGAAGTTTCGTTTGTCACGAGACAAATTATGCATTTTGATTAATATCAAAATCATTTTCCGCGGATTCAGAAATCCTCTTCAGCCTTCAGCTTCTTTGTTGCCCTGAAAATCCACTTCTCTAATTAAAATGCACAGCACATATTTAATTAGTATTAATAAATAAATTAAACCTTCATTTCCACAAAAAATGCATGCATCGTCAGTGTGTAAGTACCATCCCTGTCTTGCACTCAAGATTTCTGATTCCCTGAATAATAGGTCTGGCACACAAAAGCTTGTTGTTTAAGTCCCAATTCCACACAAAATCACAGGAGAAGCCATTAGAGAATTCCGTAGCCCAATTGATTCTCATTTCAGCATCAGGCTGTTTCTTAAATGAGCGTACTATCTCGCCTGCAATCATCCATACTGGTAATCCATTCCAGTTCTGTGTAAAGAAATGCTTCCTAATATCTGCCCTAACATTGCCCTTCACAAACTATTTTGGCAGTGTCGTCCACAAAGCATACAGATAAATTCACTTTACAATATATTCTGTGAAGCGCTTTGTGACATCTCGAAGACGTGATAAGGCAACAACAACAACAACAAGATTCCATTTATAAAGTGCCTTTCACGTCAGGAGGACGTCCCAAGGCGCTTCACAGTTGGGTCATGACCCGAGCAGGGGGGAAATGGTCAGGGTGAGGGGAGGGAAGGGAGGGAGCGAGGAGGGGGGAAATGGTCAGGGTGAGGGGAGGGAAGGGAGGGAGCAAGGAGGGGGAAGAGAGTCGAGAGGGGAGCTGAAGGCTCGGTCAAAGAGAAAGGTTTTGAGACCGGCCTTGAAGGAGGAGAGGGAGGAAGCAAGGCGAAGGCACTGGGGGATAGAGTTCCAGAGCCTCGGGGCTGAGAGGCTGAAGGCATTATATCAAATGCAAGGATTATTATTATTAAATTGCCCTCTTGTCCTACTTAGCATATCAGAAAGTATACAAATAACCAAAGATTGCTTTCACTATTCTGCATATATTCTTTGACTATCATATTATATCCTTCTATAAGATGTCCTCTAAGAGGAGGTTTATTTTTGGCTGAAAAGCCCTAACTTATCCAGTGGTTCCTTATTGTAGTTGTGGCTTGACCAGAGAATTAAGCAGCTTTACTGCAACTTCTGGGGATCTGAACAACACTATTCTGGCAATGTGATCCAGTATCCTGTTTGTTTTGTTTCTTCTTGCCTCACACTGGACATGGCGGCCATTATTATTACTATTAGTTGAGTATTTGTACCACATGTGTTGCGTGCATTGTCCTTTTATTACTATTGAATTATTTTATTATTACTATTGAATAGAATAAAATAAAAAGTACCTTCACCTCGCCCCCCTCCCTTTGCCTCCTGAAAGGCCCATCTCATAGCCTTCCCGAATGACCTTCCTCTTCGACACACCTTTGGTGACCTTCAGATTGGGAACAGGAAGGTTCCCTACCCTCCACCCCTCCTGATCCCAAATCCTGGCTCGGTTCCAAATGCCTGACTATCCAGCGCCATGGGACATCCTCCCGATGTGAAAGGTGCTATACAAATGTAATCTGTTGTTGTTGCTTATTGCTTGGTATGGACAAGGAAATGGCCCTTAATCTCTGATTAGATACTTTTACTTGATCACCTAATGATGTATCGAGTCATGACTTGGAAATTGTAGTATTAGCATGGACAGGAGTATAACGTTGGCAGACAAGATAGCTCCTAACTGGAATTTTCAGATTGTCTTCTTTACTCTTTGTCTAGGAAAAAACATTAGAAGCAGGCGTGCTTCCGTCTCCGTGTTATTGCAGCCTAGCTTGTTCTTCTCATAATCCTCTCCATGAGTTTACTGGGTTGGCAAGCCCTGAGTATTTACATGGTAGTCAGAATTCGACAGCAGATGCATACAAGGAAGAGAACAATAGCTTGTCACGATCTTTGAAGCCAATTCAATACCATAAATCCTTAACTAGTGGGTTGCCAGGTAACCTTCAGCCTCTTAAAATCGACACCATTAACCAAGCAACTCGCATGTCCTCAGATATTGAGACAATTCTAGGACCTGTTTCTGAGGGCCAAAGGAGTCTAGGTGGTTGCATTGATCAGGATAGACCAGAAGAAGGCAGGATGGAACTTGAGGCTGGTGCGTGCTGGGACTCCTCTGATTCCAATCTGAATAGAATGAGTTTAGAAAATTTATTAAGTAAGGAGACAATTAATAAAGCAAAGAACTCGATAAGAAGTCAAGCCGAGATTCTGCAAGAGCAGGCTGATGGCAGAAAAGTTTCATTTGCTCTCGAGGAACAGGTAATTGTATTCACTGAGTCAGAAAATCAGAAAAATCTGGTCGAAACTCTACAGGGAGATGCCTGTTCATTTCAGAATATACAATCCTTTGTTAAGATAGCACAAAGCAACATAGAAGAAGACCGGGTTAATGAAAACTTGCCAGAGGAAGGTGTTGAAGGGTTTATAGGTTTATCGATTTGTAACGCTGGAAATTATTCTTGCAGTAGTGGTAGTCAAACCATTGTGCCTCAAATCAGAATCTTGGAGCAATCAATTTTTAAAGTGGTCGAGGAAACGTTGACAAGATCACAGAGTGCTCAAGGTTCAGTGAAGAGCGAGCCCTGGATTGTAGACGGGAAAACAACGGCAAGCGAACCGAAAGCAAAACCGTCTGCAAGTGCAGGAGCAATAAATACCCGACTTAAATCATTTGGCCGCTTACACAAAGGCCTAAGAGTAGGACAAACGCTTGATGAAGAAGGTAAGATAATGAGGCCAGAAAGCGGTGCAGGAGAATGTGTTACTGGGGCAATTCCTGAAGGAAACCAAAGGAAATTAGGTAACAGAAGACAGGAATATGCAGGAATACTTGATGTAAAGTCTCTTTCTGGACAGAATGTTTCCCTGAATACCCTGAATGGTCACAGGCTACAGACACAAAGGCCCGGGCACACGCTTGATGTTCTTGAAGGCTGCACAGACTTGGAACCAAAGAGAAACGTAGAGCTACCTGACTCTGATGCTTGCGTCGCAAACCTCTCTGATTCTGGTTCCTCTTCCATTGATCATTCAGAAAAAGAAACCGACACATTCTCTTGTTCTGACTGTTTGTTGTTGAATAAACGGAGCCTAGCCGTCGCTTGTGAGCATTCCCTGCAAATTTCAGCCTTCGGGGTGAAGGGGAGTGAAAACGAGTACTCAGAGGATCAGAGGTTTTATCGGGAAGTGCTCAAAAATATCAAGGAAAGCCGAGGAATGCGTGTGGATGTTTCGGCAAACATGGGGCACACGGGAGAAGGTGGGGAAGTGCCCGATCTGCAAGAGGAAGGGAGCAAGAATGAGCTTTATTCAGAATTTGATAATTCCGATGTGGCTTTTGGATTGCATCAGAATCTTACTCCGAGCTCGATTACAGAGGAGAAGATTATTAGAATTGATCACGGGATGTTGGTGTCTGTGGATGGACAGCCCGAGCCAGTGGATTATTCGGAGTGCAAAGAAGTGGCATCTTTGAATCACCCGTTTTATCTTCAGGCTGGTGACTGTGCTGGAGAAACTCCGATAACTACATTAGCAACTCCACAAGAAGATTGCAGTAGGAATTTTGAGGAAGAGGCGCTTAATAATCTTCATCAGGGCCCCTTTAAAACTGAGCAAAATCACAAGCAGAATATCGAAAAGGTGGATGAAACTGTAAGTATGATAGCTGGCAGCACGTTAGAAAACAACAGTATAATGATGACTGGTAGAAGTAATATCAGGAGTCTCCATATCCATGTAGCGTCCACTAAAACAACAACATTCATATAGTGCCTTTCACCCAGGGCAACGTCTCGGAGCGCTTAACAGCGGAGCCTGACACTAAGCTGGGGGGAGGGAAGAGATGACCATAAGCATGTTCGAAGGGGAATGTCTTTAGTCCTGACTTAAGGACGTGATGGTGATGGTGGGGTGTAAACTACATGCCAGGCAGGATCCATCCTGCCGAGACTTAAACTGAAATGATTAGATTAAATTTTCCAGCACTATATATTGGTTGCTTGTTACATAAATTAAAATGACACAAACCAAATGGAAAGTGAAGAGCTGTAAACCAATCCTGCAATCATTCGACACTGTCTAGAAAGCTTGTATTGACAAATAGCCAACTAGCACCTGGTGGGTAGACTGTATTTGAAGGTCTTCAGATATTTATCCCTGGGAATTGTTAATCTCTTATCAGTACTACTTTGGGCCCAGTGGCTAATGTCAGTAACCTACCTGAATTGCTAAGGCTAGCTAGAAGTTCAGATGCTTTATTCCAGTCATACCGGCTGCATACAGTGAGTGCGAGACTCCTGGCAGTTACCCTATGATTAAATAGTCCATGCGGGCTTTTTAAAGGAAGAGTCAACGTTTCCCCTTCTTTTTCCATTAATCTAATTCTTTTCCTTTGTTTTATTCGAAAAGCCATGACTAAAGAGCATTTTCTTCACTCTCCCTCACTATCCGTTCCCCATTCGACACAGACGGTTAACACTTAAGATCTTCAAATGAAGTGGAATAGGATTGCCATGCGAAAATTAAACTGAACCCAGTAATTTGACCGAGGATCAGTATAATAAAGATTACTCAACATTAGTGTCTTTTAAAGATTCTGAATTACCCTAGGTTTTTCAGCGCCAGTAATCTTCTCTAAATCTACTGCTCAGTGATATCTCATTTGGCTGTTTTAAATCTGCTAAGTACTGTGTAGGCCAGAACAGCAAAATCTTCCCTGACTGATTATGACAGCAATTCTCATTGCCAAGAATACACCCAGAGAAGATGTTCTGATTGTCAATTTTGTCAGCTTGCTTCAGTGCTTACTGCAATTCTCGTCAGCTACCACAAGAAATTTGTTGATTTTGATTTAA